CACATGATCAACTGTGAATCAAAAGACTGTCAGTCTTTACACCCAGTGAATCTGTCTTTATGAGAGATCTTAAGCAGTCTGGAAGTAGTGCAGACTATCATAATCTGTAAGAACTTAAACTGATATTCACAAGTCTTTCAACCAGCAGTATCAATATTTAAATAACTCCACAATTGTGAGCAGTTTCTGATTATAAATGTCATAGTTCATCTCTGCAGATTGCATCTTCCACAAATATAACTCAACTGGAATCTAGATGCCATTCTTCACCAGCTGTAATAGAATATTATATACTGTAAAGTCAGATGCATCTGTTTCCAATCTGGTCTTCTGTTCTATATTAAAATGATGAAGCATAACAGCTTCTGTAAATACTCTTTTCAGACTTATGAAGACTTTGTAATCTTTCTCAGTTATGAAAGTATTAGCTTCTCTTCTCATCTCTTTTTGTGCATGTCTGCTTAGCTTTGCTTCTCCTCTCTTTAGAAGAGCAGTCAGGCTGTGAGTTATCTTAGAGAATCTTGAGATAAAGTGTCTGTAAAAGTTTGTGAATTCTAAGAAGATCTGAATCTTTTTCTTACTGGTTAGCTCTGGCCAGTCAAGAATAGTGTTCATACAGCTCTTCTCCATAAGAACACTCTCTAGTGTTATGACATACTCAAGATAGTCAATCTTGTAAGCATTGAACTTGCACTTTGCCAGCTTGCAATAAAGATCTGCATTCTTAAGTATCTTAAGTACTAATTTCACATACTGCTTATGGTTCTTCTTATAAGCTGAGTACATAATTATATTATTAAGATAGGCCACTGTGAACACATTCAGATATTTGCTAAGTGCCTTCACAATATATGATTGGAAAGCTGCTGGTGTGTTTGTGAGTTCAAAAAGTACTATCAAGTACTTAAATAGTCTCTATAGAGTCTGAAATACAGTCTTTCACTCATTCTCTTTATAAATTCTCAGTCTATAATAGATATTCTTAATATTTAACTGAGTGAATATTGCAGCTTCTGTAAGCTTATACAATATATCTTCAATCAGTAGTAGAGAATATCTATTCTTGACTGTTTTTGAATTCAGATTATAATAGTCCACACATATTTTTAGTCTGCCATTCTTCTTGAATGTGAACAGAATAGATGCTCCTGCAGATAACTTAAAAGATCAGATAAACTTATAAATTAGAGCACTGCTCAGATATTTGCAAAGAGTCTCTTGCTCAGCTTGTGAAAGTCTGTATATTCTTTCAAATTCTGACTGCTTTTCTGATTCAAGATCTATAGCCAAATCATCTTTACAGTATGGTGGCAGCTTTCAAGCTCTCTTGTTACTAAATACTTCTGCAAGTTCATGATAGACTTTCAGTATCTGAAGATCTAGATCTGCTGTCATTATCTGTTCTGATTTGCAGAGAGTTATTATATAGATAGACTTTTCTTCTTCCACAAGCTCTGAGAGATTAACTGATTTAATCTTCACAAGTGAGTTGTGACACACAGTTTGGAACTCTAGTCTTAGTTTCTTGAAACATATCTTGAAATTATATTGCTGCAGTCAGCTCAAACTCACTAACATCTTATCTCTTATATTCACAATCATTACTTGTTTATGAAATAACTGCCAGTTTCTTTGAGAGTTATAGACTTTAAAGAATATATTTACAATCTCTTCTGCAAGAGTAATATTCTCATAATCCATAGCAGTTTCAATCTCTATAGGCATCTTGTGCATCTCTAGATCTAGCTTCACAGCCAATTGTGAACTGATTACTAGAGATTGATAGCTCAAATCTATTAGTACTAACCAGATAATACTTCTGTCAGTTGGGCTTTGTATGCCTAGAATAATAGAAGAGAGAGCAAGAAGACTGTTCTTGAACAACTTTATTATATTGATTTTATCTACTTACAGCTCTCCAACTTTCTATTTACTACTCTTCTTCTTCTTGGGACAGTCTTTTATAAAGTAGCTCTTTTAGCCACACTCAAAGCATCTTCCATTCTTTTTTAAGACTTCATAATTCTTAGTAAGATTCTTCCCCATCTTCTGAGCAGGTCTCTAAAGTTAACTTCTCTTATTTATTTACAGTCTTGAGTTATTAGTCTTTATATCTCTGTAAGCACTTCCAACTGAATTAATAGACTTTATATGTGAGACATTCTTCACATAAACTACTGACATACTTGATTGAAGCTGGATAGCCAGTGCTACTATATTATTAATATCATCTGATATCTCCAGCTGTTTATTTAGTTTGGTTCACATAAGCTTATCTAAGCCTCATATAAACAGATTCTTCTTCATTTTTATGAAATCTTCAAATTCTTCACCAATCTCTATTATAAGCTCTAGAAATTGTTAGCAATAGATATAATCAGTTTCATCCAAACTTTTGCAAAGATTAAAGATTGCTTGTCAAGAGTTTCATGTGCAGTTTGCTGGATCTTCTAGTCTTGTGTGTAGAAATTCTTTAAGACCAGTTCAGTTATTTTTTGATGGATTGTCTTTGTGATAGATCTTCCAAAGATCTTTCTTAATATAATCAAGTTCTGTAAGAGCATATGTGAGAGTATTCTTATTATTCAGTTTGCTTGCATCACAAATAAATTCAATATCTGAGATGAACTGGTGATATTCTGTGTAGATTTCAGTCTGGTAGCACTTTGTGTGTTGTAGTAGTCTCAAGATCAACAGATGCTTTGCAGGTGTTAGATTGGAGGTGATTATATCAAGAGATTTACTTTATGAGTGCTTTTAAGTGTTCTGAAGAGCATTTAACTTCTCTTGCCATTTCACTATTTTCTTTAGTAGTTTAGTCTTCTTGTAAAGCTGTTGGATTTTGTCTTTTGGTGTTGAAGTAGACTCTCTCTCTGAGTTTATGATACTTGTTTTATTGACAGTTGAGAGAGGTAAGATGTCAAGATTGATTATCTCTTCACAAACTTGAGTTTGTTCTTCAGGTAGATTTTTGGCTGGTGTCCCAGATTCACAAGTTTCAGAAGATTAGCTTCTTCATGTTGATATTATTGTCAGATATCACCAAAGAAGAGTGGCAAAATATGAGGATCATACATATGGATCAGCATGACAATGAATCTCTAGGAGAAATATATATGAAAAAGAAGTATGTGAGGTAAAAGATCTGTATTCTGGCAACTATATATAACTTGTAAACAAGATTGCCACTGGCTTCCAGCAAGAGATTCACACAGTAACAGTCTTTTATATATGCTTGTGAGCATGTGACTTAGTGCCTTGTGAGAACACATGCAACTTCCAGCAGCTCACAAGCTGAGGCCTCTGGCTCTCACAGGTGCTGTTCATTCATGTAAGGGGTTTGCAGTGAATTCTTACAGATCAAGAATATACATCTTCAGCACAGTCTAAATTTACAGAGCATTAAACAGATTATTTAAGCTAGTGAGCAGTTTGCTCTTTATAATAAACTGCTAAAACATAAAAATCAGCAGCTAAGATTAACTCTAGTGATGGAGAAGCAACATCACAAGCAAGACAAGTCTCTAGATCTACTTAATAGAGATAATTCTAGTTAAGTACAGTTCTGGTCTCTAATAAAAGTTCTTAAGACATGTGAGTGCCTGAATGAAATAGAGACTGAAAAAGCTGATAAAATTACTTAAATATAAAAGACAAAACTTTAACAAGAGCTTCAAAAGAAGCAGACTACTAGAGATGTTGAAAAAAGATAAATTAAATAGAAAAATACTCATAAAAAGATCTGAGAGTAATAAAAGAATAAAAAAATTAAATATGCTAGATAAAGAGAGACACAACATGTTACTTATAAGAAGAAGAAGACTTTACAACTAGTAAAGAAGGAAAAATGAGTGATTAAATATACTAATAAATATCAGCAGTCAGAGCTTCAAGCATCAGCTTTAAAGCACTGTTAGAAGAACTTCTCTACTAAAGAGTCTTATTACAGAGAGTCTATATAATCTTTCAAAAAAGAAAGTAAGAGCTCTACAAGCATCTCTAGCAAGATATTAGACTTTCTAGCCAAGAAATCTACTGTTGACATTCCTTTGAATTCTTTTCTATCTACCTCCTGAATCTCTTGCTCTGACCATAATATTAGGCTGTCCATCTGTTTATTTTCCTAACTATACTAATTTCTATGCTTTAAAGAATATATTTATTTAATATTTAATAGCTATTTAATAATAAAGATCTGGTTGTTGAGATATTTAATAAATTTGTTGCGTGGAGCATTTGGCGAAATTTGGCTCATTTAGTGGTGTGGCTTGTTTAGTGGTGAACTACCTTAGATCCACAAATAGATTAGGTTCGGAGTATCTACCCCGTACAACAGTTACATTTGGTTGAGTCAACTCGAGGTCTTCGTAGGATTGTCAGCTGGTGAACACACGGCGAACTCCGCAGACAGCCAGCAAGGGCTTCGACAACGAGCGGATAATTAAGTTACTAAGAACGGAGTAGTTCCTCCGCAACAACCGGTAACTAGTTAAAAGCATCACACATTGGCTGAGGCTCTCCAATTGCCGATCGTAACTCGTAGTGACCCCATTGTGAAGCAACTCTGCGGAAATGTTAACACCTGCAAATTGGAAGTTGGGTCTATGTACCCCGGACTTGACAACATAACTTTGCTAGGAAAGTGGACAACATCTCCAAACGTTTCTGTATCCAGTCGGTGTTAGTACGACGTATGATCTTTGCTATTGGACGTTGAAGTTGAATTCTACTTGATTTAGCCAGCGCCTAGATCTCATCAGAATAGAGAGCCGGTTTTAAAGAACGTTTAGGCGTTGCAGTTGAAACTTGCGAGCTATGATATCACTATTTGCCATTGACGTCGCGCCTATAAAATACCCCCATCTGGTCAAAAAGAATCGAAGAGGTTCAAACCGCACACCTCCAGTTTTTGAAATAGCAGCATCGACCATTTTCAGTTCTCAAAAGAACGTCCTTGTATTTAATCGTCTTAACATAAGCGAATACCAGACTAACAGGTCATGGCTGGCTTTGGAAACACCTGGGGTCCCGGCGGACGCCTCGACCAGCCCAACTGGGAAGATGAAATGCAGAGTGGCACCCAGCAAGACTATAATGCTGACGAGGGCATTCGGTCGGATCCCATGTCCGAATCATCGCAAAGGTATTCCAGCGGCCATGGCCAGGAGTACGACCAACAGCACACCGCCATGCAAGGAGATGGCAGAGCTCAGGGTGAAGATTGGGGTGGAAGATATCAAGGCGGAACTGCCCAAGCGTACCCGCAGACTGAAAGCACACAGGGTGGATATGGTCAGAGAGGCATGGGCGGACAAGGAATGCACAGTTTCTCCAGAATTGGAGAAGATGAGCCGAGTGACGAGAGGTTTATGGGTGAGCATGGCAGTCAGGGGTTCGGAGAGCAAGAACAGCAGGCTGAGAAACAGTCCAAGCCTAGTAATGAACCTGTTACCCAAATAGAGCGGATAGTGGATAGATACTGATGACTTATGTGTAGGTGGTATTCTCGGCTGTATCAGCAGCCTCGGGGATAGGGCACAAAGGGCTGCGGAATGCAGGTTTGGTGGCGGTTCTTAATTAGCCATTGGTGCGGAAAACAGATTTGTTTCAAAAACTCTTTATATAAGTGTATATCACCACGATCTTTTTCTTCTCTTATTTCCTTCTTGATGGGACCATTTGCCCAGGACATTGAATAAAGAATCCAAAATCCGTCGAGAACTGCAACACGGGATGCTTTCGGCTCCCTTAGTTGGCATGTCGAAAGCTATATTTTTATTTCCAATGCACAGAGCATCCCCCTAACCACTGTGGGGTATATTGATTATATACAGTCGCAAAAGATGCACGCCGCAATCCAGCGGTTACTCATTGGCCCATTCTGGCTTCTTCTTCTCGGCAAACGCAGTCATTCCTAATCCATTTTTAGTAATTGCAAACCTTACCTCGAAAGTACTCCCTGGGGGCCAATGGTGACATACCTATCTTTTGATCTTTGCTGCCGAATAACCCGTGGAAAAGGCGTCTCTCGTAATCAACGCCCTCTCCCAACGACAGCTCCTGGCTCTTGTTGACAACTTCTTTTGCAGCAACGACAGCGACACGACTGTATCCGGCAATAGTGGTGGCGGTTTCCAGTGCAGCTGCGAGTAATTCATCTTTTCCACCGTCGACAACCTTAGCGGCCACCCCCCATTCTCCGGCCTCTTTCCCACTGAAGGTATTTCCAGTCAAAATCAATTCCATGGCCTTGCTCTTTCCAACGATCTTAGTCAAACGCTGAGAGCCACCAGCACCAGGGATGGTACCCAATTTAATCTCGGGCTGGCCGAAGGTTGCCTTGGATGTGCAATAAATCATGTCACACATCAGTGCCAATTCGCACCCACCGCCAAGAGCATAACCAGAAACGGCGGCAATGACGGGAGTGCGGATTGAGTTAGCCAGATGGGACCAAGGGGCAATAAAGTTGTTCGAGTATGCTGCAGCGAACGTTAAGGGTGCCATTTCCTTGATATCGGCGCCAGCTACAGCATGTCAGCTATACATGGAACTCTCTAGTCTGATCTCCAGAATGGCTAAATACCAGCAAAGGCTTTTTCACTGCCAGTGATGATTATGGCACCGATGTCTTTATCTTCGTCATATTTCGTCAGAGCTTCATTGAGTTCACGGAAGAGGGGGCTGCAAAGTGCGTTTAAAGCCTTGGGTCGGTTAAGAGTGACTGGAAGGACTGTGAGTTGGAATTCCAAATGTATACGCGAGCTGCCAGATTGGCGATTCATTCAAAAATATAGCAAAGGGCGGTCACATACTCAATCCCACTCCCGGCTTTGGTGTAGAGGTCAAGATATATTCATACGCTGCAGAAGCTGGAGAAGCTGTGGAAGAGAATCTCGCCCGGGCCAGGTATGACGTCAATGGGACTGACGTTCGAGAGGCAACAAGCCTTGCACATCGGTTTGAAAACATTGTGATCGATTGCGCCGGAAAGACAATACTTGACAAATTCAACGGATGCTCAATGGCTGCAGTCCAGGTGCTCTCATCAACAAAACAACCCGGCGTCCATCCATGGATGTTTCTCCCCGGACCTACGGGGAGATTATCCGAGGCCAACCGAACCCTTGGCATCATCACGTGAAAATTCCAGCCACGTATTATATAATCCAAAGTGAGCCACACTAGGTCATATTTGGCCAAGCTTGTGGTTGAGTGGCTGATGTTCTGTTATGTGCTTCGTGGCCACGCCCAGGGCCGCCCAGGAATTAACTCCTTGTCAGCAATCGTACGGAGTAACTCGTGAAATTATCGCTTTCGGAGACGCCTGTTGTTTCTTCATCGTTGTTTATTCATTGCGGAAGTATTGTTCTAATTTAGCCTTTCTCTTCTCGCTTTACTCTTCTTGTTGGATCTAGGCTCTGAGCCGGGAGCTTTTTCGATTCGAATAAACAGAGTGGATTGGCTATAATTCGTTTCTCTCGTCTCCAGTAGCCATGGATGTGCCAGAACCCGATCAGACTCCTTTTACCGCAGTGACGGCACAAACATCGAGAATAGCGCAAGTAAGCTCCATTCTTAGCAGATGCGCTTGCCCTATTCCCCGGGCGTGACATTCTAGCCTTGTTTTACAAAGCGTTGAAGTCGTTGAGCTTGCTGATGGTTCCTCTGTGATAGCAATACCAAGCCTATCTCGATGCATGCACACCATTCACTCTTTATCGATGGCTGGGAACGGGCGCCCTGCTTTGTATATTCTTCCTAAGGATTGTTCTCGCGCAAGGCTGGTATATTGGTATGCGATTTTCCGCTCTCTTGACGGCCGTTTGAGATCGATTGTTCTGTGGGGTATCTTTCGCTAAATCTCGCACGATGTGCTGCAGTTGCCTATACCTTGGGAATCTACCTTTTGAATCTCTTCCTCGCTTTTCTACAACCGAAATTCGATCCATCCCTCACACAAGATGAAGGTCTGGAGGATGGTGAGGCTCATGCGTCTTCGCTTCCAACAAAGCAGGATGATGAGTTCCGCCCCTTTATCCGACGACTCCCCGAATTCAAGTTTTGGCATTCCGCGACGAGAGCCATCACAATTGCTTTCCTCTGCTCATGGTCCGAGATCTTCAACATTCCCGTTTTCTGGCCGGTGTTGGTGGTCTACTGGTTAATCCTCTTTAGCCTGACGAGTAAGTCTTCATGGGTAGTCCTAGGTTGCAATGAGCGTACTTCTAACGGTAAATGATTCGATCAGTGCGACGACAAATCCAACACATGATTAAATATCGCTATGTTCCCTTTTCTTTCGGCAAAACGAGATATGGCCGGACTTAAACACTATGGAAATCTCAGTAAGGATTAATTAGTTTTTGCAGACTAAGCAGCCTTACTTCAATCTGGCGCCCGCTTTCAATATTACGGTTTTGGTTATGGGTGAGGCACACGCATTATGAATATTCTGTTTGTTCTGGGCAGACCACAAGCAAGCAAAATAGACGGTCATTCAACTTTCTTGTACAATATGTTCACGCCGACATGCTTTACATGAGCAGGGTTCCTAATATCCTGGTGGATGCTTGTGCGTTAATCTTCTGTGTCTGCTTCATATTTTCCCCCACCCCCTTAACATTTTGTTCTGTTTCAATCCCTGAGGGTGGATTTATTATTAAGTTTCCTAATTTCTTTCTCTTCCCTTACCCTTCAAATGAAGTTACAATTTTCACTTTCTTCTTTGATGTTTACGACAGGAGGAGTTATATTGGATTTCCATCTGCAAACACTGACAGAGATTATCTTGCTCGGACTTCTGTATGACTAAGTTCACTGTGGGCCATATTTCTGAAAGCCCGCTTTATCTCCCTGGGCATACCTTGGGACAAACCTGGAACAAAAGAGTTCTCACGGTGACTGTGAAACAGAACATCAGTTTCAGAAGCAATGGGCCTACTCTGTCGGTCCCAAACCCAAAAACAAGACTTGATTCAAGTTTACACGAATCGATAAGTGGAGGAAGCTTGTTCTAGGGCCAGGATCTTTGCCTGGTGACAGTCTATTAAACAGGTCAGCCTTGAACCTGATCTGGCTGCATTGTTAGTCAGACTCTTGGGTACAAGTGCCCAAAATTCCAGCTTCTCACCCTTGGTTGCTATCAGAATTAGAAATTTTCCCATCGTCATACCTAGAAGTTACCGCCATGTTGCAGGGAAGAGAACGGTGCATCCAGCTCAACTTGAGAGAGGGGGAGAGAGAGAGCCCCATGTGCAAAGGATATGAGTAACAGCCACCCTTGACAGGGATAGTTCCCCTATTTCGCATCCGCTTGTATTTGCAATGGTAGCGTGGGTTCCCTAACACTTTCATGGCTTCTTTGGTTCAACGCTCGCTGGCGCCCATCAGATAGAAACTTGGAGTAGCATCCCATGGAGGAGGATGATTGCTAGCATGGCAAAGGATATTCCCGCTTGTGAGACCCGTCCTTTTGTTGGTGTTTGTAGTCCACAAAAACAGCAGGGATGAACCACCCTGCAAAGCCACAATAACTAGTCAATGCACATCAGCAAAAGCCAAAAAAAAGGAAAATGCTCAATCTCAGCTGCAGCCAGCTTTTTCTCTCTCCTTAAATTTTGTTAGCATTCGCTTTGCACCATGGAGTAATAATTACCAAACCTGATTCAATACTCCGTTTTCTACTGAAAAGGTTTGTCCCTACCATCCCGAGACCAGTGGATTCGTTCTCTTGAGCCACTTTGGGTCTTCTTTCTACTATTATTTCCGATTTGTTGTGGATACCATGGCACTTGGCCTCATCGATGTACCGTCATGGTTGGCATTAGTCGAGATCTTCATAATGCAAGCTACCACCGTGGCGGTTCTGGCATATGCACCGAAATCAGCCATAAAGATCCGTATTAGTGTGACTATCTTGACTGTATTCCTTGCAGCACATATCCACTGGATTTTTCCGTACAACAACTCTGCACTTAACCACATGGTACTTCCTTCGATTTGGGGCCAGGTTTTTCACCTAAGCAATGCTTTGGTGGTAACAAATGTCGAATATGTGAACGAAATGAAATGGAAAATGAAGGCGGGAAAGGTCAACGCGATATCTAATAGAGGGTGGGACCGGATTGTTTGGGCATGGAATACAATTTGGAACGGCCGCTGGATTGGGACACGATGGGAGGAAGAATGCATACGTCGAGATGTGAAGGAAGGAATCAATGGTGTTGAAACCGTGAACGGGAGCCACAAGAAGGGTAAGGGTCAAAGTATTGGTCGCGTAGGGTTTGCCATGCGCAGATTTCAAATATCAGTTGCAGCGTACTTGGTTTTGGATTTCCTTGGCTGGGTAGCCTTGCCGCAAGAAATCATAAATTCGACCTTTACGGTGGAAAAGCAGTATGTCTTTCGCAGAATGACTGAAATATCCCTCGAAGAACTTGCGATTCGGACCGGATCAGTGATAGGTTTTGCTGCGGCCGCCACGGCCATGATTGTCCAGCTGCATGCCTTCGCGTCTGCAGTCATCGTGGGATTGGGAATTCACGATCCGGAAGAATGGCCATTGATGTATGGGCGTATCTCAGATGCCTGGTCTGTCAGGCGATTCTGGGGGTAAATGCTGTTCCCTGGCTCTCTTGTTAAACGAAACCAAACATAGCTGACAGCTGCACAGTTTGGTCTGGCATCAGCAGCTGCGTCGACCCTTAGTATCATACTCGGACCTTCTCACATACAAGGTACTACGCATCCCGAAGCGTAACGGGATATTGGCCAGATATGTCCGTGTAGGGTTCGTGTTCGCATTGTCTGGGATTCTGCACGTGGTGACGGACCATACGATGGGCATCCCCGTTCGAGAGTCGGGAGCCATGGATTTTTTTTTGACCCAGGCTTTGGGAATAGCTCTCGAAGATATATTGTTTACCACTCACCGATTTAATGACGAGCGGCGTCGACGCGGCCCAAAGGTGTTCAGGTCCAAAGCTTTGGGCTATCTCTGGACTATGGCCTTCTTTGTCTGGACAGCGCCCGTCTGGACGTATCCGGCCATGAGACACTCTTCTCCCCAGAAGATCAAACCCGTGCCTTTCTCGGTGTTCAAATATTTGTTCGGATGAAAGAAGGTGAAACCAAGCGACAATACATTCCCTTTTTTCTTATTTCTGCGGGTAAGCTTGAATGCATGAAAAGGATGGTATGATGCTAGAGAGAGAAATATAGACGACAGGAGAGTAGCCAGGAATTGAACACTGTAGAATTATCAGCAATCCAAACCTCGCCTCTCACATGATTGCATAATATGAAGCAATTGGCTGTGAGGAATCGGAGTGTGCTCTTTTAGGATAGGAATGATGTGAGTGGTTGATAACTCGTAATTGGACCAGTGTGCATTTCATATAACTACGTATTGCCATTGTGTCATCCTCTGCGGTTCATGTTCTTCCTCCGCTGACAGCTGGACTGAAGTTGAGATAACCTTTTCAATTCTCATTGATAACATCCCAGCTAACCAACTTAAATTGCCTAGTTAACTACATAGTTTGAACTAAGCCGGGAAGGCTGTGTGTGATGGGCAGGAACCCCTGGTCCCTGTTCCAAAGTTACCTAACCTAATCTGAATAACTAGGAAGCTTCAGGGGCCGTGATATAGCAATAGCTGCCCTGTCCTGCGTGCAGACTGGGGAACATATATATATATATCTAACGAATGTACGGAGTACATACATTAGGTTTACCCACATGTAGTTGTATATATAGCACATATACTAGAAGTAGGGTTTATGGTACTAATTTCCAGGTATTACGCACTGAAGGTCGATACAGAAAAACATCGTGGCATTATCCTAGATTAAGCAATTACCTCATCTTATTACACAGTAGAACATACATAGCAACTTGTCACTAACCCAGTTTCGGTCTTTTAGAGGGGAGAATGCAACACAAGTCATTTGTAGGGAGACTTGATTAAAGAAAAGAAAATGGCAGCTATACCAGTAATGTTCATAAGGAAAACCAGCACAACTTCCATGCCTTATTCAAATCTCTTCATAAGTTCTTCTCCGCATAATCCGACGTTTTAAAGGCGTGGCTGGGAAATCAAGGCCTCGGTGGCTTTCTCGATGCGAGCACCCAAGTCCTTATTCACGCGGCTGAACATGCCATAAGTTCGCTTACGGACAGTCTCCTGAGCATTGCAAAGGTGCACAGAGACATTGTGGACGAAGTTGTCCTGCTGCCCAGGTTGGCGGCCGAGGACATTCCAGAGTCCGTTTGCTTGCACATAGTCTTCATCGGTGACTGGAATCTGTTTTGCAAGGACTGCTCCGGCCCACTTTTCATGTTCTTGACTTGCCTTGACTGCATTGAACTGCAAGCGACGGAAGGAGGACGGATAGTTCGGGTTTGCACCGTAGTTTCCATTGACGACCATAGCACCATCGCGTTGGTAAGGACTGAAGGCCCGCAGTGGACAGTTGACGGGGATCTGGGAGTAGTTGGTGCCCAGACGGTGTCGGTGGGTATCAGGGTAGGAGAATAGTCTGGATTGCAGAACCGGATCGGCGGATGGCTCGACACCGGGAACCATGTGAGACGGAGAGAAAGCAGCCTGCTCGATCTCGGCAAAATAGTTTTCGGGGTTCTTGTTGAGGGTGAGGCGTCCGAAGCGTCGAAGAGGGACTTCACTCTGGGGCCAAACCTTGGTCAGGTCGAAAACGCTCCATCGGAACTTCTCGGCCTGCTCAGGACTCAACACTTGGACGTAGCAAGTCCAAGATGGATATTCACCCCTCTCAATAGCCTTGAAGAGATCTTCAGTGTGCCAGTCGGGGTTTTCAGCTGACATTTTGTGTGCCTCCTCGTTGTTAAAGGTTTTGTTGCCCTGATCGGTCTTGCAGTGAATCTGAACGTAGTTGAAGGTGCCATCGGGCTTAATCCACTTGTATGTGTGGCCAGAGTACCCGTTCATATGGCGGTATGAATAAGGAGTGCCTCTGTCGCTGAACAAATGCATAACTTGGTGGATAGCCTCCTGATGGGTCGACAGGTAGTCCCAGAACATGGTTGCATCCTTCAGATTGGTCTGCGGGTTTCTCTTCTGGGTATGAATGAAGATCGGGAACTTCGAGGGGTCACGCAGGAAAAAAATAGGCGTATTATTAAACACCCAGTCCCAATTGCCCTCTTCGGTGTAAAACTTCACGGCAAATCCACGAGGGTCGCGGGCACTGTCGGCGGATCCCTTCTCTCCGCCAACGGTGGAGAAGCGAGTTACAAGCTTAGTCTTCTTCCCCACGCCCTTCAACATATCGATAGTGGTCTGTCCAGTCCACACGTTAGAAGGCCCATCATTCGTTTCTGGTCAGGCAACTGCACTCACAATGTCACTAATATCATCGGTAACTTCGAATTCGCCATAAGCTCCAGCTCCTTTGGCATGGACTACACGCTCTGGAATCCGCTCGCGATCAAAGTGTGCCAGAAGATCGATCAGGTGGAAATCCTGGAGCAGGAGGGGTCCGTTTTCGCCGATCCTCTGGGAAGACTCCGGATCCATAACCTGAGCGGAAGACATCAGTACACTGATGGATAGGGAGAAGCATTGACCTGTATTTAAAAGGAACTCACCGGGCAACCCTGCGAGGTGGTATATACGGGAACCTCATTGTAACGGTAGGTGGCTGTGTGAAGAGCAATATGAGCATCAATGGCAGAAGAGGGTACAAATTGAATCTACATACAATGGTTGGCCTTGTCGTCTGCACCCATGGTGGCGGCTCTGATGGGAGATCTAGCTCACAAAGGACCGGGGAAGGAAGGGGATAATATATATGTATGTATGTATATAATAATACGCAAAAAAAAAAGGGATGATATGCTGCTGCCAAAGGGGCCCGATAGATCAAATTTGCCTCGGGGAGAGAATGAGAAGTCAAGCAAAGAGAAACCAGGCGCTGGAGGAAGGCGGGCTCTTTATAGGTTTCGATATTTCCATCAGAGGCGAAGGTTTGGCTTGATGTTATTTTTATGCAGGGAGGAACGGATGGTCGGGGGGAAGGCCAACTACAGGTGGGGCCAGAGTGCGGGGAAAGGCAGATAATACTTTTCCTTTTTTTTTTCCTTTCTTTTCCTTTTTTGGGAACAATGGAGAGCCGAAAGCGCACTCCGACCTCCGGAGGCTTGGGGGCTCGAGCGAAAGTTACCTGGCGCCTTATGGCAGCACACTGCACAATCTGTGTTGTCTGCCCACGAGAACATTACTCCAAGGGTTGATGCGCGCCATTTACACCCTTTCCAGCATGGGTAGGAGGTATGGAGTACTCCGTACTCCGTACATACGTGTCGCTTCCATGCGGTGGAGCATCAGCAAATTACCCGCGGCAGTGAAAACTTCGAGCGGAGAACGGCAGCACACGGCGCGTTATCGATTATCCCATACTGTGCGGAGAAGCTCTTTATAAAAAGGGGCAGCCAGACCTACCACACAGTGCCTCATGGCCAGGGCAAGTTATTCTTTTTTTTTTTTCATTTTTGTTGTGTTTGGGGACGCCAATGTCGCCGAGTTAACGGCGAGCTCGTTGCGCCCGTCCGGCGTCATGTCAGTGCACGAAATCGCCAAGGGCTTGAGAGTTCGGAAAGGTGCTACCGAGAGAAGTAACTCGATCCCCATCCCCGTCTTGGAGGTTGGAGGTTGCTCGCCCCTTGCCTTCACCCTCTGCCCAGGCGGGCCAATCAAGTGAGAGGGAATTGTCAGGCCCCGCAAGTCCCGCGTCGCGCACACGCCACTGGCAGAACCGCGGGACTTCATTGGGGGCCGGAAGCTGATGGACTGGCGTGCGATCTTCCGTCCCACGGCGCGCGCATCCTGTCACCGCCTTTAGGCGTGAGACTTGCCTCAGACTCTCCATAGACACGGTTCGTGTGTTGAATTGGTTTTTGGGTTTTGACCTTGCCCGATCGGCCCGATTTTGGGGACCCCTATGCCTATCTTTGGAGGGATGACATCACTTATCCCCTTTTTAAGCGTTGGTTGTATCGAAGGTGACCTCGAAGATATGGACTGGGCGCCTGAGACACGTTTGAGCGAGACAGGAGTCACGCGTCAGCATTTCTCAACGTCGCCTGATTCGTCAATCGGCTTTCAGATTTGACTTTCCTTTTCGCGCCTTCGGTCCTGGCTCAACTCAAAACATCCAAGCGCAGAATTCACTCTCAGTCGAAGTACTGCGGATGGTGTACGGGACATTCCGCTTTGGACGCGCCTACAGAATGGAGGGCCGTTCACTGACTCGGCTTCGCGACTTCTCTGTACCTCACAATGTGCTCTGGAACTACTCCGTACCCTGTAACTAGTTGAATGCACCTTCAACAGGCGCCGATTAACTGCTAGCTAGGTAGTGAGCTCTACCTCAGCAAAGCGTCACAATCAACACAGAGTATCTCCAAATGTTCTTGTCCACGCCACCCTTATTAATTCAAAAATTCACAAAGGTCCGGAGCTTGGAGTACGGCGGCCGGGAGAACTCTGTTCAAACCATAGTTACCCAAGAAAGAGAAGCGTCTAGTGGGAATTGTTTCATTTGAGCCGCAAGTTGGGGTTGACCGTTGAGAGGACTCTCAACGGTCAACAGGACCCTCTACGGAGTGCGCACCATTGCAGAAAGGACATCACCATCCACCCACAAGGTATCTCGTTTGCGGACCTTCCACGCCGAATATCTTTATAGTGCCGATTAGCTATATGACTAAATTACCCGATGGCGTTGAGAGCCCTCTCTTGGCCACCGTCAGCGGACGCAAAATAAAACTTTGGAAATTTGAAATTTGATCACACTTCGTAGAGCAAAGCTTCTGCGTTTGACATAAAACAAACACTCAATATTTGGGCTTGCCGAACGGGGTACGGAGTCGGTGCTGCGTACGGGGAATCGCGATTAATAATTCACAGAGCTCGAATCCTTCTTCCAAGAAAGAGATTACTTGGGTGCTTGGAGCTGACTGGTTAATCAATGATGGCCACAAATTCTAGATCAGTCTGGATCATCATCTCTTACATGAAAAATGAATGAACTTGTTGTTCCAGCTTTCTCCCCTGAGGGCCATATGCTGGGTGCTCACCCTGCATTGCAGGCCGTCACTAATTATAGTGCATACATACCCCGTACGGAGTACGGAGTATGGAGTACACGGCGAGTATCCTCGCCACCTCAAAGCTTTGAAACCGGAAACTTTGTTGCCTGGTCAGCCCATTCTAGAATCGACCAATGTCGCACTCTCAGTTTCGCTTCATCAAGTGAGATTTCAAATCATCGTTCTGGAAGCCAGCGCGATTTGACTTAGAGTTCTACGGGTCAAGCCTAAAAGTCCCAAGGCCCAAATTATTCCTACAACTGCTCCGGACGGAGTAATCCATCAGCACTTCCCTCCTTTGGATCAGAAGAAATGAAGATAGAACTCAAGGCAATATCTCGGATAAAAAATTTATTCCACGGAACAGAAATACCCGGTCGGATAAATTGTTCTTGCCTCCCGGTCGCCGCACAATACCGGCTCTTAACTGATGGGCTTTCGTTGGAGACGGCATCTAGGCTTGCCGACATTCGAAGCGATCAATTTGGACCGTGAATGCTTTGCTGCTTTAAACCCAAGCTTCCTATATCTAGCATCAAAAATCCCTCCGTATGTGTACTCGCTGAGGCGCAAGGTCGGATATATAAAGACGAATATAGTGAATGTGTCATGGCCAGTATTAAAGAAAACGCGCCTTCACAAATGCAGGAAACTATGCGGTGGAAAAACCGACAGGAGCTATGCGTAATAGTTCCTTAGTGATGAGCAATGCAGAAGCAAGGTAACCTGGTCTCATGAATTTTCTGACTGAACAGTTTGCTGTAGGCCCGTCAGCCGTAACCCGAAACAGGAAATAGCGAATATACTTACCACCAACCAATCCATACCTTCGTCAATGCCTTTACCATCAATAGCAGAACAAGCAACTATACTCCAATTCCTGTCTCTCAGTTCACCCAACTTCAACGCCTCTGAAATTTCTCCAGCGCCCTTGGCACCTGGTTGATCCTGCTTGTTTGCAAAAACCAAAAGGGCCGCGTCACGGAGTTCCTCTTCATTTAACATTGCTGCTAGCTCATCTGACGCTGTGCCTAGTCGCTCAATATCTGTCGAGTCAATGACGAATATAACGGCGGCTGTATTGGCGTAGTAGCATCGCCAGTAGGGGCGTATCGACGTTTGTCCTCCGAGATCCTATATGAGACGCAAGTTAGCCTTGGATTACCTCAATATTCCAGCCTCAAGCTTTGATGGAATTGCCTAAATGGCGGAGATCACATACCCAAACGTTGAGATTGAGATTCTTATATGTGACAGATTCGACATTGAATCCGATTGTAGGTATCGTGGTTACAACCTCGCCAATCTAAAATAATTCATAGCTTCTGTCAATACTTTACGGCTGCCTGTTGCTCAGCTTCAAAATGCAGTCTTGTGAATCTACCTTGAGGCGATAGAGAAGTGTCGTCTTCCCAGCGTTGTCCTAATTTCTTTGTAAACACCCTTTTCTCTCGGCTTCTCGGGGAAGAGTGCATGTATCGTACAAGTCCCAGAATCAAGATACGTATTTCTTTCTTCGCCCACCATCCAAAGGACAAGAGTCTGGAGAGCGATCCACCCATCGTTGGACGTTGTGCAGCGAGAACTATAGGAAGGCCGGCGGGCTCGCACCGAAAATGACAGGTGTTTATTAGACAGTCCAACGAAACGTTGAGAATTCTTCTATTAGTCCACGCCGTTAGCTTTCCAGGTTAGAAAATCGCAACGCTGCGCAGGCTACTATGCATCGGGTTTTTGGGGCAGAGGACGGTTTAGGGGTACATTCAACACGCCGGTCGGTGACGGCAGGATATCCCTAAGGTGTGGATGAAAGTCGGAGCCCTAAAGGAAAGCGTCAAAAGTGTTGCCAGATTGTAATAGCAGGAGTGATATGAGAGTGAAGGTTGGCCTGGAGCTAGTTTGTATAGTTTTCTGTCTTTTTTGGAAGATGCCGAATGATACTTTGCAGGAAGCTGGACCAAAGCTTCTTGCTGGATGCCGCACCAATCAAGATGGTTCTACCGACCTTTGTCTCGACGTTGTTTGCCAATGGGACCTCGTTCACTTTCAAGCCCATTCACTCTACATCTCCTTGAACTTTCCGTGCTACAGTAGTGATTCTGGATTTTATTCTCATTTTGCATAGCATTGCAAGAGTCTCACTGTTTATCTCCTACGTCGATTTTCACCTCCATTCCTCCATCCGGTATCGCGCCGGCGTTCGCGGAGGAGTTCTCGAAGATCCGGCTGTTCATCATGGTGGGAAAAAAGTCGGGGAAGGCCATCCTGAAGGAGGAAGGTTAGATTATAGCCTACCCTGGATCAATAACGTTGGAACTGACTCCTTATTCCGCAGGCCTGGAGCGGACTGATAATAATATGGAGCTTACGAGCTGGCCGCAGGTCGTCGCCATCAACCAGAAGAATTACTATACGTGAGACTTACCCGGAATGGCAGCAGTATGATTGCTGTGGACTCTCTAAGTAAAAGCTGCGGCTAAAACATAATGATGCTGATTCTCCTCTCCTATTTTAGGGAATACCTGAAACGAGACGACCAGATCCTCGCTTATCGTCTACAAAATGAAGCGGCGAGAGATCGGATGGCAAAAAATGCTAAAGATCGGGATAGAGCCCTCGCGATCAAAAATGAAGTACCACTCCCTGAGCCAGAAACCGAAGCCGACGGGGATACCACGATGGTCGATGCGAGCGGAGAGAAGGTGCAGGAAGTAGCAGGATCCAAGACGATCGTGATCCATGTTGGGAGCCAGAATTTGCGAATCGGTCTCGCAAGTGACGCCTTGCCAAAAACCGTCCCAATGGCTATAGCGCGAAAAGCAGAGGAGAACGAAGCGGAGCAAGATGGTGGAGAGCCCAAGCCAAAGAGGTTGAAGTTAGATGATGGTCTACCTATGGAACCTGAAAAAATGTTCGGACCTGAGGTAAGGATAGCCAGAAGCTGCGGACTTATTGATTAGCTTTGTTGACATATGCTCGTACAGTTTGCTTCGAAGTACACAACGATGTGCGCGGAATTGAAGGCGCATATGCGCGCCAACAAGAGGAGAACACTTCCAAACTCAAAAGAGATGGTTGTCAACTACAACCGAAGAACGCCTCCAGAAACGATCTCGGAGCACAATGACCCTATGAGGATTGAATGGACTACAGTTGGGCCAAATGATGCACCTGAATATATTGTCGGAGAGGCCGCCTTGAGAATTCCAGACTATTCCCAGCCTAGATATAAACTCTTCTGGCCAATTCAGAGTGGATGGTGTAATGAGAGAGATTACGATGACAAAAATATGTTGTTCTTGGATATTTCTCTTATCATGGAAGACGCTATTAAAACTCAGCTAGGTCTCACGCGCAAGAAAGATTGGGCCCAATATTCATGCGTTTTCGTTATACCGGATCTTTACGAGAAGGCGTACGTCACGCAAATCCTTGACATGTTAATGCGTGAATTTGGCTTTGGTCGAGTTTGTTTTGTGCAAGAAAGTCTCGCGGGCACGTTTGGTGCCGGCTATACGGCTGCTTGTGTGGTTGATATCGGAGCACAAAAGACTTCCATCTGCTGCGTGGAAGAAGGAATGTGTATCGAAAATTCCCGTGTTAATCTCAAGTATGGCGGAGCAGACGTCACTGACACATTTATCAAAATGATGCTTTTCGACCATTTTCCATATGACGAGATCAACTTGAACCGACGATACGACTTCTTGCTGGCCGAGGAGCTCAAAAGAAATGTCTGTACATTGAATGAAACGAATGTTTCCGTTCAAGTATTTGACTTCCATCTCCGAGCTTCAGGGCAGGACACGCGGAAGTACACGTTCAAGGCTTATGATGAAGTTATACTAGCACCAATGGGGTGGTTCCAGCCCGAAATCTTTGATCTCTCCAATAAGTTAAAAGGAAGGCGAAAACTTATTGCCCGAACATACGACCTCTATGATGGACAGCCGAATGATCCCGTGTCCGCAGCTCAGACAGCAATCCTCACAGCCATTGCTCCACCTCTTCCAACTACTAACGGCGACCTCTCACTGAATGGGAGCTCAAACGCGCCCGCAGATGTCCAATCTACACCAGCTAGGTTTCAACATAGCAACCCTCTAAACCGCCTCCAGGATCTTGAAGCGACCCCACGCTCATCGGCGGCAGCTTCGCCAGCTCCAGAAGTCGCTGCAACTCCTCAGGGGGGCACGTCGACACCTATCCCTACGGGGCAAAGTACAGCTGAGGTGAACCCCACCCGACGGCCAACCGTCGATGAAAGGGACGATATTTTACCTATTTTCCCTCTTGATGATGCCATTTTCACCTCGATTACTCATGCGTCGCGCCTTGACAACCGACGGTTTACTGACTTCCTGGGAGGAATATTGGTTATCGGGGGTGGAAGCCTTATCTCGGGATTCCATTCATTCCTGGAGGAACGGTTGCAAGCCAAGCATCCGGAGCATTCCAACTCCGTCCTTGTTGGAGCTCCCCCGCGAGAACTTGATCCCCAGGTCGTTGCATGGAAAGGGGCCAGCGTTTTCGGAAAACTTAACGCCACGAATGACAGCTGGATTGGCAGCCTGGAATATGATCGCCTTGGCAGTCGAGTAATGACTTATAAGTGCATGTGGAACTGGTGATAGGTCTGTAATATTGATCTGCTTTAACTAGATTATTATTGTTAAGAATGTCATGCTCAAAGCTTCTGGACACCAGTCCTTGCACGCCGGGAGCCGTCTACTGTCACCAGTGGGACAAGGAACAATTTATTTCCGGCACCGCTCTCTCGTGAATTGCGTTAAACTCCTTTTGGGATAGTCACTATAAGCGGTATAACGAGGCAAAATATCTGGGATCAACGGCCAGCGACCAACAGTAAAGCTCGACGACAAACTGCGATCGGCCGGTAATCGCTTCGTCCTCCGTCCCCATTAGATTTTCGACCTCCTTGCCTAGAGCCTGGTTGAACGAAGCTACATAATTTTTGACTTTTATTTTTATCTTCGGCGGTAGCTCTCGGCACCTTTCTCTGCGAATTACTTCGTCCTTGGTCCTCCCCTCGGCCGCAAGAGCTTGAACTTCAATTGCGCTCGTCGCCTTGTGCTCTTCACATTACAAGTCGGCTTGCGCGACCGCACAATGTCAAAGTCAAAGAACAGCGGCCCCGGGGGCTATCATCAAGAATATATCACTTCACTTCGCTATCGCAATGATCTTCCCGTCCCTGATATGCCTCCTAAATTCCTGGAGGTCCCGCATGAGGGTCTAGAGCACTTCCTCAGTCCCGGGTTTGTAGCGAATATGGTGCGTCGCGAGGAGCTAAATATTGATGTTGATGCAGAAGGAGGAATGCCTATTGACCTGGTCGGAATTCCGGGTCTACACTTGGGTGATGAAAGTGGTAAGATACTGCTTTGGCCGCCTCCTTATACCTTTTACATCAATTTTAACGTATTCCTCTCAACTAGCTATCATGGCTCCGGAGAACCCCCCTCTCCTTGACCCAGCTGATCTGCCTCTACTTATGACCCCTGACCAATTGAGGAACCCAGCCCCAAGGAATGCGAATGTGAGCTTTCTTCGCAGAACTCAATATATCGCCACAGCAGGATCTGGACGGAGTGTGGATTCGAGGATTGCGCCGGGAGGATCCAAGCACAAAGTGCAGAAACCGAAACCATCGCGAGACGACCCGTCGCACATCAAAAAGTATATTATTAAAGGATTTGACATCGCATATCCAAAGAGTAAGCATACAGGAGAGGATACAGAATCACAGATTAGAGGCTTGCCTGCCACTAAGGCGGAGCTCGATGCCTGGGCAAATCCCGTGCATCCAGATAATCCAAACTTAAAGCCAGTGGGGCTCTTCCCTATTATTCCAGATCTTGACGGCTTTCCGGACCCTGGTGGCTTCTTACAATTTAAATTCGATAAAGCCCCGGTTCAAGCTTCCGCAGGGAAGCGTGATGACCGTATGGATGTTGCAATCCTGCTCCCATCAGCCCCAGAAGAAAGAGTTTGTCAAGAACATGCTTCAAAAACGGCCCTCCACAAAGCCAACCCGAGTCTTTACCCCGACCCTGGACCGATTCCTTGGGATTATGATCTTTTCCTGGCTGAAAAAGAGGGCTCAGTGAAGAAAATAAAGAATAGTCTGAGCCTCTCAAACCCCAACAGAGATGATGCTGATAACTACACCCACGAGGGACCCGACGGAACCAAATACCACCGATACGACCGTCTTCGCACTTACGCGACTAGTACACAGGTCCTAAACACCGACCAAAAGTACAAAGATATCGGCCTTGTCCTCTTTGATCCAGCACAGGCAAACCAAGACACTCGTCTTACTCAGAAAGCAGCATACTACTACCCAATCTTGGGCAAGACTCGCTTGAAGCCCGAACGTTCCCGCACGATTGCCCAGGCTGGCTTGGCCCCTACTCGCGCAAAAGCAAAGGAAGAGCAAGTGCATCAAATCCAGGTTTCGGTTCGTGACCCGAACCCAGATGAAACGTACAAGAGAGCCACCCATCGGGCGCAAGTGGATTCGAAGTTTGCAAAGAATATGCCTTCTCCGCCAGCCTCCGCTGAGGAGGTGATCAAAGACGATATTGATGCAGAAGGGGATGAGGTTCACTCGCCGTAATCGGTCGTTAAATTCTCTTTTTTGTCTGTGAAATGACAGCATTGATCTCCTTCCAAGAGGTTTTCTTTCACTAACTTTTCTCCATTCGAATTCCGCTGAAGCATTTGATCTGGGGAGGCATTTTCATGTGGCCTTTTTCGTACTTATCTAGATAATTGGCGTTATTTCCTTTCATTTTTCAGCAGGAAGTCGTACCGAAATGCGTGTACTATTAGTGAAGTCGATTCTCACTGGATTTAGGGATGGGTCTGATTTAAAGGAGAATCAAATATTTATTCCGATGTTTATCTGCTAGTGAGCAGTCCTTTTCCTGCCCATATTTAAGCAGGCTAAAGTAGAAAGGGACGCTAGCTCTATTGAAACCGTGATAAGTTTCCACGATTCCCCGATTTTGCCAACCTTTCCTTGACTAGATATTCTCACTAAAGTTGCTATTATCCTGAGAGGACCCGTCACGAGCCCTATCATTTGTGCCAGAAGAGACTTCCTAACTAGTCATCTGCGTCGTCTCCGAACGGCCGGCGGGATTCTGCCCATGGATGGTATCACCAAAGGTGATCGGGCGACCAGCGGTAGCCTCATTTAAGAGGGATCCCAAGCGGGCCTCCCGTCTCTGTAGCCTCTCCGCCCTATCTCTTTCGAGCCTGACGACCTCCACGACGCGCCTGACAACCCTAGAAATGCACAAAACAAATATAGCCCCTAACACAACCGTCTTAGAGATGTACTCTCTATCCATAAAACTGGGATTAACAAAGCCTCGGCCCTGGTTCATACAATGCTGAGCTCGTGAATGGTGTTGTTGTCCTTCCTGGGCAGCTGAGGGTGGAGAAGAAGATTGGTAGGTATAAGTAAAGGAAAAAGCAAAGGGTAGAATAGAAAACGAAATGCTAGAAGGACCGGGGAAAGAGTCGCTCCCTTTAGTGGCAAATTTGTAGATCAAAAGCAGCAAGACAGGGACGAAGAGAGTGCCAAGAACTACTTGCAGAGTCGCTACAAGGGATGAAGATACGGGGCGAAAAGCGGAAAGGAAGAGATCGGCCCGGGGAATAGTGTAAGGAGACTTTAAGGCCCTGGATGGTGGCATTTGTTAGCCAAAATCATTCAGCCCAAATCAAGTGCGGTGGCAATGCTTCCAAAGCCTTCGAGACGGGACAGGAACATATCCTTACCATTCTCCAGATTCGAGCTTTTTGATCCACCTGGTAATAATCTTGAGTCTGTCTCTCGCAGTAGTAACTGGAAGAAGGCTATATCGATCATCCTCAGGTCTCGGGAGAACGTTGGCAAACCAGTAAGAAAAAGTTCGCAAATCCGGCGGAGGTGGTCCATATAACTTGTAAATTCGATCATCAAGCCAGGTTGCTTTGCTTGCCCGGCATTTAGCAACATACGTTAATCCAATTTGGAATAATCGATGGGTGGAGAGACGGTCAATTTCGTCTTTGGGGTCATGCTCCACGGGCACTGGCAGCCCAGTCTCGGATGCCTCATAGGCTTCTTCTTGTGCGATCGACACGTCTTCAACGCGTTCTACCTTTCCCACGGCATAGCCATCAACGACGGTGCTTTCCAGCACCTTGAATCGATACTTACCCGTAGAGCGTATGATACATCTTCCATCCGGAAGTGGGCTAAACCGATCTATTTCAACCACTGTCCCATATTCCATAAACGGTGCTTCATCTGCGATATCTTCTTGCGTTGATGCCGTACTCTTTGGCGCCACTATGCCAAACCTGCGATTTCCACTCTCCATAACACGGCGAATCATCAGTCGGTACCGAGGCTCGAACACATAGAGGAAAGTTCGTGTAGATGGGTAAGCAAGGGTGCAGATAAACAGCGGCACATTTGTCTCATCAAGTTCTCCGTTTCCGTCTACCTTCAATGCTTCTTTCCGTTCTGCTAACTGCTCAGGGAAGAAAGATGAGATTAGCCCGTCAAGACGCAAGTTCACTGGGCTTGAATGTAAATAGCCAGATAGCTTCCTGCGACAAACAGGGCACAGGTCTGAATGGTTCAGTATTCGCGCCAGGCACAGGCGACAGAAGCTATGACCGCATGGAGTCGTACACGGGTCAACCATGAGGGCCAAGCATATGTGACAGTCCAGCTCATTTTTAATAGATCGCTGCACGTCCCGGAAAACCTCCAACTCGAACTGGTCCAGCGACGAGACGGGTTCAACCTGGGAGACATACGTGATATTTGCATCATATGGTAATTGGCCCTGCCCTGCGAGTCTGTACATTGCAGCAAACGTGCTCCCGTTGGCAGAGGACAGCGGCAGGGCTTGATCGTCAAGTTTCAGCCCCAGACTTGTAGGGTCAACGGTTTCGAATGTAAATGCCGTATCATGGCTTGAAACGGTGTTGCTTAAGAACAGTTTATTCATTCGTCCCGCAATGTTCTCGATGACTTTGTCTAGGGCCACAACAAGACCGCAATCAGCCAACGAATGCTCTGCCCTACATTCCATTGGGTTTGTCTCCAGGCCACCAGTTTTCTTGAGTGTACAGTAAAAGCCTTGCTCTCGCTCTTTGTCAATGGGATAAGTGATATGCTTCCTGGTATGAGAGGGAGGTAAACATCCTTGACAGACGGTCTCCTGGCAAGGTAGCCTCACGGGGGATTTCAACAAGCGGGAGCACAGCCTGCATTGGATCAGGCGAATAATTTCTCGAAGCTCATTGACCGAGGGTGTCGTATTATCCAAATTCATATTGCTTGCCATGCTTTCCGCCAACAAATGAGAAAGGATCTGGGGAATCTCCTGAAACCTGGAAATGAGAAAGAACGGAGCCACAGCATATGTCAGCAAAATGCTGATAGAAACAGGTGCTTAACCAGTGCGAGACTGGACATCAGGGACGCGTGGTGACATGTTGATTGTTTCCAACCGGCGCTGACGTTTGCAAACATTTCAATTCATCTGTTGAGCTGCGAGATGTGTGCCTGATCACGTGCAGAGAGACAGAAGACAGCGCGGAGCACATCAGCGCATCACCATATTGTAGTTAGTAGTTCGATAGTATGGAGTAACTAATCAGGGGTAGCTTTGCCCTGTTTGTAGGTAATTTCCTGGCTGTCATGCTAAGTTACCATCTACTTTTTCAAGGATGCTCACTAGGGAGGCTTGTAGAGAAGTAACTACATATTAATAGTGCAGTTCGTTTGTGAAAATCTTAAAGTACTGGGTTGGTGAACAATATCGTCCTCAGCGGATGTTGGTTAGTTAAATTGCGTATACGCGTTCATGGATGGCAGCATGACCGGCTTAGAATCAAGAACAAGCCGCTATTTTTGAGTGACTATGATGTCGCCTTGGGAACCTGCGAATGTCGGCCGGGCTGATCCGCCCGTTGGTCCAATGCCTTGAGCTGCGATCTGATGGATGCATCACGTGTTGAGAATTCACGCCTGGGTGAGGTCGCATCCCATCGCAGCCAGATCTTCCCTCCAGTTCAACAAGAGTATCAGCTTCATTCACCTCTCACTCCATTCGCTAGCACATTAATCTGTTGAGGATCTCTTCCATTTTGACTCTTACTTCAGATAACTGCGATCTCAACAACTACCATCTTTTATTCACAATCCCCCACCAGCATCCTCTCTTCCCCTCATTATATCATTGACTAGCAGCCTTGTCTCTCGATTTCGGGCCGAAGCATCCACCCAAACCCTGCCGGTTCTTGGTAGCTCCAATGCGACACCACAGTGCCTCCGCCAGATAACCGCGAGACCGGGGTTTCTGGATGGAGACCCATGGCTGCAACGTACAATCGTACTTCCTCCGCTACGCCGACTCAGAACCGGACCTTGGGCGACAGGCGGCCTTCCTCTAGCGTGGGGGATGGCTCTACAGATGGGAGCTGGCATGACGATGTATCCGGATCTCAGCGAAATGCCTACCCGCGGTCTGTCGGGAGTACCACCAGTGCTCCACAGGTTTCCCTCGCTCCCTCCAGCATCCGACCCGGGAGCTTCAGTTCGGAATTAAGAGTCCCAAGCGTATCGAGAAGTGCGACTCCAAAACCGGATTCCGTGTATAACTACCGAAGCAACGGCGCAGCCGACGATGGAGAGCCTGCCACCTCAGAACAACGACAAGCCATCATTCGCGGAAAGCTGGAGAAAGAGCTCAAAATCAGGAATGGGACGGAGAACATGCTGGAGGCGCTCTTGGCAAAGAATCTGAAGCAGACAAAAGAACAAAGACTACGGGTCGAATCTGAGCTGAGTTCATCAAATCGCAAAATTGCACAGCTTCAACACGAGCTCGAGGAGGAACTACAGAGAGCGCACACTCCCGACCCCTTGACTTTCAACCGCCCATCGAGCCTATTCGGCGTGCCAGTAGGCCGATCCCCTTCGCGAGCTACTCAGACCACTGGCGATACCTTCGACGACGACGAGGAGGATGATGTCAGTGAGACCGAGTCGCCCACGTTCGTCCTTGCTGAGACTCTTCAAGAGCTGGAGGTTGAGGGAATGTCACCAGGATATTACGTTGAAAGGGCAAATAACCTTGTGGAACTTTTCAAGCGCCATCCGACTTTGAAGTATGATTTGAAATGGTCTGTTTTTGGCCTGCGGGTTCAGGTGATGTTGTTGAGCGATAGTCGCCAAGTCGTGGCAGCTGGTTACAGACTAACACGCTACGCAATTGCTGATCGACACTCCATCCAGATAATCAGATCGTTTAATACAGATGCGCTGGCAATCTGTTCGCTGGTCAAGGAGTCAAAGGCCAGCATGGAGCGCGAGCAGGCGCTGAAATTCATTCGTGCCTTCCTAGATGTTAAGGATGGGGTTTATGAAATATCACGGGCTGTCGTCCGCACGCTGGTATCTCTTGCAGAGCATAGGGACGATCGCCTGAGGAGTATATGCATTATGACCTTGGCTGAGATACTAGTAAAAGATCCTGGGCTACTCGCTTCTGCCGGTGGAATTGGGGTGTTAAACGATGCATTGTGCGATGGTAGCTTTGCTGCATCCGATACTTTGGCCGCAAGCTTCATCCACGCACTGGATTCTCCCAGCACTAGGCAGTACCTTAGATCAGGATCGGAACTGGATGGGGTCTTTGCTACCTTTACTGAGCCCATGTCTGAAGCTGAAAGAAACACCAGACTTAATGCCTCTGCGAAGGCAATTTCCACTATGTTGAAGACTTGGCCAGGACTCCTGACGCTGGCTCAGAATAAATTCATGCCTCTGAGATCTCTGATGGACTCCTTGGAATGCCCAGAAGCTTCGGTACGACACGTAATTCTTGAACTTCTCTTCGACGCTTTACGGATCAAACCTCCTTCATGGTCTTCATCTTTCCTTGCTGGTCGGCGATTAACCACATACGGCAGAGCTGGGGTTGCGAGTGTAAGGGGCTCCGAGCAGGACTTCAAATTTCACACATTCTATGAGCCGGAAGATGGCGTATTTGACCTCACTGCGCATTTTGCATCCTTAGTCCTTGCAATGTTGATCGAAGCTGGCTTGATCAAGGTAACCTCCCCGTCACAGAATAAATGCACAAATTTTGCCGTTTGAAAGCGCTAACTCTGTTTTGCCCTAGTCCCTAGCTGTCTTGGTTGAAGATGAGCAGGACATAGGCCTTAAACGGAAAGGCATATTGCTCCTAGCAGAGGTGCTAAAGCGTGCTTACCGTTCCCTACCGCAATCGGTATGCGCGCATCTCCAGGTCCTCCCTGACAATGTACCTTCACGAATGGCGAACGATATCTATGTTCATCGTGTATCCGCCTCGACTATTTATCAAATGGAGAGCATCAATCGTACAATGACACGATCAACCTGGATGTCATCTGGGCCTGGGAAATACAACCCAGAAGCGGATATATCGGCTTCCTTTCTCAACGCAGAACAAGGGAAGCCGAAACTAAGCCCAACCATGGATGAAGCTCAGTTCCGAACAGCCATTATGAGCACACATGTACTGAACTCTGTGAATTTTATGAAGTGGAAATGGGATTTGATTCACAACATCATTGAAGGCCCGCTGACCAACCCAAAACGTCTTGACGAAGCTATTAAGGGATCCAAATTCATGAAACGCCTTGTAGGCTTTTATCGTCCCTTCAAGTATAGATTCTCAATGATCCGCAACACCAAGCCAAATCAGCGCTACGTTAGGACCGGCTGTGCCTTAATGCGAACATTGATCCAGACTCCTGAAGGGTCGAAGTATCTCGCAGAGAATAAATTATTAAGGCAAATCGCGGAATGCCTAGCTCAAGTGGATCGAACGAGCGGCCTGACTTCCTCTTCACCTGTTTTCTCTCGGAATCAGATGATGGATACCCTAAGCTGGGGTTATTTTGCAATGTTGGGCACTTTAAGCAGCGATCCGAATGGGCTCCATATGATGGAAAGATGGCATATGCTCAATATGTTCTATCACATAGTTGAGTTGAACGATCGGAGTGACCTCGTACAAGCAATACTTGCCAATATGGATTTCACACTAGACAGCCAGCTTCGGTTAATGCTACTCAAAGCCTTGACAATTGGCACGAAAGACATTCGCATCTTCGCAACGCGGGTTTTGCGCAAGTATGTTGTGGGTGGCGTGGAGCTTACGCCGGCTGTGGAATGGATTATTATGCTTCTTATCTCCCAACTCTACGATCCTGATGTTGCCGTATGTCAAATCGCGATGAAAGTTCTTGAAGAGGCTTGTAACCAGAGAGATCTGCTCGAGTATGTGGTCCAATGTCGCCCATCTCTTGACCATCTCGGCGAAATTGGGGCATCTTTATTGCTTCGATTCCTTTCATCTTCTGTCGGGTACCATTACTTAGATGGCCTCGACTTTGTCCATCAAGAGATGGATGACTGGTTTCTTGGCAGAAATGACGCATATGTTGGCTTGGTTGAAGCATCACTATGTCGAGCGTATCTTGATCAGCCCCGTCGGAACAGCTCAGTCATTGAGGATCTCGTGGATATGCACGATACGGGCAGGGCGCCACCACACTTTTATAGAGAACTGGCTCGCACTAAAGAAGGTTGCAGACTGTTGGCTGATTCTGGTCAGTTTGACGAGTTCGTGGTTACAATTCAAGACTACGATTTACAGGAAGAAGACCCCGAGGTGCTGCAGAGGGTCAAGGGGGCATTGTGGGCTGTTGGACACCTTGGGTCGATGGAACTTAGTGCCCAATTCTTCGAAGGAAGCCCTGTTTTTCAACTAATCATCAAGATTGCGGAGCATGCAGCTGTGCTGACTATGAGGGGTACAGCTTTCTTTGTGCTGGGCCTTATCTCGACTAGCAGACATGGGCTTGAAATGCTCATTGAAGCTGGATGGGATGCTCCAGTGGACTACAAGGGTCAGTCTCTGGGTTCATGTATGCCTATCAATCTGGAAAGGATGTATAAGGTGCGTTATTCCGACGTTGATGGACTCCGAAAACGTTGAGTAATGGGTTATTAATTGATGTCAGATTTCCTTTGGCCCCGTTGGATCCAATTCCAGGTTGCACGGGACAGCAAACCAGAGATACAAATCCGCTGTGACCGATTCGGATCCGATTAACCAAAAAATCTTGAATCTTCTCGTGGATATGGGAAATACGGTCCTTTCAAAGCGGGCGGCTGCCGACCTACAGAGGTGAGACGAAGTTATTGATAAACACATCCTCATTTTTAAAACTTTTCCTAATTGAGTTCAAAATAGCATCAAAACAAAACATCCAGATCACTTTCGGCAAACACAGCTTTTTCGAAACACCTTAGTTATCCTTGAAAGCCATCATTTTCGACTCCCCGCCCGCCGTTTTGCGCTAGACCTCTTCGATAAGAGCGTGATGGGGCGAATTGTTCTAGAAGATGATTTAGAACTCGATTCGGACAGTCTCGCATCGGACTAGACTTCTTCACTGCCATTTTGCCATATTCGTCTTTACGTATGTATTTTATTTGAGGGTTCACGTCATTGTTGCATGCACGTCTTTTTTGTAACGATGATTTTCAGGTCGTCAGATCAGATTTCTTCTGGTTGCTTGTATCGATTGTACCTTAGCCCTGGCGGTTTGGCGTTTGGTGGCTTTTCGCGGGGATTGTGGCCTTGGAGTGATCAAGGGATGGAATGGTGTGATGTATGAAGCCTACGGAAACGATAACGTTATTTATGCATGCCTTCTCCGGGATGAGGGATGGGCTCCTTCAAGGATTTTGAGGAGTCGATCAGAGGGATATCTTTCATGGCTCCTGAATACTTCCCGCTGTGTCACTGGACAGATTTGATGCGCTATAGACCAAATCTTTGTCAACTGATGAATGTAGTTAACACCATCCTTCCATTGGAAGGCTCTTGAGTAAAGAATCATGAGTTGCGCCACCGTTTCAGTGTCGTAGGTTTGAAGAACTCTAAAATGAAGTCACTAACTCCGGAGTACGGAGGCGGGCTTGGGCCATTCGCTTCCTCTGGTACGGCCATCGGCGCTCGCCGACAGCTCATCAGTGCCCATGCTTGCCCCTTTTCCACCCTCCCGCGCGCCGTGCTCCGAATTAATACCTTGTGACACGACAGACTATGAAAAGGTTCGGTCTTTATGGCCACCTGCAAGTTCCAAACCCGACATCCCCGTTCGCGGACGTTTTTGGCGCTATTAGCGGGATGCCAAAGACCCCTTTATGCTACTGTACCTTCCAGCATGCCCTGCGGTTAACCGGATCGAGTTCATTCCAGAGAGTGCGTGTTGGGAATTTTTGTTTCAGCATTTGATAGAGCTAGTTAAATCTCCTGACCAATGTGAACTCGGCGGTAATCGTCCTCCGCTGTACTTTATCTAAAGGGCTATAGCTACATCTCTCCTTCTCCCTTTTTCCAGCTTATTCCTCGAGACCCGATTGATACCCTGCTGCAGATTATATTTAAAAGCCCAGACCTGGCCTTTGTCACTTCACCAAGCCCTATATATAACTCAAATCACCAGATCTTTTCTGTTTGGCACGATATTAGAGTTAAATCTGCTCAACGATGGAGACCACCCTAGCCGCGGCACGATATGGAAAGGAGAATGTCAAGGTGTGCAAGGTCCACCGTGATACCACAACTGGTTGGCAAACAGTCACGGAAATGACAGTCAGTGTGTTGCTGGAGGGTGATATTGAAAGCTCGTATGTTTCTCCAGTGTTAGCTGCGCAGACCAAGCATTTACCTAGGAAGCAGATACACCAAAGCCGACAATAGCGTCGTTGTTGCAACGGATTCTATGAAAAATACCATATATATATTGGCCAAACAGCATCCTGTCACTTCTCCCGAGCTTTTTGCGTCTATTATCGGGAGTCATTTCATAGAGGCATATAAACATATTCATGCGGCGCATGTCAATATCGTTGCTCATCGGTGGACAAGAATGGCTATCGACGGAAAGCTACACCCACATTCATTCATGCGCGATGGTATGGATGTCCGAATCGCAGACGCCGATGTCATTGAGGGCAAGGGGATTGAAATCAAATCTTCGATCTCTGGCCTTCTCCTTCTAAAGAGCACAGGATCCCAATTTCACGGATTCATACAAGATGAATTCACCACGTTGCCTGAAACCTGGGACAGGATTTTAAGCACAGAGATTGATGCGAATTGGACTTGGATGCCATTTGAAAACCTCGACCATGTCAAGTCCGTAGTTCCTAAATTTGACCGGGCCTTCTCTTCGGCGCGAGATATCAGCTTAAGGCTCTTTGCGCAAGATGATAGCGCAAGCGTGCAAAACACAATGTATAAAATGGCTAGTGAAATCCTTGGCACTGAGCCGTTGCTGAAAACTGTGTCGTACTCGCTTCCGAACAAGCATTACCTTGAACTAGGCAAGTCACATCATTCGAACTCTGGTGGTCCATTCTGTTTCGCCGCGCTAACGATTCAAAGGTCTGAGCTGGCACAAAGGACTGAAAAATGTTGGTAAAGATGCAGAAGTATATGTGCCGACCTCGGCGCCGAATGGCTTAATTCAATGCACGGTTGCGCGTGGAACTGACCGCTACATACGGGCGACAACTTCAAAGCTCTAACCAGGGTCCTTGAGCTTGAGCCGTGATGCTGGAACCTTTAAAAACCTAAGCAGGAGCGCTGTACACCTGACTTGTTTAGTCCCGTTCGTAAATCAAATATCATACAAGACTTCAATCAAAAATCTAAGGTCAATATACAATACAATTGACCAAAATGTTATACTAGTAATACATAAACCCTCGCTCCCGATACTCCGCATGTGATGCATTGAAATCAAAAAAGTTCTCACTGCGCTGCAGCTACTTCTCGCGTTCGCTGAAAAGCTTTCTTAATTTCAGGCAGTTCACCCAGTACGCTTTTTCCGCCGAATTGGACAATGTTTGCTTTGTATGGGTGGGCATGGCCTTCGAAGGCTGTAAAAATCCAGTCAGCACAGTTTCCAAATCTAGCAAAGGTTCAATTTGCCCAGTCATCGCCCTCCAAAGTCTTGAAGATGAAGACCGACAAAAGCGCACGCACCTTTTAGTCTGGCCATCCTCTTTTCTCTCAACTTATTCTTAGGTAGCATTCCCCGGACTGCTCTTTTCAGTACCTCCGCACCACCCCATTTCTCGAACATCTTATCCATCGACATAGATTTCAGACTTCCCGGCCTCGTCGAATGAGAATAGTATAACTTCTGAAATCTCTTTTTACCCGTGGTGTGAATGTTCTTGCACCCGACTGCCACGACGTAGTCACCGCAATCGGTCGAGGGATCATAGATTGGCTTGTTCTTGCCCATGAGAAAGAGTGCTATCGAGGAGGCGACGCGGCCCAGACTCCGTGGATCGGAGCCTACATCTATATAGTGCCATGTTCGAGAGTAGGCGAGACGGGTCTGAACGCAGAAATATGGTCAGTAAGCTAATGGCTGGCTATTTTAATCTGGCGACATACTCGTCCAATGCTTTGCGACATAGCGAATTCAAGCGGTATTATTGACACATAAAGAGAATGTGGGACAAAACAAAAAGCACTGTGCACGGCAAAGACCTTCAAATGCTGCAAGCGACGAGCAAATGCTCAATTAACTGGGTACGTTCGATTATTCCTCCCGCCGCTGCGTGGACTGGGCGACGGGCACTCATTTTCTCATGGTATCACGTGACTACTTAGCTAAGCTGCCCTAGGGGCACACTAAGCGAGCGCGCCCACCATCTCCGACTTTTGGAATATCGATTTGCGGCTCACCAGCGCGACGGCGACATCGACCTTTGACCTTCGACAACCTCCGATTTCTGCACGTCGAACCCAAGCCATCCGCCATTATATCTGCAAACATGGCTGCTGTTCCAAGCGTGCAATGCTTCGGCAAGAAGAAGACAGGTGCGAACTTTTTGTTACCGGTTATCTTGGCTTGGGGAAAATGGATTTTGTTTGACTGACATATAACGAGTTTAGCTACCGCTGTCGCCCACTGCAAGGTACGATGAACCCGCCGGGGGAAGGGGATTTTGGGAATAAAAACGGGTCTTGGTGGAATGTATGCTAAGAAGATGCAAATAGCAAGGCAGAGGGCTCATCAAAGTGAACGGCCAGCCGATCTCACTTGTCCAACCAGAAATCCTCAGATTCAAGGTACGCGCATGCCCCCGGAACACATAAAGAGGAAATAGAGTGGCAATAGAGGAAAAAGACGGTGTCGAAGCGAAAGCTACGATGGGCATACTTTACCTTGGGGGGCGCTACTGGGAAATCCGTTCTAATGCAATTCGGCCCATCTGGGATAAATAGGTCTACGAACCCCTCCTCATAGTCGGCCTTGACAAGTTCGCCAATGTCGATATCCGCGTCCGCGTCACCGGTGGTGGTCACACTTCCCAGATCTATGCCATTAGACAAGCCATCGCCAAGGCCTTAATCGCCTACTACCAGAAATACGTCGATGAGCACTCTAAGAACCAGCTCAAGCAGGCCTTTGTTCAATTCGATAGAACCCTTCTTGTTGCCGATAACAGACGGGCTGAACCAAAGAAGTTCGGTGGTCCAGGTGCCCGTGCTCGTTTCCAGAAATCTTACCGTTAAATCTACCTCCTGCGTTTGCGATGTGGTGGGGTTCGACGACTGGAGATGTGCCAGAGGATTGGTTGTTGGCGCTGGGACGGACGGGAAGAAAATGTCATGTCTCAAATTATTATGTTTTGTTCCTTTGTATGAAAAAAAGAGGAACGGAATAATGCTATCTGCGCAATGGCAAAACCATTTTCAAATCCAATAAAAACCCATTTTCCACCGTGGGAATTTATAATGTCGCAGCCGGTATACTATTGCCCTTTTTCTTGGGGTTCTTGCAACATACAGAGCCTGCTCAGGTCCCTGCCTCCCGGCAGCGCCAGATATGCGACGGAATAGCGCTGGATTGTGGCTGATAGAAGGTATATCGACTGGCTCTCTCACCGAGAAATGACGTTATAGTGTTAATATGTTATAGCAATCTGCTTATCCAACGGGTTCACTACCTTCATCTGAAGATAGGGATCGTTTGTAGATTCAAAACCACTTCACATGATAAACTTAAGGGAACTACACCTACTATTTAAATGTGAACCAGAAGCGTCGAGGTGTATCCTGTTCATTTTCTTGTTGAGTATATCAATTTATTATAGGCTATTAGATCATACCCTATCATTCATCGCTCGCGAAATTGTTTGTCGCTATCAAAATTGGGTTAGTTGCGGTATAGATGGTTTTTTTTTGGCCAAGAAAACGTTTACTCCGCGTGCAGGCGATGCGCTTATAGCTTTGATGAGAGAATATGTCATTGGTGCCTCGAGGTGTGAATTTGCGCGTAATTTGAAAGTAATGGCGACGCTAGAATGTGTTTCCCACGCCTTCTTTTGACACCATACGTCTAGCCAGAGATGCATGGTAAAGCGATGGTTGACCATGGAAAACCCTTTGCCGGAATCTTCACTGTGACGGCGTGTCTGTCATATCTATGTCTTCTCCTGGGTGTTCTGCAAGGACCGGCTCCTCAAGGTCGACGATAACTGGTGCATATTCGCCAGTTTCGTCCTCTTCTTCAGCACCGCTGAGCTCCATCTCTACCTGCTCTCCATCTTCCAGTTCCAGCATACCTCGCCGTACTATGGAACGTCTTGATAGCTCCCAGCCGTATTTGCTTTTAACCCAGTTCTCCAAACGCGCGAACTCCTTCTTAACCCTCATTTCTCCAGAGGCCTCGGATTCATCAACGGACTTTTTGAATTTAATGAGGAGACTCTTGAGGTAATTTCCACCATCATCTCCATCCATTTCGAACAGCCCCCCTTCGACATCTTCGAAATGGCACAGTTGAAGCCTGAGCAGTTGTAAAACCTTGACGAAAAAGTCTTCTCGCTCCTTCATTGCGCTTTTGCAAGTGAGTATTAGACCCAGAAGCCGTTTCCACTGTTCTAAACTTGAGAAATTCATCAGGGTAAGCACCATCAAGAAGGTAAATTGTAGTTCACCCAGCACCTGCTCCTCCCCTGCTGCATCACTATCGACGTCGGATAGCTTGGGGGCCGGGATACCATGCTTGATTAGATCGCCTAGAGCCCACGAACGGTCCTGCGCAGCCTCCGTCCGCTCGCGGCCTATAGCACCCTCTCGCCAAGTTTTCTTCAAATCAACAGGGATAAACCGTAATTCTTTCTCCCGCTCTCCAGCAACCCCCATTGAATTCGCCATATCCGTGGTCGGTAGCCCAGGGATATAGTCTATATCCCTCGCTGCAGAGCTTCCGGATGTAATTGTCCAACGTTGGTCAAGAGAGTCAGACTGGCCCAAGATGCGGTCTAGGACCGATGGCGATATGGAACTTGAGAGTCTCTGCCAATCGCCTCGAGAAGGGGCACGCTCATGTTGATAGCTTATCGTATTCGCGCCATCTCCAACAGTCGTCGTCGGCCTCGCATTCAATTGCGATTGGTAGGCTAGGAAGCCTCCAGAAGCCCAAATCCTCCCCAGATTGGCTCTTTGCCGCATCGCCTCTTGTCTCCCAGCATCACTATTTTCATCAACAGGAACGACCGCCTCCAGCGCCTTGTCCCATTTTCGCAATCTTATATCGATATGACTTTGGCGGGCGAGCTGGTTTGGACTGCCATTGTCTCCGACATAGAACCATTCACCGCTTCTAAGTGAGAAACTTTCCGTTGTACCTGTGTATAGAAAGTGTGCGCCTGGAGGTAGGTCCTTCACTCCGTAGAAGTTCGGGGTAGAGTTGAATGAGAAGAGGTCGATGCCGACAAGCGTTGTTGGAGGGAGGTCGCTGATGACAAGAGTAGGAGTCGGTCGAGGAGAATCCGACATTTGGCAAGATGCGGTGGCTAAGCCCGTTGTGGACTCGAGTGATGGTGCGGCGACTAGGGACCAGCGCAAGATGTATCATCAGACTCCCGACAGAAAATAGCCTCCTGATGATTGGATAAATGGGAGATGGAAGAACTTAATTGCAAGACAGATATCGGGCTTTATAGGGAAAATAGGTCCATTCCGGTCGAAAGATCAAACGCAGACGGTGAGCGGCGGTATGTACTCCACAAATTGAGGGATTTGGCTGAGATTAAGACGGAGCACAGCTACATTATTACCAAGGTTTACCTTAGGATAATATCCGGAGTACTCCATATATAGGGCCAATGTACAAATCACATCCAGTATTGAATAACGATTTAAAATGCTCAAGTATCTCGTTTGATTGGATTATATGAGAGTACTAGTAACACCCACATAACGTACACGAGAGCAAGAAATTTTGGGATAAAGAAAAAAAAGAAGACCAGGCGTTACTGCCGTTCTTCGCGTTTATTCCATCCACGTAATGCAAAAGGATAGCGCCAATGTATCCATGCATTCCATCCTCGCTCCAGCCGCAAACAGAGGTACGCAACATGGAGGCGGAAAGCGAAAGTAGACGACTCATAGACGACGACCACGGCGACCACCCTTGCGGCGAGTAGAGTCGGAAGGAGTCGGGGTAACATCCTCAATTCTTCCAATTCTCATTCCGGAACGGGCGAGAGCACGGAGGGCAGACTGAGCACCAGGGCCAGGAGTCTTAGTGCCGTTACCTGTGGAGAGTAAGATGTTGGCATGTAATCATAAAAAAGTTTTTGTAGCTCTGTATAAATTGTCTGCTTGCATACCTCCAGTAGCACGGATCTTGATGTGAAGAGCGTTGATGCCAAGCTCCTTGCAGCGAGCAGCAACATCCTGGGCAGCCAACATAGCAGCGTAGGGGGAAGACTCGTCACGATCAGCCTTGACCTTCATACCACCAGTAACACGACAGATAGTTTCGCGACCGCTGAGCGCAAAAATCGGTCAGCATTCTCCTAGATTATTCATAATTCGGCCGGCGTCCACAATTTCTACGAACGGCGCGAGCACGGATGGAGGGCAACCAACCTGAGATCGGTGACATGCACGAAAGTATCGTTGAAGGAGGCAAAAATACGTGCGACACCGAAGACGAGCGAGCCTAATCGGAGTCAGAGGGTATGATTGGCGAATTGAAGAGAGTAGGGGACATTACCATCTCCGGACAGCGGTCCAAGAGAGACGTTCTCGTTGGCGGGTCTATCGGTCTTCTTCTTTGGAGGCATTTTGGCTGCGATGGATGGAGGATGTTGTGGATAGCACAAGGAAAAGGGAGCAGCTCGAGTTCGTCTTCATGAGCATTTGATTTCGCAGTGGTCCGGGCATAGGGCTTTTCCCCGTGTGCCCTAACTTTCCAAAACGGCACTAGCTTAGTTAGTGAATTAGATGCTGACTAATCTCGCCGGCTTAAAATCGAGCAGCAGCAAATTTTCTCCCTCATCCCTCTTTCTTTTTTCTTTTTTTTAATCGTCGCTTGTTGACTTTCATCCAATTGCCTCCTCTCTTTGACCATCACTGCTCATGTTGGAAGAGAATACCCAATGTTGGAGGAATGGCTTCTCTGTTTGGTATTACACAAAGACTAGAATTTCCGCTATGAGTCACTGAGTTACACACAACGTGCACGTTACGCAAGTTGCTGGATCTTAGGGACTCTGTTGGCTTCTTTTATTTCTTGTATACCCTTTTTATCTCTATCTCTGCTACTGAATTGCGGTCTACAAAAGTTTTCTTTTCTCGTGCAGACCAAGGTTACAGTCAAGCACTCCTCAAAATGGCGGGCCATACTTCTCACCCAAGATCCATTGGGATCATTGGGATGGGTGATATGGGAAGGATGTATGCTCAGCGCTTGAGCCAAGCGGGTTGGAGGTAAACCGCCCCCCTTGCTGAGCCTCCATGCTCTCATTTTCCCAACCAATACTATCTCTGGTATATGGTAAGTTCTGGCTTTCTTTTCATATCTTTCCTTTTACATGATGACTTGAGTGCATTTGGCTCGAGTATGGCTTGTTGTCGACTATGCCACCTTTCTGGTGTGCATGGAAGATACCTCGCTGTCACTGATGTAAACGCTCGCTACCTAACTTTTACCTTGTCTGATATCTGCATCTACTCTACTTATCTATTTCCACCCTATCTATTCACAGTTTATGGATGCTAATCGACCTTGCTGGCTTGCTTAGACTTAAAAGACCCTCTAATACCGTGGGCTGATGTATTATACTAGCATTAATGCCTGCGACAAACCTACCAATTATGACACACTGAGGCAAGAATTCATATCCCATGTATGTCCACTACTACCATCAATCGACATTGATGCTCAATTCCTATTTTTCTTTCGAGTAGACAAATATCAATATATTACCCAACGGACATTTGGTCTCCAGAGTTAGCGACTACATTATCTACAGTGTAGAGGCAGAAGCCATCAACAAAATTGTGGCGGAGTATGGCCCATGTATGCAAATTTTATCGAATTCATAGTCTGTCAACAAATTTTATCTGACAATTTCAAAGCAACCAAAGTTGGCGCGATTGTTGGTGGTCAAACTTCCTGCAAAGCCCCAGAGCTGGCTGCTTTTGAGAACCATCTTCCTGGGGACGTGGAGATTATTTCGGTTCATTCCCTACATGGACCGAACGTGAACCCTAAAGGACAGCCGTTGGTATGCATTATTGCCGAGATCACAATCCGCGTCAGAGGCGTCAGTAGTAACCTCGCATATTTAGGTCTTGATTCAGCACAGAGCCTCTGACGAGAGCCTCAGGTTTGTTGAAAGTGTGTTTGCGTCTTTCGAATCCAAATACGTTTACCTCACCGGGGAGAGGCATGATCGAATCACAGCGGACACTCAGGCCGTGACGCATGCTGCATTTTTGAGTATGGGAACTGCGTGGCAAGCCAATAACCAATTCCCGTGGGAGATATCTCGATATGTGGGTGGAATTGAAAACGTCAAAATTAATATCACATTACGCATCTACTCGAATAAGTGGCATGTCTATGCTGGACTTGCGATATTGAACCCTGCTGCCAAAAGACAGATCCGTCAGTATGCAGAATCAGTGACCGAACTATTCAAATTGATGTTAGGCGGCCATCGTGATGAGCTTAAGCGCAGAGTCAAGGCTGCCAGGGCGGCTGTATTCAGGTCTGATGCAGTGAAACAAAATTTACTGCTAGAAGATGAAGTGCTTGACCGGTTCTCCCTGTCCCGGGGGCTGACAGAGAAGACGCCGAATAACCATCTCAGTCTCCTGGCAATTGTTGACTGTTGGTGGAAATTAGGAATTGTTCCCTACGACCATATGATCTGTTCAACTCCAGTTAGTCTGCTCTACTTAACCCCTATTCCAATCTTGATAGTTCCGAATTTTTAATGTTCTGTCCAGCTCTTCCGGCTTTGGCTTGGGGTGACGGAGTATTTATTTCGAAAAGAGGACCTGTTAGATGAAGTCCTCGATATTGCCATTGATGACAATACGTTCCGGTCCGACGATCTCGAGTTTACATTTGCCGCTCGAGTCAGACAGCCCCTCCATCTCTGACCCTTGAATTCGTTTGATGCTTACAGTTTGCTGACAAATTTACCAGGCATGGTCTGACTGCGTTTCGTTCGGCGACTTTGAATCTTATCGAGATCGTTTCGAGAGAATACAAAACTACTTTGCACCTCGGTTCCCCGAAGCTGTCAGACTTGGAAATGAGATGATGAAAACGATCCTGGAGAAAACGGAGAAACCAGACATCCCACTCGCTGCACGTCAAAAAGTGCCGCAATAAGGATCTTCTACCGAAAATATGCTCACGCTACTTGCCGCGCAGTCGGTGTCATTCCCGGCCCTCTACCTGGTGTAACACTCGCACGAACCACATTCGAATCCATACTCCGGCTTTTTCTGCAGTTATATCTCGGGAAGTATTATGGTTTGAATGAATCCATGAGCACGGGTTATCCTGACGACGGGATCTAATGGGAATAGCCTCCCTGGCTACCCTTTTGTATATTATATGACTTATATATAAGGATTTTATGTGGGACAGTACAGAGTGCTATTATAAAAACAGGGCAGATTGTTCGTTCTCGAAGCATTGGGCTCTTTGGACTGAATATAAAACGCGGCTGTTAAAACCGGAATAGAAACCACTGAGCCCTTTCATAACTCAGTCTGAACGACACAATGTAAGCAAGATATGTGGCATCCCAATGGTAGGGTGGCCTGGTGCTATGCCAGGCCCAATACCGGTAGCAGGATATTCAAATCAAAAAGAGTTACTTTGCCTTTATATATCGCCCTTGGAGAAAGTATTCCAAAAGACGACTTTTTGTTTAGTGCATGGGTCGAAAGCGCATTGACCCAGGCGCGGTCGATTTCAAGGGAGCAGGCCCCACACAACAGAGTGTTTATTCTTAGTATATCTTTGGGCAATTAGCGGTTTTCTGGCTTGTGGCTTAGCTACTGAAAAGAGAATTCCAGACAATTGAAAAGCGGTGGGAACGAGCGTCCAGGGATTGATGTCACAAACTACTTAGGCTGCATGCAACCGATCATCTGGGGTCCCTCCCGGGAGAGGATTGTCCCATGAATAAGGTCACTGTAACCGCTCTGTGCTTTCCAGGGCTATGCTCAATCTCCACAGTTAGACAGATGCCAAGTTCCAGACTTACGATTTCCAGGGTTGCACCATCACATTGGCAGGCCGAAGGTGCATCAGTATGTACACGAGCCGAACAAGGGTAAGGAAACACACACAGAGCATGGGGTACAGGCCACCCCTATCAAGGGATTCTCTTTCTCTCAAAAAAAAAAAAAAAAAAAAAAAAAAAAAGGAAGAAAAAGAAAGTAAAGATAAGCTGTTTGGTTGGAGAGCGCTGGAACAAAAATCATCGAACGTGAGATAAGCCCGAGATCTTTAACAATTGAACTGCTCGTATTGCTGGAACCCCACTGCGTTAGAGGCTATATAGTTCAACTAAAATTGACATGGATGTCATCGATAATGCATCACTCTCCTCGGCGACGATCTCGCAGGGTTTGACTGTGTATGATCCTTATCTGCTCCCCTTGCCAGGGCTGGGCAAGCCAGACAGTGAACCTAAGGTCGTCAGCCTCGAATTTGGCGTAACCACTGCGTACTGTTGTTGAGGCTTCCCCGTGTCAGGCTCAAAGGCCATGTTGTGGCTGAGATCTCGACTCTTCTTTAACGAGGAATTCGATTACTCAACGCAATAATGTTGAGTCCTATAATCCAGCCTATCCTCCGAAGCTTCGGTGGTTGCGAAAGCGCGAGTTTCAATCTGGATTATGGCTGGTTGTCGGAGCCCCTGGCGATTGGTGAATGAAAAACGCTTGACACAAACACCCCCCCCCGAACTCTTCTCTCAGAAAGCGGTTAGGAGGATGTTTCGTCCTGTTCGAACTCAGTGTCTTAAAACTTCCTGCGATCTTGAGCTGGAGGAGTCGCTGGGTTCGCAGTTCCTCCGAGAATCTGCAACTAACACGCTGGGCTTGGCTTTGGGCATTATGGTCGACTTCCGCCCCTCCTGGAGTGAGCATCAAGCAGGGACACTACATTTAAAATGGGATAGGGTTCGCCAATTCTTCACATTGCATCGTAGTACTCCCAGGTGAAGTTTCCATAATTTCGTACACGCCATGCGCCATGGATTATATTTGTCCCCCTCTTGATTCGCGGTCGAGGCCGCAGATCCTCCCAGCCGAAATTACGTATGTATGGACTCCGAGCTCCGTGCAGATATGATTTTTCCTTGATTGTCTTTTTATACCCCGGATCCAGGGTGAAATTGAAACGCGTCCTCCTCTCGACAGGGCTGCTCTCACTTAAGACCCAAGAGCTTATTCCGTCGCTGATCATTGGGATGTCAATACATAACACTCGTTCGTCTCCCAGAAGAACCGCCATTTCTTCTCCTTTGTTTATTTTTTTTCGCTCGCAGTTTGAGCTCTTACCTTGTTTCTTTTCTTTTCTTTTCTCTTTTTTTTTTTTGTTTGGTCATTGATCCAGATACCCTAAGCCCGTGTGCAAAATGAGATTAGCCCCCTTGGGTTGGCCGACAGCGGTTTTGGCCTTTGGTAAGCCACATTTTCATTCAGTGCTATGGTCTAAGAGCCTCCATTGATGAATTGAGCCATCTAATGCTCGTGTTAGCATCGAGCGTTCTGGGCAACAGCATTCAATTCAGTCCTGGAGGCCGAGCTTCTGGGTTGAGCTTCCGTGTCAACGTTCCAACATCTACGGCTTCCTCAAGATCAGGCCCAATTTACTTTCAAATTTCAGCCCCGAACGATGTCCAATGGGTTGGCCTAGGTCAAGGAGCCAGCATGGACGGTGCCAACGTTTTCATGCTTTATTCCGCATCCTCCACAAATGTGACGCTGTCGCCGAGGTTAGCCGCGGGCTACTTCGAACCTGAAGTCAACCCGAATGCCAAAATTTCGCTCCTCGAAGGCACGGGGATCTCAGACGGCAGGATGGTTGCAAATGTCAGATGTGACACCTGCATGTCGTGGGAAGGAGGGATGATGGATCCTACAGATACTGCTAGCCCATGGATATGGGGTCTGAAAATGGGATCCTCCATTGATTCGTCGGATACTGACGAAGACCTCCAACAACATGATGTTATGGGCACGTTCACTCTTGATCTGACAAGGGCTGTCGGCGGCAGCTCCGACAATCCGTTCCAGGATATCCCTTCAAATGACCCCCCGCCCCCGACCTCCACCGATTCCAACGGCGCCGTGCCTGTACAGGGAGGAAGATCAGCAATCGAAATTAAACGCATCGCTCACGGATTGATTATGTCTATCGTCGTTGTGGTCCTATTCCCTCTTTTCGCGCTGAGTCTTCAAGTTATCCCCTCGAGAGCCACCGTCCCATATATCCATGCGCCACTCCAACTGGTCGCACTATGTTTGGCAATCGCAGGTTTTGGCATCGGAATCTCTTTGGCATTGGATCTAGGGGTTATATCTGGTTATCATCCGGTTATAGGCCTTATCATGATAGGAAGTTTGATCCTTTTCCAGCCCGCTCTCGGTCTACTCCAGCATATGCATTTTCGAAAGACAGGCGAAAGGAGTTCCTTTGGTGATCTTCACCGATGGGGTGGTCGACTTTTGATTGTCTTGGGCATCGTCAATGGCGGTCTGGGCTTCAAATTTAGTGGAATTGGTAATCCCACCGTACCGAGAGCAGGTGTCATTGCATATGGAGTGATCGCGGGCGTTATGGCCCTTGTATATGTCGCAATCGTCCTGGTGAAGTCTTTGAAACAGGGAGGCAATGCTCAAATGAAGCCCATTGGGTCGAATGGCAACACGCCCCCAAAAGGTTCGGCCGAACAAAGTATCACGCATGATATATAGTTTTCTCATACATGCTGTTCATTTTTTTATATTTTTTTGTTAATGGCAAAACTTCGTTATCGCGCACCACTTCTGTATATATTCATGTTTTCTTTCTTCCCTATGGACAGGACCATTTGTCTTATCTAAAGCTATTTCTAATGGGAGTACTCCTGCGAGTATAATGGGTGGAGTCTGCTCGCTAGGGTTGACACAATCGATGCGTCGCAAAGTAGTTGGAAGTGGCATCAAAGCAGGGTTGCCGAGAGGAGCACCCCGATTACTCCGTACACGGGATACCTGCCAAACAAGCTTAAAATTAAGCTTTGTGGGAAGTGGGCCTTGTGTTGCTCAAAGAGGTTTCCTTGAAAAGGAGAGTACCCAAAAAGATGGAGTAAAATGCGCTTTTGCCAGTATCATAACACCTGTGCATTTCAGAGCGCCTAAATCGCATGCAATTTTCGAGAAATAGACAAAAGAGGTACACACTACTTATCCCTGCTGCGACAGGTGCCTGACAGACTTTTTGCATGCACTGGAGCTAGTTATGTTAGTTGCAGAGCTCCCCATTCCAAATTCGCAAGAGGAGCTACAAGATGGAAAGCTTGTGCTGTTCCTGGTCCGCCCACACTTATATTCATGTATAGGGTATACCAACAAAGTAGGAGTGAAAGAAGTACTTTAGTAGTCTGTATAAAGTGTATAAAAAGCTGCTACTATGCGGAAGCTCCTAAGGAATAGTTATCAGAAGTTACTCATTTGAACACCTCAAACTATGGGAGTTACCAGAATCTGACGCAGGTACTGCTCCAGCACACTATTCAGTCTCTCAGTCTGACTACTCCGTACGGAGTACAGGCTAACGATATACCCTCGGGTCAAAAAAGGACCACTCTCTCCACTCTAGCATTGAGTTAGTTCCTTGATCCTACAGTAAAACTATCCACAAGTTGAATCATTTCGATGCTAGCGGCCAGATAATGTCTTGTGGTTGATTGTTGCATATGCCAGTGAGTTGTCATTGGCAAGGGGACCCCTGTTCCAGATTTGCTAACACTTGATTAGTTAGTTATTAGGACTCCATAGTTCGCCACCCAGTGCATCTTCGGGTTGACATTGAGCTGCTGTGTGACGGGGTGTGGACTGCTGTTTGATGTACTCCGTACCTGTTGCCCGAACCTACATCTTAACCCACTCCCATCATTAAGTTACTCTTTGGTTAGTTAAGCAAGCAACAACGGCCCAACAGCCTGCGCTAAGTTAACCTCCCGGGCTAACAAATATTTTGGGTAGCACTGAAAGCTCCCTGTAACTTCTCCAGATTGTTTCTTGTTCAGTTCAACTTCTTCTCACTATTGTTATTACTTTCTTCTCTTTCAGGGGAAAAAGTGGAAGGTATTCCATGCCTGTTGGTGTAAGTAAAAAGGCGGTCCCTTTTTTCCCGGATTAATGATGTAGTTACAAGTCAACATGTTGTTACCTTTCACTTGCTTATAACCCAACGCCGCCTTCCTCTACTCCGTACTCCGTCCCCTATCTCCTTTTTCTGCTTTCAATTTCAACCTTGCACTGCCAACACTGACCATCTTTTGATTTATCATGCCATAGATGTGATCAGAGAATGAAAACAATGGCACCCCGTCATACGAATGTAAAAGGCTCTTCTGGGTCTCTCCCAAGGTACGCGAAGCTCCCTTCATACGGCCCTGTTTTCATCTAGGTTACTTCTCTCGGAGCTGTCTGTGCTCCTCACACCATCCCCTTTACAAGATCAAGGCGAAGGCTAACTTTTGACCGCATACAGCTATAGTACTTTGTTTGCTAGCGTAAGAATACCCGCAGTTACAATAACAGCTGACAGACACTTCCATGCTAATGGCATTCATCCCCTGCCAACACTTTCAGCATGAATTGTCTTCAGCCTCGCGACGTCCTGATGTTGCAACTGTGACGATCCTTAAGTCTGAATACGACTCATTGGTAAGTATGGATCTGCTAAATACTGCCTTGACCTATGAGGCTAACAACGAGTGGTGAAGGCGCGTCGGTCCTGTGAATACGGTATGTTTATGCCCCATTATCTAGGCCCTCCCTCGATTTCCGTCTAAATATATGTCTGTGGCGCCAGAGAGATTAAAGCAAGCTTTGATTCGTGGAGGCATACCGCGGTCATCTCTTGAAGTGAGGGCATCCCGCTTTAGACTGTCAGGAATTATCAACGCTTACTTCTATGCAAGACATTGATCCGTAGTCCCGATAATTCCTACGAGGTATCACAAGAAAACGAGAATAGTTCGAATTCCACTCTTCGCCATGACCAAAATTCTGCTCGTAGCTCTCCGAAGACTACCACGACCAAAAATCACACTGAGCGAGATGCTGCGTTATACTGCCATCCACAACGAAGCTCAGCAGAGCCAACCATCCGTTCCATAATTGACACACCAGGTCGCCCAGATTCTGATGACCATGACAATGTTTCAACCCCAAGTGATGAGAAGGTGGATTCACCATATTCTGGTGACGAACATACGGTTGCAATGAAATGCCACGGGAATGGAAGTGATAATCGTACCATCGTGTTAAAAGGCATTCCAGATCGAACAACCCATTCCCACATTGTCGCTGCTGTTCGCGGAGGCGCGCTGGTAGATGTCTTTCTTCGCTCCAGGGAGCGTACTGCGAGCATCTCGTTTGCTGACAGCAGAGCTGCCCAGGAGTTCTTCACATATGCGAAGCGGCAGCATTTGTGTATCCTTGATAAGCCTGTAAGTTTGAGAAGGACAGATTTTTCGTTTTGATAGCTCACACCGTTGCCTTTTAAGGTTGATGTTTCATGGAGTGACCGCCAGTTCATTCTGTCAAACTATATCGCCTCTCAGGTGTCAAATGGGGCTTCCCGCAATATCTTGATTCGCGGAATCCACCCCAATTTGACCGAATCCCGAATCCGAGAGGATATGGAGCATATACACAATTTGGTGATTATTTCAGTTACGTTTACCCAAGGCAATGCATATATTTCCACAAACTCGGTTCAAAAAGCGTCATATGCTCGCAATTGCATGAGATCCCGCATGCCATATAAAGTTATGAGAATAGAGTACTATCCCGATGAGTGCGCAGAGCCGTTGCCACGGATCCAGCATATGCTGAGGAGGGAAACTCCTCGACCAGCCAAAAAATTGAATCCTATGGCCAATCGGTTCGAGATGCTGCATCTCGATGATAGTGATGCTGACTCTGACGGAACGGAGGAGTTGACAAGCTGTGCCTCTGTTACAGGCGGAGTCAACTGGGCGAATCCGATTGCTGTCTAAATGCTTATCTGGACATCTGCTGACATTCAGTTTCCCATTTTGCCCTCTCGCTAACTCTTGCATTATTGGAAGCATCGAGCCACCATTCAAAACTAATGTTCGGCCATCATACCCACCCTGTTCTATTCATCTAGAATGCCCTACTCCGTACAGCCCTTCCCTTTCTTCTCTCCAATGCCTTGCACTGGGTCAAAGCACCAAAGCTGTCCTGCCATTTTTGAAATTCTTCCTGTTAGATACCCAATTTCTCTGCAGCTTTCCTGGTTTTATCATTCGAGGTGAGGAAGTTACTTGGGAAGGATGATTGCATTGTTTAATCTGATACTTCTTGTCCTGCTCTTTTCAGCAATAGTTTTTACTTCAATATATGTCATCTGCATCAAGGCTAAAGAAGAGTGTGTTCATGCAAAAATATGATTCTGATTAACTATCATCAACAATAGACACGACGTGGAAGGGAGCAATATCTTCTTGGTAAACCTAGTATCACCCTCAGCTCTGGTTACACTTATCACACAGGCTTCATCTTCCACTGTGTAAAGCTCCTCCTCTAATCAAGCAGCACAACATTGTTGAGTTGCCTGGAGCAGAAGTTGACTCACGTGACATTGTGAGATGATTGGGATGCACGCTAAGATAAGATAAGCACAAAGCACTCACATTGAAGCGAAAATCGAAAAACTGAAGTTCAACATCAAAAATTCAGTGTGGAGCAACCTCGACGCCAACAACTGCAAGCAACATCTTAAGGGTTCGTGCTTACTCCAAATAGTGTGTACCAATCTTCGCTGGGGATCTACAGCAATGTCCGTCGACGCTCGCACAGCGTACCCGGGGAGTCGCCCACCGGCCAATATGCAGGATGAATCAGACGTTGAAGAAGAGGCCCTCGTGAATAACTATAAAGAACAAGTGCACTTTGATGATGGAATGAGCGAGTTGGATCGGACTACCTCACTGGGAGCTGCTTCGCAGACACAGGGCCTCCAGGCGCAGCTGGCAGCAGCAGCGACTCCATTGGAGTTTCAGGCCACCCTTGAGACGAAGTTCGCGAGCTACGATAATTACTGCAGTCTATTCCATTATATCTTGAACTCGGATGGACCGGTAGATCTGGAAGTCCCCTCTGTATGTTTTTTTCCTACTTCTTCCCGCGAGCTCGCGCCTTAATTGACTTGCGAGGTTGTGGGTCGCGCTCCTCATGTGGCTATGAAAGGGCGAGGCTAATTTGGATTTTATTTCTAGTACTACTGGGCATGGGACGTGATCGATGAATTCATCTACCAATTCGAGTCTTTTTGCCGCTATCGTAACCGGGTTGCTCGTACCGGGTCGAACGAGGAGGAAGCACAGCTTTTGAGAGAGAATCCCAACACCTGGGGATGCTACTCTGTCCTTAACGTCCTCTACTCCCTTATTCAACGATCTCAAATTAACGAGCAGCTGGCTGCTATAAAGGCCAATGAAGATCCCATGGCCGTCGCCGGAGACTACGGATCTCGCCCCCTCTATCGCATGCTCGGATATTTCTCCATTATTGGGCTGCTACGTGTCCACTGCTTGCTAGGTGATTTCAGCTTGGCTCTCAAGACTCTTGATGACATCGAGATGAACAAAAAGGCCATGTTTGCTCGAGTAATGGCTGCCCATTTCACAACCTACTACTATGTCGGTTTCTCATACATGATGATGCGCCGCTATGCCGATGCCATTCGCACCTTTAGTCACATTCTCGTCTACGTTTCGAGAACGAAAAACTTCCAGAAGGGCAGGGAGAGCTACGATGCTATCGCCAAGAAGAACGATCAGATTCTTGCGCTCATCGCAATCTGTGTCTCTTTCCACCCCACCCGATTGGACGACACTATCCACTCAGGCCTTCGCGAGAAGTATGGTGACCAGTTCATTCGCCTTCAGCGCGGTGGGCCGGACGCCCTTCCACTCTATGAAGAGCTTTTCCGCTCGGCATGCCCAAAATTCATCAGCCCAACCCCCCCGGATTTCGACAATCCAGCTCTTAACATCGATCCTGTGGATCATCATACGGCCATCTTTATGGATGAAGTGCGCAACACGTTATACAACCCAACTGTGAAATCATATCTTAAACTATACACCACGATGGATTTGAAGAAGCTCGCTGGGTTCCTGGAAGTTGAGCCAGAGCAACTCCGCTCGTGGCTTCTCGTGAACAAGTTGCGGAGTAGACAGGTGAGATGGTCTGAGGGAGGCCTGTTGGAAGGTGAAATCGTCAACTCCAGTGACTTGGATTATGCCATCGAAGGCAATCTGATTCACATTAGCGAAGCTAAGGCGGGTCGAAGATTAGTGGATTGGTACCTGCGCAACCTTGCCAGAACATACTAGATTGACCATCGAAGGGAGGATTTCATGAACGGATTAGGTGGTTTTTCAAGTTTACTCTGCATTCTACGAGATACAAGTATGATGGTTGCCGCATGAGAGCCTGCCAGCTATGGATCTTTGTCTGATAATACTCTTTTGTACCTGTCATGAAGGGAAAGAAAATGTGGAGTTTTGCTTGGATTCTCGTCAAAAAGCGGTTTCCTATCCCCAAAAAGGTATCCTATAAAGAAGGTCATGGCTATAGTCCTTCTTTACTTCTTAGGCGCTTATGGTCCATGTTGTTATGCTAACGAGTCTTGGTTTAATTGTTCGACGCCCTTCCAATAACAGTTTACATTGTACGGAGTAATTTTCCTGTTTTGGTAAAATTTTGATTGTTCTTTTTCTTTTTTTTTTGCGTCTTTACTTGGTTGTCTATGTCATGTACTATACAAATGAAAAGCATAGGAATAGATTGCCCAGATGCATTCCCAGGTATCTTCGATCAGACTGTCCCAATCGCTTTGGTACCTGGAGGCATAAGAGGGAGGAGAATGCGCCCTTAGGCAAATCATGTAAATCAGTGTGAAGGCATCTGTCTCTTACATACAGGTCCTCCCAAACAGGTCTTTTGCTGTAAATTCCGGAGTATACTATCTTTTATCATCCCTCAGTAACGTCGAAACTAGTACCGCATCCACAACTACTCGTCGCTCTTGGATTATTCACGACCTTGAACTGACTTCCTATCAGTTCAACCGTATAATCAATGGTGCTGCCTTTAAGCAGTTCAAGAGATGCAGAATCCATAACGACTTTCGCTTCTCCCGCGGATGTTTTGGAAGTGAGACCGGGGGATGACGATGCTTCCATGGGCGTGTCTTGGGTCTCTTCTTCAAAAACAGTATCTTCTTCTGGGTCGATTTTGGACCGTGGGTCGAGAGACATTATATACTGAAAGCCATGGCAACCGCCGCTTGTGACAGTGACTCGGAGATGGTCGTATGGTTCGGACTTAGAGTTCAGGGAGGATTTGGACGACGGGTCAGTTAATTGTCGGAGACGCTTATGGGTAGAACTTGTTAGCAACGGCAAGGCTGAACAGTGAAATGCCCAACGCAAATCCGGAACGCGAAGGAAATCATTTCTGGGAAACTGAACACAAAAAAAAATAAAAAAATAAAATAAAATACAACAGCCGGGATTCGCTGGTGGTGAGCCACCCAACTACTAGCCAGCCGGCAAGTGGCTTAAGTACGGCTGAGCGGACGGGAAGCCCTGTTTTCCACTTCCTATGGTCGTATGTGATTGTTCTAGAAGTGAATCCACAATATCATAGCATCATAGCAGTATGCTAAATCCCCTCTTTCTAAAACAAAGGCTTGAGATGGCCTTCCGAAGGTGGAATTTCTCTCTGCCTGAAAACCAAAACTAGCACCCACAAAGAGCATTTTAACATACCTTCGCTGCGCGGGGAGATATTTCAATCGTCATCGGATTTCCATCATCATCAACTCTGGGGTTTAGAGCCACTATTGTTGTGTGGTTCAAAGCCGTTGTGGAGAATGCAAGTCTGCGATCGAGCAAGGTGCGGTTGTTCCTCCGATGAGGGGGAAAGATTGGAAACTCTTGGGCGGCCCGCCAACGTGAGGAGGACAGAGACACACGGCCGGTGCCGGAAGGCACTCCCGACGATTTGAAGCCAGCTCTTGAGCTGCTCGATGATGCGAGTCGCTGAAAATGACGGGAGACGGTTGCGGCGGGGATGTTTTGGCACTGGACAAGGCGGGTGCCGGTAGAAAGGAGCGTTGGCGGTGACATTGTACGGGACGAGCCACGCTCAGATGCAAAACAAGATACCTTCAGCCGAGCATCCAGAACAAGTGTGCCATGAAGTTGGTGTGTTTTGGAGCTTGAACTCCGCTCCTCGGGACGCCCAAGAGATGGGATTTTAGTAATCCCCGGCATTTTTAAGCTCAGTCCAACCAAGCGCTCCGATTGGATCCGCCGCCACACCGCCCTCTTGGCAACGGTTATGGCATTTTGGGCTCCAGCAATACAGAGGCAGAGAGATCATCAGCAGAAGGAATTGAAATTCAACTGTCAACAACTAGCAGCTAGAAATACATCTTTCTTTTTTTTTTTTTTCTTTTCTCCTTTTAATGGCTCATAATTATACCTCACATTACCCTTTACAAAACTTGAATATGTGCCTTTCCGTCATCATTACCGTGAAAGCCTCAAAACGATCGCAGGTGTTTTCCAGCAAGATCAGACCCCAGATTAGCAACCCCTAACATAAGGAAGTACCTCGGTCATGGATAATATTTTGAACATCGTTTCTTAAGCAGCAGAGTTCCTGCGTCAGCTTCAAAGCCAGTTTTGGCTAACGATTCGCCTCGAGTTGCCCTAAAACTCGGGGAATTCTCTCCACATGATATCTGCAATACGATCCATTGGCGCTTGCATAAAGGCAATTGCTGTTTCAAAATATGGCTGAGTTGGCGCATTTGGATGGGCGCGTGTCGGCATCAAGATCTTAGTCCGCTCAAACCGCCTAGAAATGGTTTCGGATTCCGCCGGCTCCAAGACAGATTCCAGGGAAGGGATATCCTCATCCTGTTCTTCATCAAAATGCTTGTTCAGATTATCCATGATGGAATCTAGCATTGGTAGATATCGCGGGTCACTGGGCTTCATATCTTGGAACTTGGCCAGCAACTCTTTGATCTAGTATATATTCCCCGTTAGGCATCCGACCAGACTCCAGAATCTCGAGTAGCATACCTGCTGGTTTTCACCCCTATCCTTATCGGCTATAACCTTGCCATGGTCCATGTGAGACTCGAGGGCCGGATACACGACGAGCTCTTCGGCCACAGCATAGCGGGCAAGCTCCCAGACGAACTGTTTTGTTGCTGTTCAGCGTAGGAGATATTTTGAAATTAACTTCATCAAGAGCTTTACCTGGTTGCCCCAACGCTTCCTGGTGTCGTCATCCTGGGCCTCGATGATTTTTTGGTAGTGATCTCGCATCTGCTGCTGATCCGCCCTCATCACATCTGAAATGGAAGCCATTTTGTTAGCAGGTGCTTGTCAACCTCTTTGGATCATGTATAATCTGTGTTGTTAATGAGACGCAAATTTCTTTGGCGCCTTTGCCTCCTGATAAGAGTCTAAAGTATCCCGGAGCTCACCTCCTATCCCCGAGGGTGCTGGCTAATATAAGGTCATGTCGCACAGGTCAGCAGGCAAGGAGCTCCGGGTCTTCACCTGGAATTCTTCTACCATTGGTAGATATTTCAAGGATAAGCTCTCATCACGTCATTGCTGTGAAGCTTCCAGAATTCAGTGATTGAGTTCTCTCGGGTCGTGCAAAACAGGTTCTTCTGCATGTTATCTGGATCACCACAAGCTTGTTGAGGAAAGGTTTAAACTTTAGTCCCATGGAGAAGTTACCTGCTTATGTACTTTCTGCCGAGGAGCTCCTTAATCCTTTTCTATTTTTTTCTTTTTTTTTTTTTGAGTGCAGCTCCAAATCTGTTCTACCACTCCATTAACAGAGTATCCGTTGGGTTGGCAAGTCAGTTGCTGCACAAGATTAAGCTAGGCATACTTGATAGAAATATCTCAAATTCCAGCTGGAGTTGCCAAAAGTAATTCGGTATTGAACAGGAGAATATCGCGCGGGGCGGCGTCCGGCAGCGGATGGCTAAAGCCCACTAATATAAGGAGGCTTAACTGTTACCAAAGCTACATGTACAACACCCTTCTCCAAGCACCGTTTCACTCATCTGCAGACTTGAAATTGTTGTGCTGTGCACCCGAGTGAAAATGACACTTGTTGAAGTTGATTCTCTAGAGATTGTCGTTATTGTTGACAATGAGCTGGATGTCATGTCCCCTCCCCCACCCGATACCGTCCAAGCGACTGGGTTGATGGGCAATATAGCACTCGAATCTCAATATGACTTGCATCACCGAGGCGACGCTTCAAAGGAGCTTCGCATGGACAGTATCTGCTGCTCTGCCCATGGACTTTCAGTGATGATTGTAAGAACAATGCGTGCGGTACTTAAGCTGAGTGATACATGACTCTACTCATCAATATGTTTTCACAGACGGCGACTAGAGGAGATGTCAGGCATACAATATTGTTTGACACTGGCCCAGAAGAAAGCGTCTGGGAACGCAATGTTAAGCGACTCAGGGCCGATATTTCGACCATTGAGCGTATCCAATTATCCCATTGGCATCGAGACCACTCAGGTAATGCATATAGCTTGTCCCTGTTTTGGCATGGTAATGAGACTTGAATATGTAGGCGGTATGCTTCGCGCGATACAGATGATTCGAGACACACAAGCGGCGAATGGTCGCAGCGGTCAGGATCTCGTGGTCGACTTGCACGAAGCACGCCCAGACTACCGGGGATTCAGCATCGGGTCTGAAATAATTTCGCTTGAGGCAGACCCCACATTTGAGGAGATCGAGGATGCGGGGGCGAAGGTAGAAAAGACCACTTCCCCTCACACAGTCTTGGACGGCATGTTCCTTATCTCAGGAGAGATTCCGCGCATCACGGAATATGAGACCGGGTTGGCGCATGCGGTGCGCTTTGATAAATCAACAGGTCAATGGGACAAAGATGAGATAATTGCTGATGAGCGGCTTCTTGCATGCAACCTCAAGGGTAGGACTGTTTATTGAACAGCCCATTTGGAGAGGAATTGACCTCCACCTTCGTGCGGCTGAGCGGAAGGCTAACGAATTGTCGGTGTTCACAGACAAGGGTCTCGTTATATTTACCGGTTGCAGCCACGCCGGCGTCGTCAATGCATCGAGACACGCAGTGGATTTGGCCGGGAAGAATATTCCCGCCTACGCAATTTTCGGCGGATATCATCTTGCTGGAAGCGAAGCAGCCCAGATTGAGGCCACGGTTAAGGACCTCAAAGCACTCAACCCTAAGATTTTGCTTCCGGGTCACTGTTCCGGCTGGAGAGTAAAGTATGAGATCGAAAAGGAGATGCCCGGTCGTTTGGTTCCGCCGTCCGTCGGAGCCAAGTTGACATTCTGAATGGAGATGAAATCCAACACTCTGTGGCGGGGGATCTCTCTGGTAATGTAGAGATACTACTACCTAGCTGTTATACGATACTGGGAATTTAAAGACGGTATCCCAAACCCAGGTTTAGGAGGTGCTGCATGGAGTAGATACTATAGATCAAAAGCGCTCCCAGAATGAATTGTGGTGTTCAATTGAGGACGATAAACTTCCCTAGTTCACGGCTGGGAACGGCTATTGGGGCTTTGCGAGGTTGAGTTGGTCGGTGATTCATAGCGTGTGCATCCCTCAGAGACACGGAGTGCCTGGACCAAGAATTTGCCGAAAGTCAAAGAGATGTCGCCTGTAACGGGATGTGGGGTTGGAAAAGGTCAACACTGCCCTCTATGTTCTGCGACCGTCACCGTATATATCCTCGCGCTCAGAGGGGAAGGATAAGTAGCAGATATCTATCCATCGCCTCCTGAACGAGTTAATTCCTCTGTCCTGCTAAATCTATCAGCAAGGAGAGAAACGTTCCGTACTTAAGCTGGTTGTCTATAATAACAAAAAGGAAAACATGGCCGACAGTTCGAAAGCCCCTCTTCCTTTCAGAGACAGTGCTCTTTCATTCAAGAGGGAGTACGCAGAGTCTCTAGATGCTCAGGATCCGCTTCGCGAATTTAGGAATCAGTTCATCATTCCCTCAAAAGCAGATCTAAAAAGAAAATCCCTTGCCGTTGCCGAAGGAGGTGAGCTCTGCTTTTCCCCTTTGCGCCTTGCTTCTGGCAGCTCAAATCCACACAAGCAGCGTGACTTACAGGATTTATAGAAAGCCCATCTTCGGATTGCATATACCTTTGTGGAAATTCCCTTGGCCTTCAACCCAAAAATGCTCGCACGTACATTGATCGATTTTTACAAACATGGGCGACCAAGGCCGTTCTTGGACACTTCACTAAGCTCGAAGACTCCCCTTTCCCTCCGTACATGGACTACGATGATGTTACGTCGAAGCTGATGGCTCAGGTCGTGGGAGCGCTTCCGAGCGAAGTGGCCGTTATGAGCACGTTGACAGGCAATTTGCACCTTCTTATGGCGAGCTTTTACCGCCCGACAAAGGAGAAGTATAAGATTATTCTTGAAGGGAAGGCTTTCCCTAGTGATCATGTATGGGCCGACCCTGACTCTCAACGTAATGTGGACTGTCCGAATTGCAGGCAATGGCTGATAAGCTGCGCTTTAGTATGCCGTGGAGTCTCAAATTCGGCATCATGGTTTCGATCCGAAAGATGCTATGGTGCTAATCGAGCCGAAGGACCTTAAAGAGCCTGTCCTTCCGACAGAAAGGATACTGAAAACCATCGACGAGCATGCATCCAGCACTGCTCTCATCTTACTCCCCGGCATCCAGTATTACAGCGGCCAGTATCTTGATATTCCAACTATTACAGCCCATGCGCACTCCAAGGGCCTACTTATAGGATGGGACTGTGCACATGCTGCTGGAAATGTTGAATTGAAGCTCCACAATTGGGATGTGGACTTTGCCGCTTGGTGTACGTATAAATACATGAATTCAGGCCCTGGTTCCATGGGAGCTCTGTTCGTGCATGAAAAACACGGCCAAGTCAACCTGGAGAATAAAGAAGATCCATACAGACATCGCCTAACGGGCTGGTGGGGCGGGGATAAGAGCCTGAGATTTCTCATGGATAATAGTAAGTTTTCTTTCCAATGGCTTCAGGCCGCGGTTGATCGTCGATTGATTAATGCAATGTCGCTAGATTTTGTTCCTCGCCCTGGTGCGGCTGGATTCCAACTTTCGAACCCTTCGGTCCTTGATATGACTGCTGTACTCTCTTCTCTCGACATTTTCGACAAGGCTACTATGCCTGCGCTTCGAAAGAAGTCCCTTGAGTTAACTGCATATCTGGAACATTTACTCCTCAACTCCCCGGAGGGTGTCCGACCCAGCGGCGATCCATTCTCGATTATTACTCCATCTGATCCTGAAGCACGGGGTGCGCAGCTGAGTGTGCTATTGAAGCCCGGGCTTCTCGACAGCGTATTTAGTCATCTCGTTGACAATGGTGTTATCCTGGATGAAAGAAAACCTGATGTCATCCGTGTCGCTCCAGCACCACTATACAACACATTCACAGATGTGTGGGATTTCGTTCAGATTTTCTTTGATGCCTGCCGCAAGGCAGCTCAGGAAAAGGATACAACAAGTTAGGTTGAAAGTATGTACATATAGTCCATTGGCTGTTCAAAGCGAGGACAGTCCAAATTCCTTTAAGGGGGAACCTTTCTTCACTGGGTGCTGGTGTAATTCAAATGTTATTTTCTAACAAGTTTCCTGTATGTTAGGCCACGGATAACCATGAGGTAGTACATTGGTGTTATAATTCCACCATTAGAAGCCATTGAGGGAAACTGATCAGTCTGATCTATTCTCCAGATCAGAGGTTATCCGAGAAGGATTGGTTGTCCTACTTTCTTATGGAGCTAGCTTGGTTATCATCCAAAAAAAAAAAAAAAAAAAGGGGTCATCCACTATATCTCTAGGAAGATCCTGCAAGGTGGCTGAGCGAGGTAATTTGGGTGAGCTTCTGCCCAAATTCTCACCCCCTTTGTCCTGCATTTTGCCAGCAGCGATGCCTGCAGATACAATGGTGAACGGAGTGGTACAACAATGGACCTGCATACATCAACAAACCCTGGTTTCTACATTGCAACCAGGGCGTCTATGTATGATGGGTAACACTCGACCATCTCCTCTTTAAAGTGTGGCCTGCAGTTTTCTCAGGCAACGGACCGGAAAGCGGCTTGCATGGACCCGAATATATGCCTAATACAGTACTATTCACTTCGCAGTAATGGAAAGACGCATCCATCAAACATGTTTGTATGTATGTACAACAAGCCAGGTCTTGATCTGCATGCTTCTTTCTCTTGTTTTGCGAGTCTGGCGCGGGAATGCATCGGCAGCTGGTTTCTCAAGGTCAATTATACCTTGTTCCCACGGACGCGGGACTTCAGGGGTACCTAAGGTCGGGGCTCTTCTCAATTGTCAATTATGGACTCCTCAATTTCTGGCTACATTCCGATTTTGAACATGCAGTATATAAGAAGGCTTGAAACCAAGGCTTCCATCCATTTTCAAAACCAAACACGATGGATCCTCCTTTTCAGAGCAGCAATGGTACCACATTAGGGGATATCACATCAGCTGAAACAGAGTGTTCTCGCAGTTACACATTTGTTAAGAAAGCCGAGCACAATTATAACCCTAATCTTCAGGAAGAACGTGTATAATCTACCTTTCCTTTGTCATTACGTCTGCATATTGTCATTTTGCGCATCATGGGCTGGGCTTTTGTCTCTTCTCCGGAAAACACCTTTCAGCACTAAATGTTATGGGGAGGAGCTTGAATGTTTCGCATAGGAGATGGACCTGACTGTCACCACCTATATGGTATGAAACTTGAAAGAAGCTGTGTTGTTGTTTTCTTGCTAACTAAGTGTATCCTGCTCTCCATCTAGGCCATGCAAGGATTGACACCAATGTTCTTGGGAGATTTTGCAGACGCTGCTGGCAAACAACCTGCATACATCATTTCCTTCATCATATATGTTTCTGCCAATATTGGCGTTTTGTGCTCCGTTGCTTGCAGAGTGCTGGGAGCAGCAAGACGATTGCCCTAGCATCTGGGGTAGTGGCTGATATCGCCACTGCAGCCCAAAGAGGATCATATATTGGCTATACAATGGCAGGTTCGTTAATAGGACATTCAATTAGGCCCAAAATTGGCGGGGTTCCTACCCAATATTTGGGCTGAGAGCAATATTCTGGTTTCTTGTTATCATGGCATCCATTTACATTGTTCAATTCGCCATATTCCTCCCCGAAACGTCAAGGAATATTGTCAGAAACGGGTCAATTTCACCACCAGGATAGAATACCTCCCTGATATCTTACCTAGTCGAATGCAAATTAGAGCGACGTCCGGCACAGCCACCCGCGAGAGCGTAATGCGGAATTCCTAACCCGCTGAATACGCTTGCGATAGTGATTAGAATGGTTACTAGGCTGATTTTATTAAGCAACGCGATCATTGTTTGTGGTTACTACGTGATTGGAGCCTCGACTCCAAAGATCTTTCATGACACATATGAACTGAAAGAGTATCAGGAGATCGGCCTTTCTTTCCTTCCTTTGGGGCTGGGCCCTGCGTTTACCTCGATAGCCAACAGCCATGTAGTCGACTAAAACTATAGGAGAATTTCCAAGAAGCTCAGTCATACCATCCACAAAAATAAGGAATGAGACCTGGGAAATTTCTCATCGAAAGAGCTAGACTCCAAATTTCTCTCCCGTTGCTCGTTGTCGCAACCTCTAGCATTCTCGCCTTTGGCTGGACCGTGCATTTCAACTTGTCAATCACTTTCCCGTTGACTCTGCTCTTTTTCTTCGGAGCTCCGACCCTCGCAGCGTAATACTCGGGACTCCAATTGTTGATCTGCATCCAAATAATGCAGCCACAGCCACGGCTGCGAACAATTTAGTTCGGTGTCTGCTTAAGGCGGGGGCGACGGTGGGTATTTTGCCTACAGTAAACTGGTTGGGTGGATGGTTTTTTATTGTGGTGGCCCTGGCCTTGCTTACCACGGCTTCCATGATGGTCGCTGCCATCTATCTCAATCCAAGGAGATGGGGTTGCGATGGTGCTGGTAAAGTAGAGAATTGACGCTCGGGGGAGCTGTTTATCCTATGGGAGACAGTTTGCTTGGGTGATATAATCCAGGAACCCAGAAATGTTATGCTCAAATATCATAGCGGCTGGCCAAAAATAACCACGTTTATGGGTCTCACGGAGAAATATTTCGTGTTCCTTTCTTATCTAAATGCAAAATACGCCCTTTCTAGGGGGACCCTTTCCGTCTCCCAAGCAAGCCAGTCTGATCTCGTAGTCCTAGTACATTTATTAGCTCTATTCAAGCTTTGGTAGTGTGGAAAGTCGGACATACGGTAACAAACCCATCGCATTGACCTTCCACACGCCCAACGCCAATAGCATAAGTTGCATCAGAACATATACTATCTTCACTCCAATCAATTGCGCCTTAATCCCCTCCGCCTCAAATTTGGCAAAGGCGGAATTCGTCGCTATCAGACCTTGGATAGGCCCCTTGAATAGCATGAAGACCATCATGATGCTAAAAATCTGTAGACTGTTCCCAGACATGTACATCATTATTGCGTTCATAGGTAATTGCTTTGCTGGTGCAAAGGCAATCTCCCACGCCTTCTTGAGCTTGAGAGCGTCGGTTTCACGGGATTTCTGTACGGAAACGCTAGACGACGTCGAAGATTGTTGGGGGGATTTGGGCTGCAAGGCGGGGTAGGATTAGGGGGATGTACTTGAATAGCACGGGAAAAAGGACCAAAACTCACTTGTTTTGAGCTGGATCGTGGTGAGGACGAGTAGCCTGGCGGATTCGGGATGTTCGCTTTTGATGGTGGTGGAGGCGGTGACTTCATGTCGATAGCCCACGGAGGTAGGGATACAGGTGGAACCATGGTGGTCGCTCAGGGAATAAACGTTTCGCAGATTCTTCGTGCAAATGTATAGGAGGGTAAGGTGTTAGGTAGGATCGATGGCCGTGAGCTGGGGTTGCCGGTTGTCGCGTGTGGCCACGAGTTGGTGAGGTGGTGATGTTTTCGATCTGGACTGCGCCGGGGCCCCTTTGTCATTTGAAGGTTCCGTCTCAGACCAGCTGCTCGCTCTGTTCCTATTTTCTCACCGTCCACACTGAATTGGATCGGGAATCAAACCATTACCCTGATTTAGAGGCATGGAAGTGGCAGCTACTTTGTCCATCTCTCCGTCTGGCCATTTTTCGGTGTGATTTGCCCGGGCGAAAGCCAGAGGCAACCTTGCGATCTACTACGTACTTCCTTGTCACTACGTCCCTTGACGCAACCCCAGAGCTTTCTCCGCGGTTAAGCAGCGAACGAAACAATGTCTTCGAGCGGGGGAGATGCTAAGCTATTTGCGAGGGTAGGTCATCTGCCCATCTCTCCTACTGCCGTATTTTATCCCCCCGTGCCCCGTCGGCCTTGTTCATCTTGACCACGCTTTACCGTTCTGCTTTTGCGGGAGTCTGGACTGCAGACATCTTGATCTTCTTCCACCTGCCCTTTTGACGACGCCTTTTCCTGGGATCCCCATGTTTGCTCCGAAGCTATTTACGCCGCCGGCACATGCTGTTATAAATTCATGGACTCACAGTTCGCAGGGAAAGGTCAACGAGCTCCGTATGGAGCTCCATGGCGGAGGCAAAAAGGATAAGAATCATTCCGGAAAAAAGATTGCATTGAAAAGGATCGTGGCAAATATGACAATGAGCAACAATGATATGGTTTCATTGTTCCCTGACGTGGTTGAGTGCATGACGATTCCGAGCCTTGAGATTAAGAAGATGTAGGGGATTCTACACCGTGAGGACTAGGCCAACGATGGATCAACGTGGCTAACGGAACGTTGAACCAGGTGCTTTCTGTTCCTCGTCAATTATGCCAGAACGAAACCTGATGTAGCATTGAAAGCGCTACCGTTATTGCTGGATGTATGCTTTTCCCGTAGTACCAGTTCATCCTGATGTGTTTACGAGCTAACAGAGAGTGTAGGATTTGAACGATAACAATCCTCTTATACGTGCTCTTGCCCTGCGAACCATTTCATATGTCCATGTTCGTGAATTCGTCGAGGCTACCGTCCAACCAATAAAACGGCTGCTCGATGACGGAGACCCATATGTCCGTAAAACTGCGTGCTTTGCGGTTGCGAAGCTTTATGACCATGACAGGAGAACTGTGGAAACATCAGACTTGATTGATAGGTTGAATAGCATGCTTAAGGATGAAAATCCAACCGTAGTATCCAGTGCCTTAGCCGCATTAATGGATATATGGGAAAGGAGTGAAGCCATCACTCTTACAATTGATTATGCGAGTGCGTCGAAGATGATATCTATTCTTCCAGATTGCTCCGAGTATGTCTTTCCCCCTTCAGACATGATGTCCCAAACTGACTTGCGGTTTAGATGGGGCCAAACTTATATCCTAGAAGCGTTAATGTCGTACGTACCACGAGAGTCATCAGAAGCGCTCTTGTTGGCTGAGAGAGTCGCTCCGCGTCTCTCGCACTCAAATTCTGCAGTTGTACTGACCTGCATCCGCGTCATTCTCTACTTAATGAATTATATTGCCGACCAAAGACAGATCGCATCCTTAGCGCGCAAGCTTTCGCCTCCGCTTGTGACTCTTTTGTCAAAAGGTCCTGAGGTCCAGTATCTGGCCCTTAGAAATGCAATTTTGATTTTACAAAAGCAACCAGAGGTTTTACGAAACGATATTCGCGTGTTCTTTTGCAAATACAACGACCCGATATATGTCAAGGTCACGAAACTTGAACTAATTTTCATGTTAGCAACCAGAGACAATATCTCTGTTGTACTAACGGAACTGCGGGAGTAAGTCTTTGCTATCGTGCCGTTATTTATACAGTATTTTAACATCTCCATAGGTATGCCACGGAGATCGATGTGCATTTCGTTCGCAAAGCAGTAAGAGCGATTGGAAAATTGGCGATCAAAATTGAATCCGCTTCCAACCAATGCATCGAAACGTTACTAGAACTTGTCAATGCCAAAATTCCCTATATTGTCCAGGAAGCAACGGTGGTCATCCGCAACATATTTCGAAAATACCCCAATCAATACGAAGGCATCATTGGAGCTGTTATGAAGAATATTGATGAGCTTGACGAACCAGAAGCAAAGGCAGCTATAGTCTGGATTATTGGACAATATGCAGACCGAATAGAGAACTCGGACGTCTTCTTGCAAGACTTCTTGGCAACTTTCCATGATGAGCCGGTGGAGGTCCAACTCGCACTTCTCACGGCGACCGTGAAATTATTCATTCAACGACCCACCAAGGGCCAGCAGATTGTGCCGCAGGTATTAAAGTGGTGCACTGAAGAGACAGACGATCCAGACCTCCGTGACAGAGGCTTCATGTATTGGCGTCTCCTTTCTACCGACCCTACGGCTGCAAAAGATATTGTAATGGGCGAAAAGCCACCTATCACTGCGGAGAGTGAACGGCTGGATCCCCGTACGCTTGAGGAATTATGCCTGAATGTTGGAACCTTAGCGACTGTCTACCTAAAGCCTGTACAACAAGTTTTCCGGAATTCAAGACCGAAGAAACTAGGAAACAGCCCTGCTCTACAAAAACCACCGGCAAACGAGAGTACGAATACGCCATTCTCGATACCAATATCTACTCTGCTTGCGGCGGGAAATAACACCAGTCCTTCGAACCTTGGTACCAATTCGGGGCTTGTGACCCCAGGAGGCGAAATGTCTGCTGCTGTGAATGCCGCGGAGGTGTACTTTGCTGGAGTAGGTAGCCAGCAGATGGCAGCTATGAGTTTGTCTGGTGGTGATGCAGCAGGCGATGGGCTAAATGGCTCACAGCAATCGCCATACATCGTGAATCAGGCCGGCCAACAGGCATACCAGCCGCAGGCAGTAGGTGGAGCGGCGACAGGTGAGTTGTTGCTTATCTGAGACTCGAGCTGAATTGTGGAGGTAATGTGCAGGATGAACTGGATAATCAGGCGGAAATCAGTTGTATATATAGCAAGCAATCCCTTGTGGACTGTCCGATTTTGCATGGGAATGGCGCAACGATTTCGCAGGCGTGTTTAGAGTTTGTAATCACTTTAAAATACTCTGTATTGTGCCAGTAATTGTTGCTGGTCTTTTTGAATTCCAAGAGCTTGCAGTAGGCTGTATTGTCCTGTGCACACCTTTTGAGAGGCGCATGGTATGGCCTGCACAATGACAACAGCAGCCTCCATTCTTTTAACCCCCAAGGAAATTCTGTTATGCGGGCTAAGAGTAAAACTAGATACAAGCCAGCCGTACAGGAAGAGGTATGATGATGTGTCAATATGCATGCAAGGAGAAAAAAGAATCACAGAATACACATAAGCGGGAAAAGGCAGATTAATTCCAACTGATGCTAGCGAGTGAATCAGAAAATTGCATCGTAACAACAACAGGATGCTGAGCTTGATCAAAATGATTCTTCAATTTCATGTGGTCTCGCCATCATTCTTTATTCCAATGTCCAATACATTGGGCATAGTAAAACCCTGAGAGCTCATTAGAGAGCGAGAGAAGACAAGATCATGAAAGTTATGATTTCTCTCCATCCCAGCCAACCCAACTTCGAGGCATAACTCTCCAGACACGGCATTCTCCACTCTTTAAGTCACCCAACTTGAAACTTTCAATCTTGACTTTCTTACTCTCTCGGCCTTGCTCCCACGCTCTAATTTTCTTCTTTGTCCCGTCCCAGTCAACAACAACTCCAACGTGATCAGGCTTTCCAACCTCAACATTATATTTTTGATGCATCGTTCCCCGATGACCTTGGAAACGAGCGTTGCGAAACGTGACAATATCACCGGGACGAATCTCATCATATTGCTGGACGGAAGCGTTGGCTAGATTGGAGTACACCGCAGCTCCGAATGCACGGGCACCAACCGGGAGAAGGGCATCGGAAAAGGGAGTGAGAAGGGACTGTACTAAACTATAGGACGTTCCGTCGCCGACAATTGTGTTTTGTTTGGAGGCTACAGATTCCGAAAGTCGGGATCCAAACAGGGCGTGGGCGTTTTCAAGTTGATCTTGACGGAGCCGCGGTGGCGGCGCCTCATGACGCTGTTCAAGGATAACATCACCAGGATTCTTCGAATCGAACTGAACTGTGATAATCGTTTGGGAATAGTCCATAAACAAAACATAAACGTCTTTGGAAATCGTGGTCTTGCCCCCTCTTTTGGTGGATGACGATTCTTCAACTTCGTACATTATATCTCTTCTATTTTGAAAGACAGGGGGAGGAGTATTGGGTTGTGTCCACCAAAATGTGCCTTCTCCAAGGTCGACATCACTTGCAATATAACCTTCCATAGGCGGCCGCTGGATATCCATAGACCTACGAGTATTGGATTGACTTCTGAGGAGGTCAACTGATCCACGAGAAGGCTGGCTCCGAGATGCACTTTGCAGAGAAGGCGGATTTGGAGGAGGAGAAGAGTGAATGGATTTTCTAGGCGATGATTCAGGATAGAAATCTTCCCCACCAGCTTCTTCTGAGGGTGACTTCGTGGCGGTCGGTGCACCCCGGGAAGGTGGGGCGGCTGGATGGGTATCATATCTATATGGATCGTATTCATCCTCATCGTGTGCATGATTCTTAGGAGGCGGGATAGGAGGGGGAGGCATTCTTGGCATGTCGATAGATTGTCGCATCGATCTTGGAGGGGGCGGAGGAGCTGCGCGAGGAGCCATGGTAGGAGGGGGAGGTGGGCGTATATCTACTGGACTTTGAGGAGATTGAGTGCTGAATTCATCCGTAATGGTGCCTTCGTCTACACTTGAATCACGTCCGTGCGCCTTTAGAGCATCTTTATGTTTGGCGCTAGAAGCAATGTCGGTATCATAATCTCCCTCATATTCTGTGATCTCCTCTTCTGTGTCATGGCCTGGGAGGCCGGTTTGCGTGCGCACACTCATTCGACTATCGTTCGTTGATTTACGACTTACGGGAAAGGGCGGAGGCGGTGGAGGCGGGCGAGTTTGAGCAGCCGATGGCAAAGTAGGGAGCACCTGTGGAACAGGAGGTGGATGGCTTAAACGTTTCTCAGAAGTAGGGAGTCTCAAAGGTGGTGCCACATCGTTCTTTCGGTCAGGTAGAACCGCAGCTGTACAGCCGTCGCTTGACTGGCTCTCTGCTTGTAAATTACCAGGTGCAGCAGAAAGTTCGTCGTCTGACTCTTCGCCGAGACTTGGAGACATTGTTCTCCTTGTTGGTGGCAGTAGGGCGGGGCGCGCTAAACAAGTAATCAGTGGCAGGCCATTTGGGCGTGATACTCAAGGGATCACTTACACTCTGGAGGCGGAGAAGGGCTGATTGGTCGATCTCCTGGCATAGGTGGCAGGACTGGCCTGGAATGGCCGGGCGGAAGCGGCGGGGAGCGTTCTGTTAAGACGGTTAACACAATGGCTTAAAATCTAATCAGGGACATTTAAAAATACCTTCTGGTGGTGGAGGCGGGGGTGCCCTCTGCATCTTGGGCTGCGAAGGATGTACATCGGCCTCTTCAGTGGTCATTTTGGGAGTTTGGACGGCAGTTGTCAACTGTGTATCTATCTCATCTCCCTTGATTTCAGTGGGAGACTTTATTGATTCTTGTTTGCGTGACTGCATTCCCGGGAGAACCATAACTGGGACCGGGGTTGCATATGCTGGAGTCGAGCGCTCTTCATCCGGAGATTTGGCTTCAGCACTGGCTGAATGGCTGGGTTGTGGCTTTTTATATCCACTACCTGACATGCCTGGTATGCCAGGTGGTGGACCAAACATACCCATCATGCCCATCCCGCCACTCATTTTCGCCATACGGTCACGAAGTTCCATTCTCCTTTTGATTTCAGGGTCAATATCCTCCTCTTCCTCCTCTTCCTCCTCTTCCTCTTCCTCTTCCACGTCTTCGCCCTTAGCACCTCCTTGGTCGATCTGGTCTTCTTGTTCACCTTGAGTCATACCTAGGCCGTGCTTCGCTAGTTTCTCATCACCATCCTCCTTGCTAGCTGAAGTTTCCTCCGCTTCTTCTGTATCCCCTGTGCCGGAGTGGTCAGCGTCATTGGGATCACTTGTATGTTCTGGCGAAGGATGTGCAGCGCTCATCGTGGCGGGCAGAATAGGCGCCCGATGTTGGGGTGGACCGGTATCATCACGGTGCTCCACCCCTGTGTGAGATTCCTTGGCTGTTTCCAATGTATCAGTTCTTTCTAATTCCGCACCAGGAACGGAGTCCACGTGGTCCGGAGCTTCTTGCGGTTCTACGCGTTTTTTCGGAGGCGGCTTCTTCGGCTTCTCTTTCTTTTGAGCTGCTTCTGCATGCCGTGCCGCCTGCTCAAGTTGCTGCTTTTGCAGGAGTGCAATTCGTTCTTTTAGAGAGGTAGGCTTGGGCTTGTCCTCATCATCAGCGGCTTCGGGTGGAGGAGGGGGTGATCGATCTGTAGCTAGTCTTTCTTGGTGGGGTTCCATAACCTCTGGGTCTTCTTCCCGCTTATATACCCTCTGGGGAGGCGCTTCAACTGGCATCGGAACGTAAGCATTTTTGCTTGGAGGAGGCGCAACAAAAGGCTTCTTGATAAAGGCGCTCGAGTTTAAAGTTGCTGCGCTTGGGTTAAATGGGGCTATTGGTGCCGCTGCAGGCTTATTAAATGCTGCAATTCTATCCCTGAAAGAAGTTCCTGTAGGCTTCTCGGCGACTGGTGGAGGCGGGGGTTTAAATTCCGTTCGCTGCGTGGCGCTCGTAGGTTGCTTCTGTGATGGTGCCTGAGGAGGGGGAGGAGCAGCTAATATGTGAGTCTCTGCGGGTGGAGGAGGAACGGGCTGAGGTGGTTTGGATTCGGTCTCCCTTTCAATCGATGGTGGGGCCTCAAATTCCGGACTTGGTGGTGCGGGGCTGCTGGCGACTTGAGGTGGCTGGGGAACGGCCTCGGCATGCAGAGGGTGTTCAGAGTCCTTTTTTGGCTTGCTTGGTCTTGAAGGTCGGGGTGGCGCTGGCGGTTCGTATCTTTCCACGAAGTTCCTAGGAAAGATGCCCTCCTTCTTGGTTCCAGCCTCATCTGTATACTCCCCATAATACCATTCTTCATCCTCCTCTGCTGTTACCGTAATGATTTGTCCAATCGAAAATGTAAGATCATCTTCATGGTCGGAGGTGTATTCAAATATTCCCTTAACAGTGAATGGAACTGCGGGCATTTGGGGCAGCGGGTCTGCGTGATAACAACTAGGAACCAACAGATGTCGCGTAACGATTATGGAGCCGGCCTTCTCCTGGTCCTGCCGCCGAGATCAAACAACACCAGAGTCAATTGTAATTTGAGTCCAGATAGCAAGGCTATTCAATGACCAGAAGAAGATGTGATCCTGTGATTACTCTGAAACGAGGTCAGCGCGATTTTACAACTAAGAAACTCCAGGAGGAAAGCACTCACATTTCAGACCAAGGTTTGGTGCTAGTGACAGCATGAATGTCAAAAGATCTAAAGGAACGCGGGTCCAGACCGACTTGCTCTCAGATATACCACTCTGTGATGTGCAGCAATGGTGAGGGAGGTCGTCGAGGGGTGAGGTGTTCGGGCGTTGCTCCACCAAACCAAAGAGCGACAACAAGATAACCTAATCTGTGGCTCAGGCCATTAAGTACGCCACCTTTTCCCCCTCAAAAAGAAGGAACTTACGTCAGGCCAAACACACACTTTCACAGCCGTTACTTGTTTCTCGCCTCACATGGTTCTTGGTGCTTATTGGAACTGGCCTCCCAGAGCTCCTTGATGCTGCTCACCGATCTTTCATTTTGTGCTTCTTTTCCTTAAATGGCTATCCTCTCCGGATAAACATCTGTTTCCTGTTCAAGCGGTCATGGATCCAGCGACCGATTCTCCTTCGATCAGCTCATCGCTCAAGACCTCGATCCCTGCCGTCCATGCTTGTTCGAGCACCGCTCCTAGCTCCATGAATTACACCCCGCCTCGCGGGAATACCCCCAATCCCCGTCACTTGGCCATCGCACTACACCATGCCCGCCATATCCAAGCTCGCAAAGACACAGAAGCGGCAATTTTATCTTACATTGAACTCCTGATGACCTTGCCTAGCGATCCTGATGCGGACCCCGCTTCGCCATCCGAAGAAGACGTGTCTACTTTCAAGTCGGCGCTGGTCCCGTTCCAGCCGTCAGATTACGATAATTTGATCCTGGAAAGGAACATCGACGGGCGATGCGGTTATACACTTTGCCCCAAAGATCACAGAAAAGAGGACCCGAAAGCGAAATTCCGCATAGTCTGGGGTCCAAAGGGGAGTGGACCAGGCGGGCGTGGGAAGGAGATGAAAGTCGTACCGAAAGAACAATTGGAGAAATGGTGCTCTGACAAATGCGCTGAGCGGGCTCTCTACGTTCGCGTTCAGTTGAGCGAGGAACCGGCCTGGGAAAGGATAGACAAGAAGAATATGAATCTGCTCTTGTTGGAAGAAGGGAGGGAAGGCCACCAGATAGATAGGAAGGGCAAACAGCCCGTTACGAGCATGCCAACTGTGGAAGATAAGTTTCGGAATTTAAACATCGGCTCTTCGATAGAGGCGGAACAGGATGCACTTGGCTGCCCGCCGGGTAGACTGACCGTGAATGATGGAGACAGTTCCAGAATGCTGGCGATGGAACGGGGTGATTCTCCTACAATTGCGTCTGACAAGGAAAGGGTGCCTGTACGCATCGTTGAAAAGGACTCAACAGCAGCGTCCGCGCCAACGTTGGAGTCGGGTAGTATGCAAGGTGGTTCGATTGAGGGATTCCATCCCCAATTGCATCCATACCGCCCACGCACCGAAACATCATATGACAATCCTCTAGAGGACGATGACATGCTCTTTTAACCGCAACGACACCCATGGCGTTTGATTTGATGCGAAATACTCATAGCATATTCGGAGTTTTTGAGCCGGTTGGGTTAAGGACTAAGATCCAATTTCGGAAATGGCGCTTTGTTTCCAGGGCTTTTGAGATCCTTTTATGTACCTACCGTAATCACCCTACAAAGCGACGCAGCTTCGGTGCAAGACGAGCCAATTGTCCTTAGAGAAAAAACATGAGGGATTCATTTTGGCAATCAAGCATCATCCCGTAGGGAATCAGCGACACCTTGAATTCATGGAACGTCATTGTATTTCATCTGCAAGCTACTACCTATAAAACGCCGCAGAAATCAAACGACATTTTCGTTAAACAAACCGCCATGATAAAGTCAGAGAGAGAGTTTATCTGAAGCGGCGTGGGCGCTCAGCCTGCTGGGCCTGGCCAACAGCAACAACATTGACCTTGAGGGAATCGAACTGCTCACATTTAAAAGTTGATCATTAGCGAATTATCAATATTTCGTCGTCAGACAGCTTGCATATTCGGGTGAGAACCGAGTGTGAATGGGAAGTGGGAAACATACACCGAGGCTCTTGAGGAGATCTTTGGTATCAGTATCGACCTCGAGTTGACCGCTCTCGGTCTGGGAGATGTCCAAAGCAGAGATCTCTGGGACGTATTGATCCTTGCGCTCACGCTCCTCTTCTTGCAGCTTGAAGGAAATACCGCGGACTGGACCCCGTTGGATACGTTTCATCAGATGGGTAGTGTAGCCAGCGATCTACATTTGAAATTTGCACATTAGGCCGGAGGCTCTTGGAGAAACGCGCGAGAAACCGAACATAGCGTCTCCAACATCTGAAAGGGCACTCACCTTGTTACGAAGACGCTTGGACGCAATGATGGCGATCTCATCGCAAATTCGCTTGTTGGTCTCGAAGTCGAGAGTGAGCTTAGGGTAGTAGCGCTCAATAATGACCTTGGCGGACTTCTTGACTGTCTGTAGATTTCACAAAATAAACGGGTAAGTCTCAACATTCAAATGCTCAGTGATGGAGCTATGTTATTCTCACCTTCGTTCTAACGCGACCCATTTTGGCGGTGTTGGCTGACTGCGCTGCAACGGTTGAGGTTGTCGGATCGTTCGCGTGAGGTTGCGGCAGTCGAGGTCAATATCTTTTTCGTGCTGTTCGCTTAGCTCACCACAGCGGACAGCCGATCACGTGGCAAAGCCCTAGGTTCATCACGTGATACCAGCGGGCTGCCCAAAGTCCGCCCGCCAATGGAGGTTGGACAGATCGAAAGGCATGCTCAGATAATATAACAATCAGGCCAAGAAAGGACCCGTCGACATGGCATCGTAGATCAAAAAATGAGGTGGAAATACGTTGCTTGCTTATAACTACACACTGACACTATAGTACATATAACTAAATCTGACCCTCAAGTGTCAAGCCGAGGGACGGATCTAAAGAGGTTCTTTGGCAAAGAAACCGACGACTGTTGTGCGTCGGATACTCCGATAAGAGACTTAGCTGCTTCGGATGGCCGCCCAACCTGTAGCTCAACTCTGCCGTCTGATCGTATAGCGGCTCTTTCAGCCTTAACCCAATACTTAGAGCCACCAGGAGCATCCGGATCAGGACCGACAGGTCCCCCAAGCGACCTATTTTGTCTCCATCCCTGCGATTTAAGATCATCGACAACAATTCCACCAACACCAATCACAGTTCGTAATTTTTGAGCCCTCTTTGCGCTTAGAACACGAGCCTCGACTGGTTTGGGTTGCTGTTGCGGTCCAACAACTGGGTGGTTGTCCATATGCGCCTTAGTGCGAAGGTAGGATAGGCCCGCAGAAGGATGTGTTGTTGGAGGGCCATGCGTTACATATTCGGTAGAAGATATGTTTGACGGTCCAGCGGTCCAGCGACGTCGCGTGAGGTATTGATCAGGTACATTCGGCGGCGTGGCCAGATCCAGGAACTTGTGAATTTCTGGGCCGAGGGCCTCAGGATTTGCGCGCAAAGCTCTCAGAGCTGTTTCGAACTCCTCGTCGCTCAGTTCTTGCGACACCTGACGCTCTCCAATGGGTTCACCCCGATCTAAAAGGGCTTTTCGGGATTCCGAGGCCTTTCGTTCCGCAAGGACCTGACGTAGCCTCTGCAGAAACTGGGGTCTTTGCTTTCTAACGGATTTTAGATAATTCTGAAATTCAGTTTCCGTCTGACCTGCCAGCCACGGCCCCTTGAATCTGAATCGTTTTGCGTTTAGATCATCGACATTCTTGCTCTCGTGGGTGTTATCTGCACTTTTCTCAAAAACGCTTAAATGTCGCCCGCCCCCGGCAGCAGATGGAATACCGGTATTCAGCACGGTTGACAGCGGAAGAAAAAGTTCTTGCCATTTTTTCAGCGTGGTAGCGTGATCGGCAGCGGATTCAAAATCCGTGACATGCTCGAAAGTATCTAAGTGATTGACGCGAACGACGGGGGATGATGAGCTCTCGGTCGTGGACTTCGCCGGTAGGGGTCTCTTGAGGCCCCAATCGCCTCTTGCTAATGATGAAGGTGGTGTTGCAATGGCAGCGCGGATCGGAAAAGGGAGTGTTGCCGTGTCGGATTCAACGACGGTAGAAGAAGAGGTGGGAGTAGCAGGAGGCGACAGGCTCTGGGGTAAGGAGAAGAGACGGGACTTGCGAAGCAAATTCGCCGTTGGAGACAATCGGCCCGCCATCCTCACCGGGAGTACTTGCTTTCCTTGTTCTCCGCAACTCGTGACCTGTCGAGATGGTCGAGATTCACAGTCTCCGATGCTCGATTTGGATTTTTCTTCGGCTGTGCACAGTGACCGGATGCGCCATATTTGACGCTAACCAAGCTCCTGACCACTTAACTTCGAGAGTCCGTCGGGCCGATTGCCGCCGCGTCCTAATCAAACGCCCGGCGCCGCTCACATGCTTACGAAACAACAGCGATTTAAATCTGGTCACGGGGCGGTCATCGTTACCTGCCCTCGCCATTAGCAACAAATCCCATAGTGTTGGGGACATCCGTGTAAATATGCCTTGCCCCTAGCTGCCTCCATTTAATGAGTCTTTCAATGCGGTAATCAATGTTTATCTCCCCAGAGGCAGATGCACTGCCGGTATTGGGGGTGTGATTTCCAACCATGTCACAATCATCATCTGCAACCGATGCGCTCCCGAAGCTCTTCCTAGAGCTCAAGTCGAAAAACGAGGAAACAAGGCTGCGAGCCGCGACTGAACTATACGATAATGTAGTAGCAGCGTCGAGAGGTGAGACCAATGAAATCTCCCCGGCCTTGTGCGCGCGATATTAACGAGCATTGTATTTTAGAGCTCCCGCAGGATAAATTCCTCGAGTATTATAACACGGTCAGCCAGCGAATAGCTCAGCTCGTGGTTACAGGGGGCGACGCGAATGAGAAGGTGGCCGGACTTCTTGCGCTTGATAGGTTGATCGATTTCGACGGTGTTGATGCTGCCCTAAAGACAACGAGATTCTCTGGCTACTTGCGTAGCGCATTGAGGAGTAACGATAATGCAGTGTTGCTTTATGCAGCCAGGTCGCTGGGGCGCCTAGCAAAACCTGGCGGTGCATTAACTGCAGAATTGGTGGAAAGTGAGATACAATCGGCACTAGAATGGTTGCAATCGGAAAGACAAGAGAATCGACGCTTTGCTGCCGTGTTGGTCATCAGGGAACTCGCCAAAGGCTCCCCAACTCTCATCTACGGATTCGTTGCCCAAATACTTGAACTTATCTGGGTTGCCATCCGTGATCCGAAAGTGCTTATCCGAGAGACGTCTGCTGATGCTATCAGCGAATGCTTTGAAATTATTTCGGCTCGAGATAGCCAGGTTCGCCATCAGTGGTTTGCGGGAATCTACGATGAGACGCTACTTGGTCTAAGATCAACGAACGTGGATTGGATCCATGGCTCTCTCCTTGCGCTTAGAGAATTGCTCCTTAAAGGGGCCATGTTTATGAACGAGCACTACCGCAACGCTTGTGAGATAGTTCTACGGCTGAAAGACCACCGAGACCCCAAGATCCGGACCCAAGTGGTCGCTACAATCCCCGTGCTTGCATCATATGCTCCATTAGACTTTACGAATACTTATCTCCATAGATTCATGATATACCTACAGGCGCAGCTAAAGCGAGAGAAAGAGCGGAATGCCGCGTTCATCGCTATCGGTAAGATTGCTAGTGCTGTGGGGAACGCGATTGGTCAGTTCCTCGATGGCATCATTGTGTATATTCGTGAGGGCTTGACTCTGAAAGCGTAGGACCCCCAGCGATATCGATTGGGTTAGCACTGGCTGATGATATTTTAGACGCAATCGTGCTGCAGTGAACGAAGCTCCAATGCTAGAATGCCTGAGCATGCTATCTATGGCCGTGGGGCAAACTCTCAGCAAGTATATGGAATCTCTTCTCGACCCTATCTTTGCCTGTGGCCTGAGTAAAGCTCTCACTCAAGCTCTAGTCGATATGGCACATTATATTCCGCCTATCAGAGCCACGGTCCAAGAAAAGCTGCTCGACATGTTAAGTTTAGTTTTGTGTGGAAGGCCCTTCCAACCCCTTGGCTGCCCTGACAATCGCGCCCCGCCTATGCCGTCTTTTGTGAAAGAATCTGCACCGCCACCCCAAGAAGTCACTGACAGCGAGATTACCCTTGCCCTGCTAACACTAGGGAGCTTCGACTTCTCTGGTTAGTTCACGCGCGTCTATAATTTCTAGCTATATCTAACTCGAGTAGGCCATATATTGAACGAGTTTGTCCGCGATGTGGCTATAAAATACGTGGACAATGATAACTCCGAGATCCGCAAAGCATCCGCCTTGACTTGTTGTCAACTGTTTGTCCATGACCCTATTCTCAACCAGACAAGCAGCCATTCTCTCCAGGTTGTCAGCCAGGTTATCGACAAGCTCTTATCTGTAGGAGTTGGTGACCCTGAACCCGAAATCCGCTGCACGGTATTACAATCACTGGATCGAAAATTTGATCGTCATTTAGCCAAACCGGAAAATGTTCGCTGCCTTTTTCTAGCTGTCAATGATGAAGTGTTCTCCGTTCGAGAAGCAGCAATTAGTATAATTGGTCGTTTATCAAACGTCAATCCTGCTTACGTTTTCCCACCGTTGCGAAAGCTGCTTGTCAATCTTCTAACGGGGCTTAGTTTTGCAACGACGTCCCGTCAAAAGGAAGAAAGTGCTCAGTTGATTAGTTTGTTTGTCACAAATGCAACCAAATTGGTTCGCTCCTACGTTGACCCAATGGTCACGACTCTATTGCCGAAGACAACAGACCTCAATGCCGCAGTGTCAGCTACGACCATAAAAGCAATCGGAGAAATCGCAACCATTGGCGGTGAGGGCATGAAGCAATACCTGGCTCAGATTATGCCTATTATATTGGAAGCTTTACAAGATCTGTCCTCGCCCTCAAAACGAGAGGCCGCTTTGCGCACTCTTGGACAGCTTGCGAGCAATGCCGGCTACGTTATCGAGCCCTATAAGGAATACCCACAACTCCTTGCTGTCCTCATTAACATCATCAAAACGGAACAAGCCGGGTCTCTTCGGAAAGAAACTATCAAGCTCATTGGCACCCTAGGAGCTCTCGACCCCTACAAATATCAGGTACCACATTTCCCCATCTAATTATAAGTCCTATGCTCATTCATGAAAAGCAAATAAGCCAAGATACCCCAGACGTTCATCACATCAATGAAATCCAAGCAGTGTCCGATGTGTCACTAATCATGCAAGGGCTTACCCCTTCTAACGAGGAATACTATCCTACAGTTGTTATCAATACCCTACTACACAATATCCTAAGTGAGAGTTCCCTTGCCCAATATCACTCCGCCGTCATTGATGCTATCGTCACGATCTTTAAGACTTTGGGCCTGAAATGCGTTCCTTTCTTGGGACAAATAATCCCAGCTTTCATTTCGGTGATCAGAGATACGCCGGTCAGCCGCCTGGATACCTACTTCAACCAGCTTGCAATATTGGTTACAATTGTCAGACAACATATTCGCGCATATCTGCCAGAGATTATTGTTGTTATCCGCGAATATTGGGATGCGTCCTATCAGGTCCAGGCGACAATACTGTCTCTTGTGGAAGCAATATCCAAGTCTCTGGAGGGAGAGTTCAAGAAATATTTAGCCGGATTGATCCCCCTGATGCTAGAAACAATCGAAAAGGACAGTAGTCCACGGCGCCAGCCATCAGAGAGGGTTTTGCATGCATTTCTCGTGTATGGATCTAGCGCAGAGGAATATATGCACAGAATTGTCCCGGCGATTGTTAGATTGTTTGATAAACAGCAGGCTCCCCAAAACATCAGGAAGTCGGCCATCGAAACTCTGGCGAAGCTGTCTCGCCAAGTCAATGTGTCTGACTTTGCATCCCTTATGATCCATCCATTGGCAAGGGCAATCGGCTCAAGTGACCGCACTTTGAGACAATCTGCTTTAGATTGCGTTTGCACCCTAATTTTTCAGATAGGTCAGGACTTTACGAATTACATCCAGTTGATCAACAAGGTACTGCATCCTTTTCACAGTTTACAATTTCTAGCTACTAACGTTCAGCAGGTGCTCAAAAATAATCAAATTCACCACCACAACTACCAGATCCTCGTATCGAAGCTCCAGAAAGGCGAACCCCTACCCCAGGACCTGAATCCTGACGAGCAATACGGTTCTTTTGGTGACGACCAATCCTTTGGAGAGGTTGGTCAAAGAAAGATCCTTGTAAACCAGCAGCATCTCAAGAATGCGTGGGATGCAACTCAAAAATCAACTCGAGAAGACTGGCAAGAGTGGATGAGACGTTTCAGCGTAGAGCTTCTTAAAGAATCCCCGTCTCACGCCCTTCGGGCTTGCGCCAGCTTGGCGGGTATTTACCAACCATTGGCAAAGGATCTGTTCAATGCCGCATTTGTGTCATGTTGGACTGAGCTTTACCATACTTATCAAGAAGAACTAGTTCACTCAATTGACCTTGCCCTTACGGCTCGAAATATACCGCCGGAAATTCTTCAGATTCTTCTTAATTTAGCAGAGTTCATGGAACATGACGACAAAGCACTTCCTATTGATATCCGCACTCTTGGGAAGTATGCAGGCAAATGTCACGCTTTTGCGAAGGCCTTGCATTATAAAGAACTTGAATTTGAGCAAGACCAAAACTCCGGCGCTGTTGAAGCTTTGATTAGTATCAATAATCAGCTTCAGCAGTTCGATGCGGCGATTGGGATTCTCCGCAAAGCGCAAGCATATCGAGACGTGGAGCTAAAGGAGACGTGGTTCGTAAAGCTTCAACGTTGGGAGGAAGCTTTAGCCGCGTATAAGCGACGTGAATTGATTGATCCTGATTCTTTTGAAGTCACCATGGGAAAGATGCGCTGCTTGCATGCTCTTGGGGAATGGAAGATGCTTTCGGATTTGGCTCAAGAAAAATGGAATCAAGCGACCAACGACCACCGGATAGCTATCGCGCCTCTTGCCGCAGCTGCTGCTTGGGGCCGTGGGCAATGGGAACTCATGGATTCATACATCGGAGTAATGAAGGAACAGTCGCCTGATCGATCGTTCTTTGGTGCAATCCTTTCCTTGCATCGAAATCAGTTCAAAGAAGCGGCAGAATACATTGAGAAAGCCCGCAACGGTCTTGACACGGAGCTATCTGCACTGCTAGGTGAATCTTATAATCGTGCTTACAATGTGGTCGTCCGTGTCCAGATGCTGGCTGAGCTCGAAGAAATCATTACTTATAAGCAGAGTGTTGGTGATCTTGAGAAGCAAGAGGCCATGAGACAAACATGGAATAAGCGGCTCCTAGGTTGTCAACAGAACGTTGAAGTATGGCAACGAATGCTTAAAGTCAGAGCGCTTGTTATTTCGCCAAGGGAAAATTTGGATATGTGGATCAAGTTTGCCAATCTCTGTCGAAAATCGAATCGAATGGGACTTGCAGAACGCTCTCTCGCGTCCCTCGAAGCCGTTGAATCTTCCGAGTTTGGAATTCCACCAGAGGTGACTTATGCTCGCCTTAAATTTGACTGGGCCGCAGGCCGCCAGCAAGAGGCCCTGCAAGCACTCAAAGACTTTACTGCCTCTTTGACTGAAGAATATGGGAAATACAATTCCCTAGTTAGTGCCGCACGGGGCCAGCAGCAGCAGGCTGCAGAAAATAACCATATGTCTAACGGGCAGACGGAACAAAGAGAAGCGGAGATAGCTGCAATCCGTCAACACCTTGGCGACCTTGGCAAATTCCGGCGGCTTCTTGCAAAGAGCCATCTCAAACAAGGCGAATGGCAGACAGCCTTACAGAGAGGGGATTGGAGATCTGAGAATGTCTGCGATGTGCTGAATGCTTATTCCGCCGCCACCCATTACAATCGCGAATCCTACAAGGCCTGGCATGCTTGGGCGCTCGCAAATTTTGAGGTGCTGAACGCCCTGAGTCCCCAGTCCAACAACGAAACAGTATCGATACCTCATCACATTATTAGCGAGCATGTAGTTCCTGCTATCCAAGGGTTCTTTCGGTCGATCGCACTTTCATCATCAAGCGCCCTCCAAGACACTTTGAGACTTCTCACACTCTGGTTCACACATGGTGGTGACGCAGACGTAAACTCCGTTGTGACTGATGGCTTCGCCACTGTTAGCATTGATACGTGGCTTGAAGTGACTCCCCAACTTATCGCACGCATCAACCAACCCAATCCTCGGGTTCGCGCTGCAGTCCACCGCCTCCTCGCGGATCTGGGGAAGGCTCATCCACAAGCTCTCGTTTATCCCTTAACTGTGGCCACGAAATCCAATGTGGTTCGCCGTTCGCAATCCGCGATCCACATCATGGATAGCATGCGTCAACACAGTCCCAGGCTCGTCGAACAGGCTGAAGTTGTCAGTCATGAGCTGGTTAGGGTTGCCGTCCTTTGGCATGAACTTTGGTATGATGGTTTGGAAGAAGCATCCCGACTGTATTTTGCAAACCACAACGTTGAAGGAATGTTCGCGACCCTGGCGCCACTACATGACATGCTAGACAAAGGCGCTGAAACTCTGAGAGAGGTGTCCTTCGCTCAGGCTTTCGGCCGTGACCTAGCCGAAGCCAGACATTTCTGTCTTCTTTACCGTGAAACACAGGAAATTGGAGACCTCAACCAGGCATGGGATCTGTACTACACTGTGTTTAAGAAGATTGACCGGCAGGTCCGGCATATGAGGACCCTTGATTTGAAATACGTTTCGCCCAAGCTAAAGGATGCTGTCGACTTGGATCTGGCCATACCAGGCACTTATCAAAGCGGAAAACCTGTGATTCGAATCCTGAGCTTTGATCCTGTATTAACTCTAGTTCAAACAAAGAAAAAGCCGCGAAAGATGATTGTTAAAGGCAGCGATGGCAACTCGTATATGTACGCCCTAAAGGGTCACGAAGATATCCGCCAAGACGAGAGAGTCATGCAACTGTTTGGGCTTGTCAATACTCTCTTAGAAAAAGACAGTGAATGTTTCAAACGTCACTTGACTATTCAACGCTTCCCTGCCATCCCCCTATCCCAAAACTCTGGTTTGATAGGTTGGGTAACAAATACTGACACACTACATGCCCTGATCAAAGAGTATCGGGAAAGCCGGCGCATTCTCCTTAACATCGAGCACCGCATAATGTTGCAAATGGCACCAGACTACGAGAGTTTAACTCTTATGCAAAAGGTCGAAGTATTTGGTTACGCTATGGATAACACGACCGGCAAAGACCTTTATCGGGTTCTTTGGCTTAAGAGTAAAAGCTCCGAAGCCTGGCTTGAACGGCGGACCAACTACACTCGCTCGCTCGGTGTTATGTCAATGGTCGGATATATCCTCGGTTTGGGTGATCGACACCCATCCAATCTTTTGTTGGATCGGATCACGGGCAAGATCGTTCACATCGATTTTGGTGACTGCTTTGAGGTTGCTATGCACCGCGAAAAGTACCCTGAAAGGGTTCCATTCCGACTTACTCGTATGCTCACCTTTGCCATGGAAGTCAGCAACATTGAGGGAAGCTACCATATCACCTGTGAAGCCGTGATGCGGGTTCTTCGAGAGAATAAAGAGTCTTTAATGGCAGTGTTGGAAGCTGTAAGTTCTTCAATTGCCTTTTTTTTTTTTTTTTTTTTTTTCCTCCCCGGATCGCGTGCGGTTGCTGACCTTCTTAACCTTTAGTTTATCCATGACCCATTGATCAATTGGCGACTGGGAGCCCGCGAATCTCCCGCACAGCCATCTTTCGCTGACCGTCGCCAATCAGGTGAACTCGATCTCGATCATCCACTACAGCCCGGTAACTTTACACGCCGCCGTCCCTCGATTCTAGACGGTGGCATTCTGGACGCTCAACAGGGTATTCCCAACGAAGCCAGAGAAGTGCAAAATGCCCGAGCTCTACAAGTGCTTGGCAGAGTTCGGGAAAAACTCACTGGTCGGGACTTTAAACCACATGAAGAACTTAATGTTAGTGACCAGGTGGACAAACTTCTTGTTCAAGCCACAAGCGTTGAGAACTTGTGCCAGCATTACATTGGGTGGTGCAGTTTTTGGTGATGGATGCCTCTGAACCCTTTCTTTTTCCTTTTTTTCTTTTTTGTATCTCTTTTCTCTTTTGTCCTTCTGGCTAGGAGCAACATTTCTTTGTGGAGTTTCGGATATCGCTTATGATGCCCATTTAAGCAGGCGACGGTATTTTGACGATAATGACATTTTATTTGCTACACCAAGGAAAGCCGCAGGGTGAGCAGTGCTCAGCCCGTCGGCTACTTTATTGTCCTAAGAGCGGTAACACAAAAAGTCACCATATGGTATGCAGGATGGCATTTTGTAGGATTTTTGCCACAACTCATCGATTTCAGAGCTGTAAGAGAGAGAAAAAGAAGAAGACTATAGACCATGCATAGGATCCATAGGTTAGATCGGTAAGGACATATTCTTCGATGTGATGCCTTTTACTCCATTGGAGTGCTGTGGCTTGCCCATTCCTGGTATGTACTTCGCATGTCACTTTTGATGGGCATGACAGACAAATTGTGATGGACCAAAGGCTCTCTCTCCTCAAGTTATCAAGTAGAGTTATCTTTGTTAGCACAGCAATGCCTGCACTCACCAAAGACCGCATTGGCTTTACCTAGTAGAGAGAATTTGTTTTATGCCAGTCCTTCTGCCATTTGTATTCTGGACTTATTATCCAGGTCTTGGTGCAGTGGACAAGCCAAATGAGATTGAACCAGGGAGTTAAAGACATACGTAGAAGAATACTAAGCTGCTGGCGTTCGCATCTATTGAACCTCCAAGACCCCCCAATCGTTGGTCTCTTGCGAGCAGATGCCAAGACTGCCCAAGCAGCCAACTCACCGTGGCCGAGGCATGGGCGAGTCTGGATGTTGCTTGGGTTGTGATCAAGGACATTGAAATCTAAAATTGTCATTTAAAAAGAAAACAAATCTTCCCCTGTACCATTAACCTTGCTGCTGTCAAGAAGCTGGACCTTGAATCTATCATCTAATATCTCGCTGATTGCTGCCCGCCCACCCCCTATGCCACCGTCTTCTCTCTGAAGATGAGTTCACATGCGACGCCAGAGCCCCCTTCTGGCTCTTCTAGCATCAAGCCGAATCCCATCCTAATCCGCGCCCTCTCGCTCTCCCTTTCTCCCAGGGAATACGAGCTCATCCACAACAGCTTGGTTAAGAGACTTCCCCCAAAGCTCAAAGGCCGGACGATCTCCCCTGATACTGTCACTGCTATCGCCGAATCTCGCGACCAATACACTACCGAAGCGTTCCGGTCTTCGTTGCGAGTATTCCTGGTTACGGGCGCCATAGGGAATATTGCGGAGATTCTAGCGAAACTCCTGCAAAAAAACCCGTAAGGATCTTGTCCAGTCTATTAAAAATACTACGTATAAGACAGGGAGGTTAACATAATTTGCAAGACAAACTGCACCGAAAGGTACCATTTTCCGGCTGTCGCTTTCTCATTCTCTATTCGTCCTTGCGAATCGCCTCTTATATCGATTCTTCTCTCGATTGCGTGCCAATCTTCGCACCGAAGATGCCCGTCCATTTCGCAAACGGAATCCGCGCATAGCGAAGGCTTTGACTTGCAAATACACACCCGCCATCGGGGCCAGTCTAGCTTGCTTCATCCTTGGACTCTATCCACGGGCCCAGCTTCGCATAACGGCTGCGATATATACGACGACGAGGGCATTGGAGTTCGTATACAATGCGCTTCGGGAAAAAGGGTGGTTCCGGAATAAGCCATGGTGGGTTGGAAGCTGGCTACTCATGCCGCTCTCTTGCGCACAGTTGTTCCATGCATTCACTTTCGACAGAGAAACAATACCAAAGGTATGCCGAACCAAAACTCTCGAAAAACCCATATGTGTTCATATCTTACCTTATGCGATTACAGTGGTTCGGTGATTTTATCCTGAGATTTTCACCGGGATATATACAGGATCGTCCAGAGGGCTTTCCCACGGAATTACGCTGGCCAGACAAATATGAGACTGTTGACGCGTTGGCAAAAATTTCGGAATTGAAGTGGCCGTAAGTCATCAGCCTGTCCAAAAAATTGCTTTCATTAGCTTATAGAAAGAAATAACAGCGCATTCATATCGCCTATTCTCCACCCTAACAATCCAAACACGCTACCTACGTCTCTCCAGGGAATATCGCTCATTACATCTCCAGCACATCCAGCGGTGTCATCATTATCGTGCGCTCTCCTCCATCCGAAAACCCCGTCATGCCTCACTGCGTTTCTCCAGCAAAATCTCCTCTCCATCCCCCTCCTTGCGCGTTCCGTCAGCAAGGTTGCCCTAGCCTTATCTCTCCTGAAGCTTAAATCCTTTATAGTCCACCCAATCGCTAGCATCAACGCTTTATCTCGCAAGATCCTGTCCTGGACGGCAGTTCTATCAGCCGCCATCGGATCCGCCTGGGGTAGCATCTGCTTCTTCAACGGCGTTCTGCCGCGCTCTGTCCTCCGAACTCAGCGATTCTACCTTAGCGGCGCGCTCGCCGGGGCGCCATTCATGTTCTTTGGTGCCGCAGGCTATCGGTCACATTTTCTCTATTTCTTCCGTCTTGCTATAGCCTCGGCGTGGAAGGCCGGAGTCAAGCGAGGGCTATGGCGTGGATGGAAGGGCGGAGAGCTGTGGGTCTTGGCCGTTTCGTGGGCAGTGATAGGCGCTGTTTTGGAGAGTCATCCAAACGCGATTGCGGGACCAGGATTCAGAAAAGCTCTGGCGTGGATTCGCGGGGACGGATATACGGATCTAGCAGAGCTTCGGGCGAAGAAGAAGGGAAAGAAGCCAGCTGTGGAGTAAGAAAAAGCCTGAGGTCTTTTTTGTTGTTACCCGAATGTACTATTTAATTAAGGATTGTCGATGTCGAAGCATTGTTTCACTTGGGAATTTCTTTAGGCGTTGCTTACTTGTTCTCTTGCATTGTTATGACGAAATCGCAAATATTTACTGTGAATATTCTTGGTCTATAGACTTTTTTGTTTTCTACAGCAGATGGAATTATTCAGAGCTCCATATTCAGAGTTGACGGCCGTTTGGGACTGGCATGGTTTCATCAGGCAGCCATCTTGGCTCATTAGTTTGTTCATCGTCCCCCCTCCCCCGTGTTTTCTTCCTCCACCCAAGAACAATTTCATCGTGCACATTGTTCAGAAAGCACCTGAGAAGTCCCACAACGATGAATGAAGCCAGTCTGTCTGGCTGGCGTACAAACGCTCCATTCTGGGACACCAGCATGGGCTCCAGTGGAAATGACTACTTCACTGTGCTCGAAGTACCCGCCCTCGAACGCATGATCCGAGTCCCTCCAGGCGAAGAAAGGTTCGGGAACGAACTCCGCGTTCTCGATCTCGCGACGGGAAATGGTCTGGTCGCTCACTGGCTGGCACGAAAGGGAGCGAGTGTTGTGGCGACTGATGGATGCGACGAGATGGTTAGATTGGCTGAGAAGAGGGGTGAGGGCACCGCAAACGTGAAGTACCAGGTGCTAGATGTAACAGACAGCAAGCAATGGGAGGCATTCATTCGCGAGGAAGTTGAAAGGGTATAGATTGTCTTTTCGCTGCGTCTTCTCTTTTTTTTTTTTTTCGAATAATGTTACCGTGATAACCCGATTTTGTCTACCTGACAAATGAAGCAGGGAGGCGCTTTCGATATTATCACCATGAACATGGCGTTTATGGACGTGCCTGATTTGGAGCCGCTAGCAGCAGCTTTGCCTAGAATCCTGAAGAGAAACGGAGGGATGTAGGTGCTCTCCATTTCAGCGAGTCTTTGGCATTTTAGGCCAGGGAAAAAAAAAAAAGAAAAAGAAACCTCAAGCAAGTGTTTTTTCCAAGAGGAGAGCATTGATGTACGTTCTGATAGCTTCGTGGCCACCCTTTTGCATCCTTTTTTTACAGCTGGTGCGATCAGAAGCGTGGAATACGCGGAAGACACAGAAACTGGACAGGAGGTGGCGACGCAGTACATCAAGCTGTCCAAATATCTTCATGTTCCACCCTACAAGGGTGTCGCGATGCAGGATCAACCTGTTTCACAGGTACGAGTTTGAACCTTTGTTGAATCGTTTTGAGCATGGTTTTATCAACATTTGATGGCTGAGGTGAAATCATGGTTCCCTGAAGCCGTACTTCCACCGCCCCTTTCACCAGCTATTTTCGACCTTCTTTCGTGCGGGTATGGTCCTCGATGCACTGGAGGAGCCAAATTTCGACGCTGAGTATCTGAAAGGGAAGAATCTGGAAACCGCTTCGCTCCGGCAGTGGACTCAGATACCAAAGATTTTGGCTTTTCGTATGAGATTTGGTTAATCTTGCAATATATTAGATCCAAGAAAATGCTTCACCATATCTATACAAGCAGATGGCAGCCGTAAAGGCAGTAGGATGGCTTTAAGCTCTATTCGCTGGCCCAGATAAATCGATTCTGGTTAACAATAGAATAGAATTTTGAAATTTTGATAGTAAGAAGACAACAGATTGCATAAAAAGAATCCAACCCATCGAAGAAGAATCATGGTTCGCTTGTCCTCGGGCTCTTACAAGTAAGAAAAGCCAGCCAGGGTCGGAGGAATGGAATACGACCAAAGAAAAATAAAATAAAATAAGACAAGATAAAATGGCTCACAGGCATTATGCTGCTGGACACCAGATGCAGAAATGCATGGGAACATGGGGGATCAGCAGCAAATAAGAGTGAGTGCACATTGATGCACGCTCGGTTATTGAACAGCGAGTTGCTCTTGGACAAGCAGAGCCAAGGGACAGGGTTTCCAATTGCCGACGGACTGTTCCATGGCAAGCAGCGAGCCCGTGTTGACAAGGGAGAGCCATCACTGATTAAGAAGGGTTGCCATTAGCTGGATTTACTCTTATCTGCTGCTCGAAAGTCAACTATTTGATTGAGACACTGGTGTTCACAAAGCCAAATACATGGTTGTCACTGTTGGGGGGTATGGGAATGCGATGGACATCCCTGGCGCCATCACGCACCGCAAACTCGATATCTCTTCGTTAGCTCGTCGGTTAACTGCACTAGCATCAAGCGAAATAGGGCCTAGAAAGGCAATCTGAAGAATTGAAGGGAGGATAATACTTAGGGTGTCCAAGCTTCTCAAGACAAGTCATGTAGCCTTCACGTCGACGGCTTGTTATATGTAGACTAACAGTCAAACCAGATGTTTTCTTTCTTTGTGTAAGTAAATACAGCTGTCATTGCTTTCATCTAACCCGGTGCCTCCTTTTGGTGTCGAAGGTAAGTTTCCAATGACTCCTGGTCAAAGCCGGGGTATTCTGAAATCTGGCTTCCCCTCTTTTCAAGGGAGGGCGGCAAATATGGCAGGCCACTGAACACCGCATGTCTTCATCAACCAATTCGCAAATCCTTTTTTTTTTTTAAGTATGAAGGGAAGTTAACTTATACTCAATATCCTGCTCGACCACTTTGCATTCCCGGAGTTCGTCTTGTGCCCGTCACTCGCAATCCTCAATCTTCGGCTGCACCGGCCTGTGTCACATGCGTGGGCAGCATGCATGAGACATTGCGCATCGAGCTCTCCGCGGATTCCTGGTTGCAGTGTCCAACCCATAACTAGTCGATAGAGACGAGCAAGAGTGGGAGAACTAGGGCCTGGAGCTATATGGGCTTGTTGTACACAGCGCTCCAAATATGGCGGGAAATCAGTGTGGTGCATAGTTCTGTAGGAAGGCTTGGATGCGGTGATTGTTAACAACCGCTTCTTGCTGACAAGTCGCTCAAAGCCATCAGTGTCAACAAACACCTGCGTGAGAAAGTCATAGTCAACTGCAGGTGAGGCGGTGAGCAGTGACTTGTCTGTTCATATGATGCACTAATCCTTTTCAGTCCTTTTTATTTTTCCCCTCAACCCCCTTTTTACTTATTGTCCAACCCATCTTCAACGAGCCGGGGCACCTAATCGGCACCTGTCGCAACCGCAGTCTGAAGCCATCGTTAACTAGTGGATGCGGCCAAGACAAAGCCTAATCTTAAACAGCTCCGAGGATTCTCTCGACGATTCGATTGCGTTTTACCGAGATGCATGGAACACGATGGTGGATGGCCTGATTGGCCGCCCCGAGTGTTCTCCGGAGCCAGGCGTGTGACAAGCACGATCACGGCGGCTTCTTTGTGGCACGCTTGATGATCTCTTATTGGGGTGTTGGGGGGGTGTGGTGCTTGTCGTTCTCGATTTTGGAATACTTTGATTCATGGCATTTGACACACACAGGTGGTTCTCTGGCAAGGACATCATGTTGAAAATCAATCCGGGCTCTGCCGGTGTGACCGCAATTCGGCCGGAAGCTCTGCAGGACCAACGAATCGTGATGACGCCATTGAGATCGCAAGAGTTCTGCTGCGGGTGGATTGCGTGTTTTCATGCCCGGCGCATGGCGGTGGTTGGGCAGGAGGGCTCCACGGGGATTGCTTGGGACGAAGGGAAAGCTAGTTAACGGCGAACATCCAGCCACAGATGAAGCCTGTCAAGGATCGATGACGGCAATGGCGTCGGGTGCAAGATTCCTTAGCATGAGTTGTTACATATTTACGACGACCGGTTCGAACAGGCCTCTGTGGCCAAAGCAAAGGAGTTTCACCGCTGCTTGTCTGGACGGGACTCGGGAGGCAAGTGATCAGTCGGTGCGGATTGCTTCGGCGCTCCATGGAGGCGATGATCACGGACAAGAAGAAATTCAGGTTTGATTTGACGGGGCGGGCAGCAGGTGGGCGGTTGCTGCTTTGCCCCAAGCCTTTCAAAACCAACTATATCTTTTTTACGGTAAATCCTGCAGAATCGTTTTGAATTGCGCCGGCGAATATTCAGGGGGGACGCCTGACGGGCGGTTTGTTTGAAGATTGTGTGTTCTACAGCCAAAAATTTTATAGTTATCTTAACTATGGGGGTATTATTGTGATCTATTTCGGTGCTCCATAGCAGATGTACTCCGTACATTTTTAAACTCAGGGCTTGGGAAGAGCCAGGATCGGCAATTCAGAATGACGGGCCATGTAACAGCATCGGCAGTCGAAGTTGCAGCGTCATGATGGCCCTGTCCGTGTGTTTGGCCGGCAGAAGGGGAGGGAGTTACATCTTATTTAACTCTTGATTCCGGCCGCTCCGTGAGGCGGGCCATGGCTTTGTATTTATTTTTCGCTTTTTTTTTTTTTTTTTCATTTTGCCCTCTCCCCAGCCAGTGCGCACGTTGAGGCTGCGGAGCCAACTATTATTTAGTTAGCGAGCAGTGCTGCAGCTTAAGGTTTGTCCCCCTTGTTGACCGCTAGTTGTGCTGGCTGGGTTGATGCCATCATCTTGCAGCAGTTTATCTCGCTCAGGGAAGAGGGAAAAAAAAAAAAAAACAAAAAGTTGACAGGAGAGCACAGGAACATACAAAACACCAATTGCTGCCCACTCCCCCGGCCCAAACAGCCCATTTGGGTTTCTCCAGGGAATTCTCTTCTGAGGTAATTAATTAACATACATTTCCGACAATGCTCACCTGAAAATCAGCAGCTAATCAAATCACTAACTGGGGAAAAAAGGGAGAGAAAGGGAATAAGAAAAACAGCAAGAGAGAGAGCGAGAGAGGGAAAAAAAAAAAAAAAAAAAAAAAAAGTAGAAAAAAAGAAAACATCTCATCCTGCAGAGTCTGGGTCATCACCAAACCACCCAGCCCTCATATGGCACGGCCGCGGCCAAAGCTCTCCCTCTGGACCCGCATCCGTCGCTTCTTCTACCTCTTCAGCAGCCCGCTCAAGCTCCGGGCCAGCATTGACCGGCTGCGCGCCCACCACAAACATCCCTACCTCGCCCTCCTGCGCCTCTTCATCCCCCTCCCGACATGGTACTTCCCCCTCCCTCCCGCCCTCTCTATTCGCGAGCTATGGGGTAAACCAGACCTCCTGCGCGCCCGACGCGGCGACATCCACAACCTCTGGAGCATCCCTCTCTGGAGCGCGCGCGACACCCCGCTCCGCTCCCTCTACCGGCTCTACGAGTGCATGGCGTCGGGCGATTACATCCCCATGGGCACCGAGACGGAGTACTTCTGGTACCAGTCGCGCTGGTCGCTCAACCTCATCCCGGACCCGCAGGACACCGACCCGATCCGGTATGCGATACTGGCGTGCCTGGCCGAGGAACTGGTGCACGCCTTCAACTGGCGACTGAGTCTGGGGATGAGGCGCGACGGGAGGCACTTGTATCGCGAGAGGGACGAGGATCCGTATCCGCCGTATGATCCGGAGACGGTGGCCCCGTGGACGAAGAACGTGCCGCCCGTCGATGCGCAGTGGACGGTGGGTTTGCCCGCCGACGTGGTGGATGTGGCGGGGAGACTGGTGCTGGAGGAGGGAGGGGTGAACGAGACGTTTGCGAAAAGGAATATCGTGACGAATGTGGGATGGCTCTATACGATATGAAATGCTCTCATCTTTACATGTGTTTCTGGCGAATTTGTCTGGGAGTTGGGTGTGATTTGTGCAGCCATTTGATACCCGATGGTCCTTTTCGTCTGCTTGGTTGCTGGATGCATGTTTCTCCTACATAGACTTTTCCTTTCCTTTTTCCTTTCCCTCTCTTTTTTTTTTTTTGAAGCACTCCTGCATATATCTCGTGTGTGCCTGTACCTTGACTCTATGTTTCTACCTTTTTAGTTCGTCTTCAATATTTCTTTGAACGAGCAGGCACGTCGTCACGCCGCCTCGAGGTGATGCGGGGCAATAAACTGGGCGAACGCCATCAGACCACAAGCTCTCCAACACGCTGTACATACATACATCTGCAAGTGAGAGCCGCTTGCTCGATTGCTTCAGCACCGCCGCCGTGTTCGACATATTTCTGGGCCCAAATGTGTCGATGAGGCCTCCGTCGGTGTTCATGTACGAGACCGTTTTCGGGCGCCAACCTTGCATTAGTTACGCCAAAGCGCCACACCGCGCATCAGCAGCCAGCCGGTTTCAGATCGATAGTCAAACTACCTGCATGCGAGGCCCGGGACTGAAGGAAATGAGAGGAGTGCCTTTTCAGCTCGAAAGGGCCTTTTCTTTTCCGCCCCCCTTCTCCCTGCAAACCCGTCAGCTACGCAGTGGTGCTGACCATTTGGTGCTACAAGGTAGGGCGGCGGACAGGGAAGAGTCGTCGTACGGTGATCTGTAAATTCTAAAACCCATCGCGTGCCGTATGACTTACTCTCTCCTCCAAAGCCTAGTCCTTAGAAGAGAATACTCACACCAACGGGCTGGGAGATAAACTACTCTTGCTACCGTCTCCTTGGTGCCGAATAGGGAGTCCGAATCAAGGACCCTGTGTTTTGAAACGCATTGACGATCCTTCAGTCCGGGATATCGCGTTTGTTCTTCCTCCGTCGGTTCGGCTTTCTTTTTTATCGTGACACCGCTCCGGTTTCGTCTTTGACAAATAAAATCAGCGCTCCGAAAGGTAGTGCCGATGCACCCCAGAAGCGAAGCCAAAAGTTCCACTACACGAGTTTTCTTTGTTCCCACGACCGACACGCGAAATTTCTTTTGGCATATCCCTACCGTCCTGGAGCGTAGCGCACTTCTGGGAGGAAAGGAATAAAACCTTTGAAACCGGCTCTCCCTTTGTTTATCTCCCTTCGACCCCAGTGACGGATACCAAGACACCATGCCGCTAGTCACTTTTGTCGTGTTTGCCTTTGTCGCATTAGTTCAGACATTAGCTGTTTCGTCGACGGGCGATGTTTGTCAAATGCCCGAGGTATTATAAGACTAAATTTAATTTTCTTTATCATATCTTTAATAGAGTATAGGATGGTGATACTTGCCGGGAAATGACCGGTTGGGACGGCATCAAAGGAAAAGCCACAACCCCTGCCAAAGGTATGATAGCACTACCAAAGACTGTTATGGTTCAGGGGACTCACCATCAAACTAGGCGAAAGTATCAGACGTTACAAGCATCCCGACCGAGGGTGCGACGGAAATGGATTTGAAGTCTACGGACAACGTTCCACTGCCATAACACTTACCATCACTGGGGTGGATCCCCGACACAGGAGAAATGGACGCGTTGGCTCGTCGGAACGTTGGAGCCAGGCGGAATACAGCCGCCGCGAGCGTCATAACTCCTGCTCAGAACCCGTCAGGAACACCTGCACTTTCTACGAAACCTGCCTCGAAGAAAGGGTCAGGTGCGGCCCCACGGGTTATCCCGTCGCCTGCGGCCAGCACTACTGCCAAAAATTCGCCACGGTGCGCGGCAAATTCTCCGACAGGGGCCAGGTTTGGCTCACTGACACAATGTACTGTCTCCAGAAAAAGCTCGTACCCTACGCCACAGGCCAAAAGAACGAAAGCTGCAGTGAGCTGAAGAAATATGCTTATGCGACGCATTCAATTTGCTATGTCGAATGCGGAGTGTGCGCGCTCCCACCGTCGGATTGGGTCGCCACCGTCGATACCATAGGCTTTAAGGAACTATTTGGGAGTGTGGATGCTCTCATTTCGATGCTAGAGACTGCTGATGGATGCAAGGACTTTTATCTATGGTTGATCAAGAAAACTATAAGGTGATCGATTAGATACCTCGATAGAACGGAAACATCGTGCGTGGGTAGCAGACACGCCACGCTAACAGGGCAATGAAGGAATTCAAGTGCAATGATGACGCAAAATTTGCGGAAGACCTCATCCTATCATGCAATCAACAAGCTCCTTTGCAAGATGCCCTAGGGGGAGGCTTATATCAAAGGACCCTGGAGGACACGGTGCAACGGCAAGGGAGAGCAGTGGCCCCTTCTACGCCATGGATACTCTTCTGGCCAGACGTTTCCGCCATCACCGATTTTTTTTTTTCTCAACCCCCCAAAAAAAAAGAACCAAAGCTCTCAAGGCAAAGAGAAGAATTTATTGCTCTATTTATGTCATTTATCTTGTTCAAGCAATTGTTTCTCAACAATAACCTGGGAAGAAGGTTCAAAACAATAAAGTTTCATTAATAAATTCTAACTAGACAACCAAGGCTCAAGTCCGGCCAGCAATGGTATCGAATCGTCCCACGCAGCAAATCGCTTTGAATGCAAAATGTCGAGTTCAACTCATCTTTCAGACAATAGAAAAGGCCGTCAATGCTCGTCTTCACAGGGATGCTCCTTTTTTTTTTTTCTTTTTTTTTTTTTCTTTTTTTTAAAAAGAATTAATACTTTTTCCCCCTTAATATGCCCGACAAAGAATGCATCATCGAAATATTTTCTCGTTAAAAGTACGTTGGTATTCAGCTTCCACCCGATCCATTGTTGTGGCATCCGGAAGCACATCAAACGTATTCACATTCATTCCAGCAATGTAAGTCCGGTCCAACGGCCCACCATTTTTATCCCTCAAATGCTTCAGCATGGCAATGGCGTCCTGCATATCATGACTGGTCTTCCGGCCACGGTCGGCATGATGAATTCTCCTCAATTTCCTCTCGAGAGCCCACTCCATCGGGGCGGCCATGACGCATAGATTTGTGCCTTCCCAGAGAATAATATTCTGCTCTTCAGCTTTGCGGAAGAGATACTCTCTTGAGTTTCGCGTGACGAAAAGGGCCATGTCTTCATTGATCCAATTCTTGTTGAGATGGAGTAGGTGCGCGACTTTCTCCATGGCGCCGCGCAGTGGTCGCTTTATATCCTCGTCCTGGGCCCATTCAGGATCAAGCAGATAGTCGATGTCATCGGTGCTCTTGCGGCTTTTCAGGTAAGACACCGCAACGAAGCCACCGGCTGTGATAATTTTGATGGGAGCAAAAGCCGAGAGAATGGGATCTTTTCCCATCTCCGTATCAAGTTTTGCAAGGCCTATGGAAATGATGATGAGCAATCCGTCTGTTTCTTTCCCTCATTGTCAAAGAACTAAGCCTCTCCGGGGTGGGGGGTTTTCTACGCCGGGGGGAGGAAGTATGACGCATCAACCCGGCTCACATTCTTTTTAAGGTATAAAAAGGGACAGTTACGAACCTTGTTGGAACTCCTCCGCATTCAATAATTTTCTACTGCCTGCTTCACCGTCCGCCATCTCGCCTTTCACACTCTCAAGCCAAGCTTTCCCGCGGTTGCCGGTGGACGCGCACAGACGCAACTCGCCAAACCCTGATCGGAGACGGGTTGCAACTAGGTTGACCTACCTATGGTTTCTTTTAACTTCAGAAATATGTACACACGAACACAGATGAAAAGTGACCATGGGTTCAAACAGAAGAGAAAAGGGAAAAAGAAAAGAAAGGAGAGGCGTTTTACAGGGTACCTTGCGAGCGCAAAAGGAAGAGCATTGAAGAAAAAAAGAGGAAGACTCTAGGAAGAAAAAAAAAAAAAAAAAAGAAAAGGAGAAGGGGGAAAGAAGGAAAAAAAGAAATTCAAGCCAAAAAGAAGACAAGTTTCAACAGCCTCCCATCCGCCAACACGCTCACTCACTTCACTCGTCCCACGATCGTAGGAGTACCGATTCCACTGTCAATCTTCTCAACCCCCTTCGTTCCTTTTCTTTTAAAGTTCGAGGGTGTATCCCGTATCATGAATGGAAATATACATATATATATGTATATGCCCACACTAAACAAGGGCGAGAAAAGGGTTGGAACCTTGAAGTGTCGAAACCTAATCCTCGGGTATTTTGGCTGCGGGCCGGGCCTGATAGGGCTGCGAAGGTTTGTGGAGGAACGAAAATATTGAAGTTTTGGGCGGGAGAGGGGGGAGGAAATTAGGGTGGGTGGGTGTTAAATGTCGGAAACAGCGGTTGTTCGAAGAAGAATCCCTCTTTTTACTTTACTTTTCTTTTCTTTTTCCCTTCCCCCAATGAATAATTCAGAAGAGAGTTGTCTGGCTGCGTTGGCTGTTCTTTTGGCCTGGGCTGGTTCACATCGTAATAATGGTTGGTGTAGCCATGTGCGAGGATGGGATGATCTGATATGATAAGATAAAAAGGCGGGGCGAAAGTCACACGAGCCACTAATGGAATAGCCAAGATACAACCGTAACAGATATCCCCAAGATACACCGGCAAGAACGGCCGTTGTCGAGAATCGGAGTAAATGCAGACTCAATATATGACAGCCATGGATAGCCGTTGCGAGCAGAAAACAACGAAAAAGCGGCGAAAAATTCCACCGCATGAAGCAACCCCAACCCGGCGTGCGGAATGGCGTCATTTTCCGGCCCCGAGGCTGATGTCATCCCGCACAGTCAAGGCAGGGTTGCTATTAATAGGCGGGATCGATGAATCTTCCATTTCTATCCAAAAAACAAAAAAGAAAAAAGAAAAAGAAAAAATACCAGCTGCTCATGAAATATAGTGACTCGCTAGACCTGATTGCGCCAGATGGGTAGCTATCTAGTTACATGATGCCCTTGACCTAATAAACAAAAAAAGACACACACACACACACACACCAGGTTCAATCCTTCAACGTCTTGTCGGGGAAGCCAAAGTCGATTCCGAACGGCGGATAGACAAACCTTGTAAACCCGTCTCGAGATACCGATTCCGCCGTAAATTTTGCAATTATTTTCATATCATCCTCGTCCAGTTTAACGAGATGGAGGTTGGCTTCGATGCGCGATGGTGTGACGGACTTTGAGAGGACGCAGGAACCACGTGCAACTGTGTAAAATAAAATTGACGACCCGAGTTAGACACCGGACAAGACGAGAAAGGAGATGCGGGGGATGCAACACATACCATGCCAGCTCAACAAAATCGTCGACGGCGAAACGCCTTTTCTCCTCGCAACTTCAACCACCGCGTCGCTCGTCATCAGCGGTCCGCCTGTGCTCCCCAGAGGGCTATATGCCGTGACCATGATTCCTTTCTCTCTGCAGAAATCAACAATCTCCTGCTGCGGCAGAAGTGGGTGGTTCTCGATCTGATTCACTGCAGGCACAACCGAAACGTGCTCAAGGAGCTGTTGAAGGTACTTGAGGCTGTAATTCGAAACGCCAATCGCCTTCACTTTGCCGGACGCGAGGAGCTTCTCCATGTCCTTGTAGCTATCGATATGGGACCGTGACCAGTCGATATCCCGGGATCCATCGGGGAGCTTGGGAAAAAGCGGGTGGTTTCCTGCAGCAAATCGAGTTAGTTTCACTTGTCGTGGACTCTCGTCGATGCTCGAGCGAACCGGGAGCTTTGCACACTTACCATTCGGATTCATCGGTGCTGGCCAATGCATAAGATACAAATCCACGTACTCCAACCCAAGATCTTTTAAGCTTATCTCTAGCCCTTCGTCTACCCGTCTGTGATACGTATTCCATAGCTTCGTCGTCACAAAAATGTCTTCTCGCCTGACTATCCCTTCCCTGACAGCCTGTGCAATCCCCCTTCCAACTTCCTTCTCGTTCTGGTAGCATAGTGCGGCATCTACGTGTCTATATCCGACCTTCAACGCATGGTAGACTGCAGCTTGCACCTGTCCCGGGGCAGATTGCCATGTTCCTGTACGTCTCTCCGTCAGCCTCTAATAACCATTCTTCCACAGACTGTGCTGATGAGACATTATGATAAGGGTATTCCAACCTAATCCAAGGGCCGGGATCTCTACCCCTGTGTTTAGTGTGAATCGGGTACCAGTCACTTCTGTAGCCATGATCAACTGTGCACAAGCACTTTTCAATGAACGGAGGGAAAAAAGAAGTTATCTTAAGAAAAAGGAGAAAGAGGAAAGAAGGGGAGAGAAAAAAAACCCTTCCCGGTCCCAACGGTTATAACCGCTAGATATTTTTCCGTCCTCCCGTCGGCGGACCTCGAATCGACTTTCTTTGTCTTCAATGCCCAAGCCGAGCTGTGACATTCCCGTCTCATCCCTTTCACCCCCACCCAAGTTTCACGGCATGTCTTGACAATCCGGCCACTTGCTTCGTAGTTATGTACGGAAGTACATCTTCCACGACAGTCAGCAATAGGCTTTCGACGGGATGTACTCGCCTCATCCATAAATACACATCTGATCTTCCCTGGATTCGGTAGGTTTGAGACTCAAAAAAGCTTATCTGCAGCCAAGGTGGGGATGTATTCACATTAAACTTTGGGTCATCCAGTTGCTCAACGCTTTTGGGCCACAGGGGTGTCCCAAGTATGAAGTTATGTACGGCGGATGTAGGTACCCCTCACTAAGGTAGCCCGGGCTGAAATTGATCCGATGCCTTACGGGAAGCCTCGTGCTCGTAGACCCCCTTTTGGCAGCTCGTGGGGTTTTTTGAAGGGGGACCTGGCTTATGGCCGCTGGGAGAGTGTTCATGCCGAGCAATGCGAACTTTCTCTGCGAGATGGGCGGAAAAGTGACTAGTGGTCAACTGACTCAGCCAAAAGGGCTGCGCTTCCGCCGTTCTCTAGATAATGGGCACCAATACGCCCGTCGCCGTATTAAGACCGGTCGCAGGATATGTGACACAGTATCTGATAACCGACGAATGCCACGATTCGGCTGTGCTCCCCAAGGCCTGCATATTCTTCGTGTCTGTACACCACAATATTCGTACTCAATGCAGAAGTGGCAGCTGGTGCCTATTAGTTAATTATCGGTAACACAGAAATGATAATTCTCTGAGGATCGTGTGACATTGGAAAATCATAGCTTCTAACAAAAGCGTACAAAACACGATAAAACTGACCAACAGAGCAAAATATTGAAAACGGAGTTACGCGGCTCGCCTAAAAAGGGGCATTAAAGTTGGAGCAAAAGAGAATAACTGCCGCAGACTTCGAATCAATCATCTAGAAACTGGAGAGCTCAAATAATAAGGATATACACACCCCCAGTGTTGCGTGTTACCAATCGAGAACTTTCTGAGGGAAGTATTCATCGATAAGCTCGAGGTAATAAGGCTAGATTCTAAGTCAGCAAGGTGCCACTTCCTGGGTAGCCGACGAGAGGAGGTATTGCTAACCTTGAGTTCTTCGACATTTGGGATATCGTCGCTCTTGCTGTACAAATCATAAGGATTGAACGCTCGAACAGCTGCTAGCATATCCTTGTCATGTTCGTTCATCAACTCCGTGTATGCACCAGCCGCGTGCCACGGATAAAAGGAATGATAGCGGATCATCGCCAGCGCCTCCCCTGGAAGGGTGGATTGATCCTTCACCACATGATAAAGATACTCGTCATGACCCCACGAAAGCATCACATTGTCCAGCCCAATACCCGGGTAGTATATGCCGAATTTGGTGCCGTATATCTCATGTCCATAGTCCTCATTCTTCTCGAACGACTCAGATCCATAGATGATCCGATCATCAAAGGCACATCCCACCGGAAACGTATCTCCAACCACATCCCATTGGCCTTCAGCGCCGAAGAAGTAAAGTAGCTTTCCGAGATCATGGATAAGGCCTATGAGCTGCATCCATCGTGGTTTCCCATCACGTCGAATTGCTTCCGCAGACTGGAGCAAGTGCTGGATCTGGGAGAGCTCTGTGTCTGGGTCCGAGTCGTCAACGAGGCTGTTGAGCTTCTCTATTGCTTCCCAAACAGTGAGTCTGGCTCGAACCTTTGACCGAAACTCATTCCTGGCTTTGAGGTTGAACGCGACAGTTTGCTTCGTATGCTGCTCGAGGTAGAACTCCTTAACTCGGGCACGGGCTTCATTGTATCGTCTGAATTGGGATTTATCCTTGTCCTTATCGAATTGAGGAAGCTGGTAAATGTCGCGATCTTTAGTTTGATAGGCGTTGACCGCATCGATCTCATCACACAAGTCTTCGAGCTCTCGAGGACTTGGTTTGCCAACCACCGTATCTACTACTCCTGGGGCCATGGTCCTCGTTACCCGGGGAAAGGGGATACGTAGGAACGACTTTTAAGGCCGACTTGCGCTTTGAGGATGCTCGAGGAATGGAAGGGAGTAATAGCCGATGGAATAAATGATGGTCTTAGCCCATTCCTGCGGAAGAAAAAAATATTCCTGCGCGGCTAGGGGAGAAGATGCTATTATTTATCCACTGGCCCTTTTTTGAGCTTAAAGGGCAATGAACGTAACGTGTGCAACATCCCGAAGCAAAATTCTGATATCAGAGTAGACACAACCAAAGTAGTATGAGGGGAATCAGAGTTTGATACAGCCGGGGAAGTCTGGCTGAAATAGCATCTCGCGCTTGACATGAGCTAGCCGACACACCGTTGGGCCTGGAAGCATACCATGGTGAAGCCAAAGACGTGGTACCATTACTACCGTGAGTTTTAGGTGGGGATATAATGCAAATATAGAAAAAGTATGCCTCTGCTTTGGATAAGTGCAGACGAGGGCATCCAGTACCGGGGGAAGACTTGAGGCCAGCAAGATAGTAATTAATTCTGAGCAGATATCGAAGCAGTCGATTATTGCTTCCTGCTGGCCATTCACCGGACGTCAGGAAACATGGAATTTTAGATTTGCCCTGAATTCTCGATCCATATTCTTCCCCAGGTCCCGATATCGTTGCTTGGTGCTCCGTGGGATTCCTATATGTAACTCTATTAGTCCCATGGTTGCAAGTATGTCAATCTCCGTAAGAGCGGATTTGATCGACAAATTTAGTTCTGACCCTGTACTTGCCACAGCCACCAAGGTCAACCTAGATACCCCCCATGGGTTGAGGGTTGGATTGAAGATGGTGCAGTCTCCTCCTTGGAGATCAGAGTCTGGGGGCGGAGTAGTCCTGCCAATCTTATTTTTCGTCGGCCTTTGGACTCCATCAGTTGTTCACAGCAACGCCGATTACGGAGGTGTCCCCCCTACGTACGGGATATCTGTGAAAGCCCGCTGTGAGATAACTTAACACCCAAGGACACAGCAGGGGATGCATAACGATTTGCGGTTCTGCGCGTGTCCATATGGCTCTCCTGGTGGAACAGAAGAGGGAGGACAATATTTCATCGAAGGCGGAATCAGTTAGAGGAGCATGTCTTCTGGGGAGCTCGCTTTTATTAAGACGTCGAAAGTCACAATTTCGGCTTACTAATCGCGACTCGATAACGTAATCCACAAGCAAGCGAGCATCCCAACTAGTTAGCTCGGCGATCGCTGACAGCGAGAGTAAACTTGGGACCGAAGCGTCCATGAGCCGACAGACTCACCGTTCAAGATCAAGGATTCCCACTTCCTTCGAAAACAGCATGGCGAAGTCGGATGCTTGCCGTAAGTCACAGAGGCAGGGAAGGAAAAATGGTTATCAGGGTATTCAGAACTTTCAGCTTGGTATCATCAGTAATACTCTATTAGTACAATCGGATATGCGTTGTAAAAAATACATTTAGTAAACCCTCAAGAGTCTTTAAAGCAACCGGTCCAAAGGCTAAAAAGATGAGAGGAGAGTACACTAACCCGCGGGAAAGGAACCGACGACAGGGAAATAAGAAATGTCATATGTATGTACAATGCATCACTCCAAACTTGAACGTCTAAGACTATCCAACAAAATCTCAAGAACCGGGTTCAGTCCATCTATAAAAGAAGAATTATATTAGGTCATGTCGATCGGCGCGACTTGCCTCCATCCGAACGATGACAAGCATAAAAGTGCAGGAAAGAGGGCTTGTTTGGGCGGGTAGAGTTTTATACTATCACATCGGAAATCGGGGCCACAAACACGGTGAAAGCACCTCGCAATATCTCGCATCTCCTTCGGTAGACGGGGGGCTAGAAGGAAAAAACGGGTCGTCTTTCGAATAAAGGAAGTCTTTGATATTTCTATCCGCCTTCAAAACGGTTAACGCCGATGCTATGCTCCAAAGAGACAAATATGGGAATATGATGTAACAGGGGTGTCGATTGCGCTCTGGCTCAGCGATTGACAGTCTGAAGAGTGAAGAGCGTTGGCATGTTTCGACGTGCGGGCCGGGGTTGAATCCACTCCATTCTGACTTTCAGGACTGCTTCAATGTCGGTCATCTGTCTTTGTAAACTTTCGGGTTCCATCCTTCTCGTACTTCTTTGTCCATCTTTGCTTTGCGTTCCGCCTCCCTGACTTCCATTTCAATGCGTTCCCGAGCGCGGAGAATCTTGCTTTGCAGGTAAAAGCTACCTCCCTTTTTGGGGTCGTTCATGTCAAAGAGCTTCTTAAACCTCTCCATGGTGTGCTCCAGATTGGCCTCCCCGGCTTTGGGAGGCTTGACGTTCAAAATTTTGCAGGCTTCGTCTAGAGTCAAGCCGGACGATGCAAAGGTATTGGATACCGAGGATCCATTCTTCTGTGCATGAGCTGCATATTTCGAGGATGCTGATGCTTGCTTGTATGCCTCTGCAAATGCGCGGCCAAGCACCCGACTTCCCGTAACGACAATCTGCGTCAGAATGCGATGCGCCTGAGAGGAAAAAATGGCCCAGTTAGCGGCGACACCAATATCCAAATCAGGGGGAAAAAAGAGGGATATATACCATATTGGATTAGCTAGATGAGAGAGGTTATATAAAGCAAACCGGACTGCTACCCTCAATCCCCCGAGCTGAAAGGAATTGGACTGAATGGACGGTTGGTACGACCGTTCGCTATCGGCTGTTCAACCGCGATGTTTGAGGCAAAGGCGAAAGATTTCGGAATGGAAACTTTATTCCGTTAAAATTTTGGGCGGCGCATTTGCTTAGTCATGGGCGCACAAACCAGCTTATATCAGCAGCCTTGGCTTCACATGCCGGCGGACAGCTGTCCAGCACACGTGATGTGCAGTGCTGTCATCGCCGGGCGCACGATCAGACGAAACAAGGACAGCGCTGCAGTGGTGATCTCGCCTGCTTTGTGACTGTGATGTCCAAGCTTCATTCTTGTCTGCCTGCCTCTACCCTCCACGTGCTGTGCCAGTAGGTACCCAGGATGAGCATACCTGGGCTTGTGAACGATCAGATCTGGGTTGTATGGCAGCTCTTGGTAGGTGCTATAGTTCCTCTTGTGCAACATATATCCCTCTCTAGAGCTCCCTTCAACCTCCACGCAACAGCAATATTCTCTGGATGTCGCTGTTCTAATGTACTGGTAGAAACGCCGTGGATAGCTTCCATGTCCCCAAGCTCTTACGCCCAAAACGATGGGCCCGCAGGGACGTCCCTCGCCGGTGACCCGATTCCGCCTACCGTTGCCGCTTTCTCGCCAACAAACATCTCTGGATCTTCATTAACCTCCAAACAACGCTCTACCATAATCGTACACAGGAAGTCGCCATTGCTTGTTGCAACCCCTCCCGCAGTCACCCGTGCCTTGGCCTACTCCCATCCGTTCTTGCTTCCCTTGAACCGGCTGGTCGGGCTATTATCATGGACGAGCGGAGACCCATGGGAGAGCTTTCTTCTTGTCGCTGCATTTTGGGCAACCACTCTGTACGGGGATGCTATTCTGCTATGGGCCGGACCGATTCTTGTGGTGATTGGCCTGATACTTGGCTTGTATTCCCGACGATATTCACCTCTCTCGTCGACGGGACTAACCGGAGAGAAACACGGACACCGAAGGGGCGACTCGGAAGCCACGCCCCAACACCATAAGACGCTGGATGAGATCGTCGAATCCCTGAGGGAATTTACCATGAGATGCAATATTTTACTAGATCCTTTAATTGAATTCACTGATTTCCTTTCGACTCAGCGGACCGCTACCTCGGCTACAACTCGACCCGCCCTGACGGCTCTGCTAACGCGGATATTACTTGTCACGCCCGTCTGGATCCTTCTTACGCTTCGGCCGTTCTATTTGATCACTACCCGCCGAATTATCATTTCCGTTGGAACCGTCATCTTGACGTGGCATTCGAAACCGGCGCGCATCTGCCGGGTCATTCTCTGGCGATCACTAACAGTGCGCCTAATATGCTCCATAATCACGGGGCTTCCATTCTCATCGCAGCCATGCAATAACACAACCAACGACTTCAAAATTTCGCCAATCTTATCGCTGTTATCATTTCGCCCTTTCCGTTCGAAGTCGACTCAGCAAGTGCCTGAGGTATCTTCTACGAGAAGGCGGGCTGAATCACCAGGTGTCCGTTTCACATTTATCCTATATGAGAATCAGAGAAGATGGCTTGGAATCGGATGGACGACTTCACTGTTTGCCTACGAGCGTGCCCCCTGGACGGACGAGCACCTGAACTCAGCCCCATCTAAAGACGAATTTGAGCTTCCTGAAGTTCAAGGTGGGAATTCAAGGTGGCGCTGGGTATCTGGTAGTGAATGGCGAATTGATGGAGTAGATCCAAACAGCAAAAGATCCGGCAAAACTGGCAAGGGTGGAGATACTGATGACGGTGGTTGGATATACTACGACAATAAGGTAAGATCCGGCCATTTAGGCGATGCGGCTCTCCATCGCGCTATACCTATCCGGATCCCAATTTGCCAAGATGGACTAAAGCTAATACTTGTGACAGTGGAACGATGGCCGTCGTGGGCAGGATAGCTGGAATCGATACACTAGGCGTCGAAGATGGTGTCGTGATGCCGAGCTTGTAGAGATAACCCCGAGCAGGGAAGCTACTCCACCCCCATCGCCTCCAGCAGAAAGAGTACGTGATTCATCGCCATGCACGACCACTGGTCGCGCGCAGGGCGAAGAAAACAACAAGCCTAGCACAGAGAACAAAAATGGTGTCAAACAGCGTAAGCGCCGCTGGTTCGGGAGCACCAGTGATATTTCCAAGCCGCCTTCGTCATCTCCTCCTGTCCCCGTTGGTGCTGCGTCGTCCAGCCTTCCAAATAACTTTGACAACGCGCTTTCTACATCCATAGATGAGAATACAAACAACAGCAGACGTACCGTCAAAGCCCCCAGCGTGGCCAGCACTCGCAGTGCTCCTCAAGCAGGTTCTCCTGGGCCAAGAGGTGGTAGAAATAGCTTTGGTGGTCGACGAGCAAGTAAGACCGCTAGTATCGCCACAGATACGGATCGGGAGAGTCTAACCCTGAGCCTGAGGGAGAAAGAAATCCAAGAAGCGGAGAATATGGTTGATCAATGGGACACCAGGCCTGGAGGAGCAGCAGAAAGGGCAGAGAGATCCTGGGGTCTGGGGGACGAGGCCCACATGGGGCTAAGCTGAATTTTCCCAGCTTCTACATTATGGTATGGTGCCTTTGGCTATTTAACGTCTATTTCTGGGTTTGGCTGTGCCCTTCCCCCCATTTTCGGAGTTCTGTTATTGCCTCGGCTGTTTGCCGCCTGCGTGTATTGTTATGCTTGTTTTGGCATGTCTCGGTTCGATTTGCATTACTGGTCGAGTTAGCCATCGGAGCAAGGGCGAAATGAAGGGATAAGCGGTATTATGGGAATAGTTCTTATGGTTTCATGATGTAGTATGATTGTCGCGGAATGGCGAGATTCAATAATATCTTTCTTCTAACTTCATCAAGCCATGCCTATCATTAGCATTTATGTGGCCATCAAGAAATGACCACTAGAGATACCAAACCTTGTAGCCCTGGTGGCTGTGATGGATTCTTGCTCCGTTACTCCGGGAGGATCCCACGACAATGTTCTTTTATTTCCATGGATGAGCTTTTCCATGCAGAACTTCATGATTGTCTGGCTGCTGCATAGGTTAACTATCTCCATGCAATGACATCATCTGCTTCAGACCGGCTGGCATCCCTTGCCCGTTCGCTGATATCTTGATCAAGACTGCTGGCTTGGCTTTTCATACTTGTCCCTCGGTGTCGCAGCCGTGCAATTGAAGGGCCCAAGGTGGCCCAGTTTCTGAATACTCCTACGGCAACCTTCAAATGTCTATCTGTGAGACTCGTGCTTGTTGGATAGTTAAGTGGTGATATTTCCGAAGCACCAACACAAAAGGAACGCGTTGCGCATCCACATCATCACCGGCGGGTGGAGAGGTGCGGAACACTGCAACATCTTTGTCGCGGCCTATGAGTTGCCAACCTCTGCTCGGTCTCCTCGGCATTCCATGTCAGCCGCAGCAGCAACCAGGATTCTAACCCCAAAGAGCGGGATCAGCGCCCGGCCCCATTCTTTTGCCGAATAAGCATTGGCTTCCGTTCGATCCTTTACCTGCTGCTTTTTGCGCAGCGAGGCACTCGTTTCCTGTAGCAGGGTATTTTCTCTAGGCTTCTGGGTTTGCTTGGAAAAACATCATCGTGATAACCTGGTATAAATGTTCTTCAGAGGGGCGTTTCATCCAATATCCCATCTCCCTTTGCTTTGCAGATGCAAACCCAGCAGCGTATTATTTTCGACAAAGACTTTTAATGGATTCACTGAGAACTGAGAAACTAACTTCAAAGCACGCTATGATCGTCGTTCGCGCGAGGTGCTGAACTTCGTATTCTTGGGGCAAACACTGCCACCATGGATGCCATCCTGGTATCCTGTCGTTTCATAAAATCACATATTGACGCTCGCACTCGAAGAAATGACACTCTCTGAGTGTCATTTCGTCTCCTATCTCGCGTTCAAAGATGATTTTTCCCAAGCTCTTCGGGACCAGAACCCAGGGCCACTCTTGGTGGCCCAACTGTCGCGCGGGTCAATTCTTCCTCTTCCCAGCAGTCATCTTTTCGGTTCTATTGTGGATTTTCGTTATCGCTTCTGCTATATACAGCGTGGTGCTAGACAACAAAAGCCCCCGTGCTTTGAACGCTCCCATCTGGTGGCACAGAGTCTCTGATGACTGCACTATTGCTCAGTAAGTCACATCGCCTTGTGCTCGCCGAGAGAAGCATGTTTATAGGCTCTCTTCCTGAATAATCTAGGGGACAAATCGTTGCGTTATTATTTGGCATCTGCTTTGAAACCGTCCAACTCTCAATCCACATTTTCCTTTTCTCAACAGGCAGACTCCACCCGATCACGGCGCTCGTGCTCTCCATCCTCTCGTTCGGCAACTGGTTTGGCTCCTCCTTTTATAGTCCGCTGGCTAATCTCGCCGCCGAAAGACAATTCCCAGCTACCTGGGAGACGCTGTTCTGGATACGTCAGGCTCTCGGATATTGCCTTCTCCTCCTGTATTTGGCGTATATTGTACACGCATCCATTGCTACGCACAGGTGGCGGATTGCCAAGAAGAAGCGAAGAACAGAGGAGCAAGAGACAAACATCAAGTTGGAAGATATCGAATAATTTGTTCTGCATTGACAGAAGCCCTGGTTAGCTGGTCGAAGTTCCCACCATTATGAGCGCTCCGCTGGTCCATCAGATGGTGAATTCTATTTTAACCAGATGATGGGTATAATGTGTAATGTGTAATGTCTAATATTTTAGAGATTGTTTGCAACGGTTCTTTCATTTAGATATGGCCTGTCCCTAATGCTGGATGGGCGCAAGTGAGCGAGATCAATCGACCTTTCTTGCGTTACTTGAACATTAACAAAAATAAGAGTTGAAAAGACAACTGATCGTTATATTCATTCATATCCGATTCTTTGAGTAGGCGCAATATCTCCCGGAGCCGAGGTCGACCTCGCTAGAGTAAATACTCATAGCCGGCTATCGGCATGGGAGGTGGAAGCAAACGTTGGAGGGCTGTGATCGACCGGTTCTTGAAGCCACTTTACCATCCTTTGGACAGCTTTGATGGGATTCAAACCATCCGCTATCCAAAAGAAAAGAAAAATGAAGAGAACATTAATCCACAAATTTCATATCCGGATTTGGACGGGATGCCTGAATTCTCAGAAAACACAAGGATTCTCACGTACCGTAGCCGATAAACGGTCGATGGATCCGATATCCCATCATCTCGACAATCCGTGGGGGAATTTCTTTCAGTTTGCGAGGGTCAACGGCGAGGATTTGATTCTCAATTGGGCGAATCTATGCCATTAGGTCATATGAGCTTTGATGTCAACCTTCCGTGTACATGTATATGATCCCTCACATATGGCTGACAGTACTGTACTGTTGCGCTTTTTCTTGGTTTGGAGGAGTTATTGGCACCTCCGCAGTGCCATGTGGTACCAATGAAGTAGACAACGCTCCCTGCAGGGCAAACCATTGGAACGGTCTCTTCGTATTTTCCGCGCCTGTCAGCACCCCAGGTATGGCTGCCCGGGATCACACCCGTCGCACCATTTTCGGCGGTAAAGTCATCAAATGCTACCAGGATGAGTCAGCCCAGGAGCCTTTCGAATAGGCTTCGTGGGGGGAAATACCGATGATGATGGCAGCGCCCAATGGCAGACGCGGGCGTGGAACATGACAGAATGCATCGTCTGGGGGAGAAAAAAAAATCAGCTATGGGATAAACCCCCGATATGGATAGAATATCACATAATTATTGCACAATGAAAACTCATTGCAGCGTCCCAGCAAAGATCGTGGCATACCATGATGCATGTCCTGGTTCTTTTCGCCTGGATTGATCTGGATAGTGTGAAAGGAGGTGATATTATATCCCGGGTCCAAGAAAAAATCGTTTAACGCTAGGACTCGCGGAAGAATTGCGAATTTGTCAAATTCTCTTGTTCTGTTTGGTAGCCGATTGTCAGACGCCCGAAGCAGGATAGAAGTAAACAATATCCTCTGAATTCTTGCCGGTGACGGGTCAACAAAGAGGGTGCGGCTCACTTATTCAACAGCGAATAAATTCTATTCGTGTTGAATCCTTCGAATGAATTCCTCCCAATCATTGGCGCTGAACCACTCAAGCGATCAATTTCTGCCTTCGCAGCTTCAGCCTCTTCCTTTGAGAAGCAGTTCTCAATCACCACATAGCCATGCTGAAGGACATGTTCCACGTTTGCTCGATCAACCGGGTCTTCCGGTAGCGGGTTTCGCATCATCCCGATGTCGCGGAGATGTTTGAATTGGTCTGCCATTTTAGATCAAGTCAAGTTCACTGTTACTATGTTGGCTCGTTTTCACAGAACAACCAAATCCCGTGGTTAATAGTGTGTTAATATAGAGAATGGGAGCGATTTATGGTATCTTTTGGATTGCTCTTTACTTGGGTGCATTTATAGCATATGTCCCCAAACTAAGATCATGTTCTCCCCGCACTCTGGGGTAATTGGTACACACCGACGAAGACCAGCTTCGATCGGTCCACTGAGTTGTGGTCATGGACGACTCTGGCAAAGTGGAAATGAACCTCGGTTCATGGCGGCGCGAGGAGGTGGACTTGGCGCACTATGATATTTTTGCACCACTAGTGCCGGTTTAAGGAGTTATTTGAGGGCAGAAAGGAAAAAAATCCACGTTAAAAAAGATGCACGCTACGGAGTACTCCGTAAGTAAACTGCTTGATCCTACTCCGCAGAAAGCCATCAATGATGCACCATGCGGAGACGGCTGTGGCCCGGTTGTTCACTGCGAAGCGAGGTGTAGAACTCTGGCAAACCCGGCATGCCCAACTCTCCGGACATCGCATCAAAGGGTAAAACATCGATATCAGATGAAAGGGAAAAAGACCCGAAATATATAAACACGGCGAAGTGTGAACAGGACACAGTGGTCCTCACTTGCTTCACGACTCGCTTCATGACTCGCTCGACAAACACTATTGCTTAAACAGGCTATGTATGATTTCGTCTGGCAACGCATTGGCAGCTCGGCGCATCTAGCATTCAGTTGGTGGAATTTGCGAATTGCCAGGCCTTCGGTGAGTTGAGCAGAGGATGTTGCCAGACGGGCTTTGCGCAGTTGAAGGCTAGGCCACGTGATGATCGTGTCACCGCCCACGGCAAACCCGCACAGTTCAGCTTCCACGCCAGATTCATTTCCCTGTGAGCATGCTTCCCTGGCCAAAGTCATCTCCGCATGCTGTGGATGACAGGGATGTGGCATGCATTAGAAACGGTCTGACCGGCTCTCAGCGGTCTGGCTTAAAACGACATATCTCTACTCCGTAGTCCTCGGAGGTACAGCTCGCTTGCTGCTTGAAGGTTGCAGAAAAGACAACGGTCGGTCCGATGAACAGCAATACCCCAGGCAAGCCACCTGGGGAAAAATATCTACGCCGGGATATTATCCCAAGCTCCATGGATGGCCTGACCTTGGTAGTCTGACGTTTCCCACTGACTTTTCTTGCCGACCCGGGCTGAACAGGACGACGCAGCAACCTTTGTCCCTTCTGCCCCCAGCTATCTACGGATGGGAGTTGTGTCCTTTGAAAACAGTCGATTGTTTGACTTATGGGACTGTCTTGGTCTCCCAACGTGGGGATATTGTGCCTTCACTTTCGTTGGGACTTTGCTGCTTTTGATAGTGATGGAATTCAGCTTCGCCGCGGGGAATGATCACTTCCAACGAAAGTTTGAGGGGTTGCTGGAGCCAGGATACCGACGTGACATCGACAAAGCATATCCTGCCATTCTTTTCTGGTATGGGACTGATTTGTCTACGCGTCAGTTCATGTTTCTTGATGATTTATCAGACTCAGGAATGATTTATCCCTGAAAATGAGCTCAATAGCATGCTGTGCTGCGGTAACTTTTCTTCGCCTCATTGCTCAGACGCATAGATATTGAAGAGAAAGTTGAGAATTTTGTTTCGAAAATGAAATGCAATGTTGTTGTGATGTCCTGGGTTAGTTTTGTGCCCAGGAACTAACCAGGATGAGCTGGAAGGGAAAGTCACGCCCCAGAATTCTGCTGAGGGCACGAAATCGCCCTGGACATTGCCGAGGGAACTGCTCACTCCATTGTCCTGTTATTTGTGTGGCTAAAGTAAGCCGAGAATGTCCTCTTTTTTCGCTTTCCCACGGAAAGCTCCTCCAGAAGCCTGGGCAGTTGAGTCAACAAGGGCTGACATCCTGAGAAATTGGCCAGACCTGGCTGTGGAAGACAATTAGTGGCTTGATTTAAATGAAAATGACGATCAGCAAGTCAGCACAGTGGTTTTTCATATGCCAGGAATCCTGTATGAAGTTTAACATATGCGAGATGAACTTGTTCTCTTTTGCACAACGGAGAGCTTTAAACTCTTCCAGGTGATAACTCTAATATCAGGCAAAGATGGATGTGGTCTCTCGCCTGTATGCCGAGATACCGGAGTGGACAACTCCACCCATGCTTCGAAGTCATCTCATAGAATATTAGTTCCCTCCAAGATAGTGGTAAAATGATCGACCGTCGGGATCTGCTGTACGGGAAACGGCCAGTCGCCATGGGCTCCGACTGGACATCGTGAGGACGTTTCCAGATCTTTCTGAACGCGCGGTCTTGTTTCAAAGTGGCGGACAGGGCTTAGCGTGGAAGTGAATTTCTGTGAACCGAATGTAGAGACAATCGGTCGCTCCTTGCCCCCTCGAGGCAAGTCTGTCGTTTCTCTCGTTCACTAGCACCGCGATGATGCGGAGCTAAACACTCTCGTTACGTGGCGCAACGAGCAAGTGGCCGAGTTTGCCGTCATGGCAAATTGATGAATCCGTTCCAATACCCAAGCTCCTCTACGGAGTATCAGCGAAGGGTTGTCCCTATCGGGCTCTCGAGATAGGAAGTCCATATTGATGATTCCGTCCTCATATCTGATTGTTATCGCGGTCTCGCGGCCAAGAATTTCACTAGTGAAGTCTACCCCGCGTATCCACGCGTTTGTTTCAGACGCTGTTCGTGAATAGCCTCCATCGTGTGACAGCGATGCATGCATACATATGTATGTATGCACGATGCAGCGGCCCTGACACCCGTTCGAGGGCGGGAAATTGAAAAATACCATTGGGGGACTGAACCGGGCCGAACCAAGATTCGAAACAGGCCGCGGGCTGAGGTACAGTCCATACAGACATACATACATACATACGGAGTACTCCGTATACTTAAAATCTAAGGCGGAAACGTGCTCCATACTACCATCCCTTCAAAATCGCTGTTCGCTTAACTTCTAAGTTGGCGTTTCGCCTCGGAGATAGTGTGCATGTTACGCAGCGTTGCAAACGTTAGGGAAGGAGCCGTTAGCTGGATAGTAATGATAGTAATGCAGAGTTTCACTGAGTTGGAGATACGTGGCAACAGAGTAGGCTCAATTTTTGAATGTTTTACTTCCATCATGCAGCCTGAAATGACAGTGCTGATTGACTCCTGTCAGGGAATTCCACACCGGCAAAACTTTTAATCTTCCTTTCCTCGGGATATGGCATGAGTCGATGTGAAGAATTCAAGGATGACCTCACTCTCCGGTACCCTGCCAGGGTGCACGGATCTCTTTAGTCGAATAGATATGTTTGTGGCATTTTATCATTTGGGAATGCATGGGCGCCCTAGGAATTCCTTCTTCTTGTATAGCATATACTGGCTGTCACCTGGGATTGTGGAAATAGCAACATCTGATCACTCAATTCCGTCAAGCAACAAAATCACAAGTGGCGTCCAGGGTGCATTTCGAACCTTGTCCCAAATCCCTGAAAGTATGCAGCGTATCCCTGATCAAAGCTCGAAGCTTGTCCACACAATCATCTCGGATTGCGAGATCGCATGTAACACCGTGATATTGAGACCCAGCATTGAACGAAAGTTGGCCGCAAGGGGCCTCTTGCTGATTTTGTCGATCGACAGAGATATTCCGTAACTCGAAAGATAGAAAAGACTCTTGGACGTGAACAAACTACTCCGTACATCTGCCAAATTGCTCGCGCTAGAAATAAAAAAGACAAAAGAAAAAAAAAAAAGGAGGCGCCAGCCTCGAAAACTGTCTCGCGAAGTATGAAACTAAAGCGGAACATCGTGCCCATCGTTCGATTAAGGAAAACGAAAAAAAAAAAGGACAAGAAAAACTCGAAGAAGCCTTGTGGGTGATCGGCGGCTCCAGATGTTCGATTTCATATCCACTCGACTTGAACACTAGTTTAGGCTGATATTAACCCTCTAGGCTGCTCATCGGAATTGACTTTTCAACAGGACCACTTCAAAGAAGGAGGAGAGCTGGAAATGCTTCGGGAGCACCCTGGAGTGTCCTCAATATCTCCGTTCCCGTATTTGTTTCACATTGTTCCAGGGTCAAGAGCCGCAGCCTCCCGCCATCACCGATCCAGAGTTAGCTGAGCTGCGGGTGTTTTGGGAGGCATGCACGTCAATGGTTGGGGAGGGGAATGCTGTTAGCCAGAAATGTAGCACGTATGGACGGAGGGGGGAGAGCTCTCGAATAAGATGAGCTGCGCAGATGGAAAACGCTGGATGCATGGAGGACGGATGTTGGCTCGAAGGATTTGGCCCTGATCGCGAAATTCTGGATGGGAGAGTTAGCTTGCTTGGAATGGGCGGTACCGGTACTGGGTTTGTATCGAAGTTACCGCTAGGCAGGTAGTAATTTAGGCAGGTCCCGCTTTGACGGAACCGGGAGTGGAGCCAACGACCTAATTTGGGCAGCCGAATCGGGCAGATGCTAGTCCAAATATCGCCTAGTGAGGGACGACGCCCAAAGTTTCCCGCCAAAACGACGAATCAGCGCGCAGCTACCGCTGCTTAGGTAATGCCGCTGAAACGCCTGGCAAACCGGCGTTGGGGGTCGCATGCTTGGCGCGTCCAGGCGTGTCGGCTCCTGGCTGCCTGCCATCCCACCGATCGCAACGTCGACTGCGACAGCCCAGCTGTGTCCCTGCGCTATCCGGCGCCCTCGGTAGTCCAGTCGGCTCCCAACAAGCAGTTTCGTGCCGGAATAGCGTCAGGCCGGAGTCTAACCCAGGGCGGGATACGGGTCGATATTCTCCGCTCAGGTTCTGATCCAATAGCGCATCTTGCACTCCGTATCCGACCCCGATTAATAATAGCGACGTCGTTAATATGGAGCTAAAGTTAGTCTCGATGAGGGTGACGATGGGGTCTTGAGAGTGTGACGCCAAGGCCTACTAAGCGTCGTTGAAAAAGCGCCCGCCTGAGGGAGG